CCTCTTCCCAGCTCTCTATCTGGGCCTCAATGCTCGGTAGCTAGCTGTGCTTCTCGCCTCTCAGCTCCGCAACCATGCCAAGTATGTTCCTTCCTACCCTCCTCGCCCTTAAGCGGATCCCTAACCAGTCATTTCGTCCTAGTTCGTTCCTTCGATGAATGGGCCATCGGTCGCACCCAGTCCCTCCCCCTTTCGGCCCTCAAAGGTGCTGTCGTCGGTATCGATGCGTCGCATTTTATTGAGCAGCATCTGATCAACGTTTCAACCCGTGAGGCCTTGTTGGGCGCACTGGGTGGTTTCCCGTTCGCCTTGAGAAGCAACATCGAGAAGGAGCTCCAAACTTTCAAGAATCTCGGCGTCGGATGTGTTTTCGTATTCAATGGCCTAGAATTTGGAAAGAAGGATCACCTTGCAGCTACTCAGCCCGCATCCCGCTCCTACGATCAAGCTTGGGAGCTTTACGACCAGCAGCAGGCCGATCGGGTCGTTGACGCCTTCAGCAATGCCGGTATGATCACCACCCCTTTAATTGGACGAGCCAGCCTATGGACGAATCCTCCGCCGGCGATGACCCCCTGCTCCCCTTGGTCCCAGCAGGCGATGATACTAGGCAACGTGACTGACTATGACTACCGCGAACCAGGGACCCCTCCACCGGAAACCCTTTACAGGTTCCTGCAGCGAATTTTGAAACAGAATGGCGTCTCTTTTATGGTGGCTCCCTACAGTGCTGCTGCCCAGGTAGGCCAGACACACGCACGAGATTTGTGGTTTCTCGACCCGAGAGAGATCCATTCCACTAACCAGCTGAACTACTATAGCTCTCTTACCTTGCTAGTGGTGCCAACCCCATCGTCGATGCCGTGTACGGACCATCCGAAGCCCTTTTGTTTGACCTTGAAAAGCTCGTGGTTCGCATCGAGACGGAACCCGCTCAATTTACTTGGATCACCAAGCAGAATGCCCAGGAGGAACTCGGGCGCCTGACTAACGAACAATTCCTCGATTTCTGTCTGCTACTGGGCTCTCCATTCCTGCGAGCTTGTCCTCTCTTCGAAAGCCCCGCATTTCCCGGCAAAATCCCGTCTGTCCGTGATGCTTTGCCTATGTTTAACGCGACTGGACGAAGTGCTCTGACGCTTTGCGCCCAATACGAGGAAGATCGCCGTATGCAGGAACTTCAATACACAGACCGGTATAAGCGAGCATATATGATTGTGAAACATCATGTTTACATGGATGTCGATGGCCGTGTTGGCCCTATGGACCAAGAAACGACTTCTTCGGATATGCACGAGCTCATCGGACAACGACTCCCCGAGGAACTATACTTCTACCTCTCCAAGGGTATGTTGGGCCCGGATGTTCCCAACTTCCTGACATCAGGCGAAGTGCGCATTTCATTGCCTTTGGGCACCGAAGATTCCGAAGTCTATCGTCAGCTTGTGGGTGACACTCTTACACCGATCCGATCACAGTCAATCTGCCTGCTTGCCAATTCCCTCCACCGATTTTACCAGACCAAAGTAATCCAGATCCGCCCCTGGTTCGATGAGAAATCAGACCGAAATATCACTCTCAAAAATATCCCGTCGGTTAAGGAGACTATCCAGGCCTGGAAGATTTCCAATACCCAGCTGCCCGAGAGTGTCAACAAGCTACAATTGCCTCGCGGTTCTTTGAAGTATGCCATTCAAAGTGCTAGCATCTCGGATTTCACATCCAAGTCGTTTGCTACTAAAGAAACTCCCGTATGCTCTCTGATATGCCTTTATTGTACACGTGCATTGCTAATTACGAATCTAGGCCCTGTCTGCGCAAGAAGATATCTTAGCCAATGTGATCTGGCGATTCCTGCAATTGCGTGGCTATGTCGATGATAAGCACAAGCTCACCGTGTGGGGCAAATGCCTTGAACAAGCGCTGTCAAATGTGGACCCAGTGGACAACCTCGAGGATGCCATTTTTATTGCTATTGAGATGATTCGCATGGATCTCCTCAACACTCAACAATGGTTCTCCCACGTGTCTGGAGGCCCGATGAGAGGGTCTGGTAAGTTTGATCCGATGCTGCCGTGCTTGAGAATGATTGGAGCTAACTGGCCTGTGATTTTTAGAGGAAGACAAGTCTTTCAACATGCTGGTTTCACGGGTAGCATGTATTGCGAAATTACAGCATAAGCCGATCGGCTACTCCGGTCCTTTGAGCCGACAACTTCTCTGCTACCGTTCGCTGATTTCGGAGGTGCGGTCTGCGCTGAGAAATTTGATTGAAGTGGTACTCGCTAGCTTGTTCCTTAGCGGCGACGCCGATCGTGATCGTAATGACTGGACTGAAATGGCAATTAAGTATGTGCCCCATGACGGCACCACCCATGGCATTTTTTCTAACACTTTTATCTCCAGGCTGCCTTTCCTTGACGATAATGACTGTGGTCTCGGTATCGCTGTTCGCACTTACCTGGATGACCTGCCTCTACAGACCAACCCCACCTCACCTGAGGCGCGGGCGGAAGTGAAGTCGAAGGGCAAGGAATGGTTCCAGCACAGCGAAAGCTTCACCGGGAACCTGGATCTTGCTTTCAAACTCTGGGACGCGGTCTACAAGGGAACCCAGAATGCCGGTAAAGAGGTCAAGGATGTGAAGCTGTGGAATGATGCAAACGCGTGGTTGTCAGAGCGCCGATGAAGGGAAGATGCTGAGAACAATAGCTACTTCGGTGTCCTCATCTCACCACTGAAGGCCTCTGCCTTCGACCTCATGTCTTGCCGAGCTGGTTCTTTTAAGGCTGTTATATCGAAATATCAACGAGGGGATTTCGGGTCTACCATATCGACATGAACCGCACCCGAAGCGCCTCAGCCTCTTGTGATTTGATGACTCCAGTAGGTTGCATGGATATCTTCAACATGTGCTAGTGGTGAATTCTCGCTTGTATTACTATCAACCTAGTCATCAACAATAAAAAGAAGAAAAGGCCCATTTGCGAGGAAGATGAAATAACCCGAGTAAGTAATACATTAGTGATCTCGAGACCCGACTGTGTAGCCCGAGAATATTGTTCCTGGCAGTATTTTGTATCCCAGGAGCTACAGCTAGTACTGGTAGATAGCAGTAGGCAGTCAGCTACTGGAGTTGGTGGTTGGTAACTAACTACTATGTAGTAGTCTGGTATTCAGAGCATGTAGTTGGTCGGTGTGGATGATCTGCGGAACTGCGGAGGCAAAGTGGCCTCTTCGGGTTGGGGTTGTTTTGTCATCATCCTTTGTCACCCTCAATTCCACTAGTTTCCTCCAGGAATTGGACCAACATACCTTCATCTTCATCCCCTTCACCAGAATCACACAGAAAATGGTTCGCCTAAGCTCAGTGCTGGTGGGCGCCGTTGCCGCGCTCAGCAGCTTCTCCAATGCAGCCTCCGTCGTCACCGACCTGATCCCCAGCAACTTCGACAAGGTCGTTCTTCAGTCCGGCAAGCCCGCCCTCGTGGAATTCTTTGCTCCCTGGTGCGGTCACTGCAAGACTCTTGCTCCTATCTACGAGGAGCTTGCACAGGTTTTCGCCCACGCCGAGAACAAGGTTACCGTCGGCAAGGTTGATGCCGATGAGCACCGCGAGCTGGGCAAACGCTTCGGCGTTCAGGGTTTCCCCACATTGAAGTGGTTCGATGGCAAGAGTGACAAGCCAGAGGAGTACAAGGGTGGCCGTGATCTGGAGAGCTTGTCATCCTGGATTACCGACAAGACCGGCATCAAGCCCCGTGGCGCGCAGAAGGAGGCAAGCAAGGTCGAATTCCTGAACGACGCTAATTTCAAGACTACCATTGGCGGCGAGAAGGACGTTCTGGTCGCATTTACTGCGCCGTGGTGTGGCCGTGAGTTTCAACCTTTTCTTTGTTCCTACGAATCATTGTATCGATGTGCCGTTGGCTGACTGTTTGCTTTTACCCTCTTTAGACTGCAAGACCCTCGCTCCGATCTGGGAATCTCTCGCCAATGACTTCGCCCTTGAGGAGAACGTTGTGGTTGCCAAGGTCGACGCCGAAGCTGAGAACGCCCGCACTCTGGCTAAAGAGCAGGGAGTGACTGGATACCCTACCATCAAGTTCTTCCCCAAGGGAACCACCGAGCCCGAGCCCTACGCCAGTGCCCGTTCCGAGGAGGCTCTCGTTGAGTTCCTGAACCAGAAGACCGGCACCAACCGCGCCGTTGGTGGTGGTCTGAACACCAAGGCCGGTACCATTGCCGCTCTGGACAGCCTCGTCGCTGAATACGTGCCCACTCACAAGTTCGAGAAGCTGGCTGCTGAGATCAAGAAGGCTGCCAAGGATGCCCAGGACAAGTACGCCAAGTACTACGTCAAGGTTGCTGACAAGCTGAGCCAGAACCAGGAGTACGCTGTCAAGGAGCTGGCGCGTCTCTCCAAGGTCCTGGGCAAGGGTGCCTCTGCCCCCGAGAAGGTTGACGATATGGTCTCTCGCAGCAACATCCTCCGTGGCTTTGCCGGCGAGAAGGAGCAGGCTGGCAAGGATGAACTGTAAAATACTTTTGTTTCGTCTTAATAGGTCTTAATTGACTTGGGTCTGAGGTCTCCATATCGAAATGGTGTTGACCTCGTGATTCATGGTCAATAGCGCAATTGGAACTTTGCCGCAAATCTTACTTAGCCTGCTGTTGTATTTAACGAAGATTGAAGTACTGAATGAATCCCATTGGGTCTTGTCTCACTTCCATATGAGGCCCAAATACTATGTATACAAAATTGATATTGAATTCTTTCGAAGTCACATCTTCCAGATGCTTTGTCCTATTGGAAGGTAGGGTATCGTCGCAAAAACAAAATAAACACTAGTAAATAACGCAGGCTGACCAGTAGGTGTCGGCCATGTTTGTGTCAATGTAGTGCCAGCACTAGCCAGTTCCTTTTAAATCGCCATCTGGCTGCGCGTAGCATATTCTTCATTCGCAACACACGCCCATGCTTTTGTCTGGATTGCATTCTATTTCGTCGGTGTCGCCGATGTCGATTCATTTGCAGCTCCTGCCATAGAGGCCTCCAGCTCGTCTAGTCGACGGGTCATGTCGTCCACTAGTAGTAAAGAGTGAGCAATTGAACACGGTCATGTAGGATGAGCGCTAGCACTGGTAGGCAATAAGGACTAGTCGGGATGAAACATACATTTCCCAAAAACCTCCTTTGATACATGATCGAACTTGCTCTGCAATTGATCGAGGAGTTCATCGACAGCCACAGTGAGCTGGCCTTGGGCATCGGAGTTCTGATATCGGTTAGCGGAGGAGACATCGCCAAGTGTTGAGTATTGACAAACAGGTTGTGACAGGAAAGACTCTTCGGCAGATGTCTTTTCGGGAGAAGCTTCCTCAGCCATGGTGAAGCAGTTGAGTCCCTTGGACGTTATTTGTGTCTACGGGCGCAAGACCATGGATCCTAAGGTGTGCATTCGCAATGCCCGCCGGGGTGGAAGGTCGATAAGCCCGGAATATATATTGATCCGAGTGACCTTATCGCTGATCTAACCGGATTGGGACTGGTCCGAGTTCAAAAAAATCCCGTAGAAGTCGAGCCCGGCCGCTCTTCACACCCCCAATTGTCAACTTCAATTCCTCCACGACTAGACATCATGGTCAAACGAAGCAAGCTTATGCAAGCGCTTGACGCTCACAAGGGTCGCGACTATGATGCCGAAAAGCAGAAGAAGCAGGTCAAGGCTGCTGAGAAGCGAAAAGGTGTGAAGGCCGAGCCTGCTACTAAGAAGAGCAAGAAGGCTGCGCCTGTGGACGAAGATGTCGAAATGAGCTCCGGTGCCGAGAAGGATGAGGAAGTTTCCGAGGAAGACGAGGCCGAAGAGGCCGGCGACGACTCTGCCGAAAATGAGGACGAGGACGTGGAAGAGGAAGAAGAAGATATTCCACTTTCAGACCTGGAAGAGGACGAGCGCGAGGACGTTGTCACTCACCAGCGCCTGACGATCAACAACGCCGCCGCCATCAATGCTTCCATCAAGCGCATTTCCTTCATCACTACCCAGACCCCATTCTCCGAGCACAACTCCTTAGTGTCGCAAGAGCCGATCGAAGTCGAGGACCCCAACGACGACCTCAACCGCGAGCTGGCTTTCTACAAGGTATGCCAGGCTGGTGCTATCCAGGCCCGTGGTCTGCTGAAGAAGGAGGGTATCTCGTTTACCCGCCCCGGTGACTACTTTGCTGAGATGGTCAAGAACGATGAACACATGGACAAGATCAAGAAGAAGCTATATGACGAGGCTGCTGGCAAGAAGGCTGCTGCCGAGGCACGCCGCCAGCGTGACTTGAAGAAGTTCGGCAAGCAGGTGCAGGTCGCCAAGCTGCAACAGAGAGCCAAGGAGAAGCGTGATACCATGGAGAAGATCAACACTTTGAAGAAGAGTAAGTTACAACCAAAACCTCATCTGGGTCGATGATATATTTCTTCGGCAAAAGTTCTCGGGCTAATCTTTTCTCTTCTACTTCACAGAGCGCAAGGCCGATTCTTCTGCCCCCACTGATGACTCCAATGATCTCTTCGACGTCGCCATCGAGGAGGCCGGTCAGCCAGACCGCAAGCGCGGCCGCACTGACGGTGGCCCCAACCGCCGTGCCAAGAAGGACCAGAAGTTCGGATTCGGTGGCAAGAAGCGACACATGAAGAGCGGCGATGCTGCCTCCAGCGGTGACCTGTCCAACTTTTCTCACAAGAAGATGAAGGCTGGTGCGAAGCGTCCCGGTAAGAGCAAGCGCATGGCTGGCAAGCGCTAAGGGAAGATCCTTGTCATCTGAAAGAGTAGAGGGAGGAGTGGGGAAACAAACGAGAAGAGCGCAGAGCTGAGAGTGACGAAGAGGTCAGCAGCGCACCAAAAATTCCTAGGTGGTCACCCACCATTGCTTTTGTGTAATATCTAGAAATACCTTGCATCTGCACATTCCTATCGAAAGATTGAAAAATTTAAACCACCCCAACATCGTAAGCATCATAAGAGTTCACTCCATCCGGCATCTCATCGAGAAACAAGCGTCTTGGCTCTCGCCGCGAGGTTGCCGAATAGGAAATTGGTCTCAAATCTTTCGATCAGATTAGATTTTTGACGACTTGGAATTCCGAAATACTTTTGGCTCTTGGGCTCAAGAGTTTACCATAAATATCAATTAACTCCCCCTCTGTACTACCAAAGCTTCAAGTTCAAGGCCCGAATCCTTCCAAGGTTTACTATGGCCGAGTACCGCTATTTAGCTGTTGGTCACCCTCAGTGGGTCGATGTTCGTGACAACCCATACCATACTCATGACTACTAGTAGAGTCATACATTGTACGGAGTAGAGAAACTGGAATTAAATAATGAGCCTATCTAGTTTCCCCATAATTTTCCCCCGAATACTCGCCGCGTTCCTATGAACAGAGACCACCTGGAGATCATTCCACGGCCTGAACTGGACATCTACCTAGGTACGTATTCGATATTCCCGCACGAGATGGACATTCCATCTGTGTACGAGCATACAAGCAATCAAACCAGACCGAAATACCTCTTCTGATCTATCTGCATGGTGGCAGTTTCGTTACATGAGGGCTTGAAACAGACGATACCTCATGTCGTGCGTTAGCAGCGCAGATTCCCGTGCTGGTGTTGAACGTTGAGTATCGATTGGCACCAGAGAATCCATTTCCAACTGGCTTCGAGGGTATTTTTGATGTCGTCCGCTGGGTAAGGGTTCCGTATCGACGAATGCCACCCGATAACCAAGCGGAGAGCTAACTCCCATCCAGATTGCCTCTCACGGATCCTCTCATCTACCCATCAACTTGCAGCGAGGATTCATTCTAGGTGACACATCTGCCGGTGCTAAATTTACTGCTGGCATTGCCCATCCTGCCGTGCAAGAAGGACTGGCACCAGCATTGACGGGCCTGTTGTTCCTGGCAGGTGGCTTTTGTCACCCCAATGTACGCCCAGAGGAGTATCGTGATCGAATACTAAGTGTAGATGAGATCAATGATGTGCTGGGATTTACGCGGAAATCCATTGACTATTTCGCGGCCAAGTATGGAGCTCCGCCGGATGATAAGCGTCTCTCGCCGCTTCTTTTTGAATCGCATGCCAATCTGGCGAAGAGGCGTATGTTTATGCGGGAGTGCCCCATGGTTTTTGGACAACTTGTCTTGACCTTGATGTGTCGAAAGATTGGCAGAAGGACTTGGTCGAGGGTGTTCAATTCCTCTTGGAATAATATTTTGTTCGGTAATTTCGAATTCAAGTATGCTTTGAAGAGTATCTAGTATGTGTACACGAATCAAGTAGTCTTTCGATAAATAGCCCTGAGAGAAAGAGAAATGGTAAATGCCAAAAGATCACAATTCCGATCATATTTCGCATAAAATTGGCCAACACATTTATATTTGTATTTTGAGATACGCCGAGATGCGATTCTACTCCTGGTCCTCAACCTCAGCCTTGGCGGCTCTCTTCTCTTCCCATGCCTCGAGGAACTTCTGGACCTTGGGGCCCCAGACTTCCTCGCCCGCATCAAGGTCCTTGTATTCAATAATGTTCTCCGGCTCGAGGGTGTACTCAGCCTGGCGGCTGCGGATGAGCTCGCTCATCAGAGCGCAGCTACCAACGGCCTTGCCTAGATCGTGCGCAAGCGACCGCACATAGAACCCAGATGTGACGGTCATGGAGATCTTGACTGCAGCAGGCTGAGCCTTCGGCTGCTCTGTCTCAGTGGCAGGAGCTTCGGCTGTTGCGGGTTCCGGGACAGGAGGCTCGGCTGCAGCAGGCTGGGCAGCGCCATCTTCAGAGACCTTTTGCTTTTTGGTAATATCTTGGTCCTCCTCCTTGGGGGAGTCCGCAGCAGGAGGTGACTTGCGTTTCGCGGACTGCGCCTCCGCGCCCTGGGAAGCTTCGCTTTCTGCCGATGGGACCACCGGCAGTGCGGCATCCTGCTCGATGAGCTTATCTGCAACGAGCTTCGCATCGCCAGAAATCTCTTCTTCCGGCCACTTGTGCTCGTGTGTACCAGGGTCATACCACTCGACAATATCCATGTTCAAGACCTCCACCGGCCGGGACTTGATCTCGATGGGCGGGGCCTTGCCCTCACGCGCATACTCGTACAATTTCTTGCCCTCCACCTTCAACGCTGAGAAGATCGGTGGGCGTTGCATGATCTTGCCGCGGAATTGCTCCAGGGCCTTCTCGACAGCCTCGCGTGTAATATGCTCGTAAGGTGCGCGGCGAACAATCTTGCCTAGTCGATCATAGGAGTCGGTCTCGGCACCGAAAAGTACAATTGTCTCATAGGTCTTGGTGCACGCCAGGAAATCATTGAGAGACTTGGTACCCTTGCCGACACCGGTCACCAGAACACCAGTCGCAAGCGGATCCAGAGTACCGCCGTGGCCGATCTTGACGTCTAATCGCTGAGTGCGCCGGCGCTTGCGCTGGTACTGGCTTTCACGCTTGCGACGAGCACGTTCCTCCTCCAGCCATGGCCTGAAGAGGTCGGAAGGATTGAAGTGGTGTTGAAGCTTGCGAATCACGTCTGCCGAAGTAACGCCCTGCGGCTTGTGAACGGCTGCAAAAGTCAGTAGGAGTTTCTGGGTTGGAGTAAGGTAGTTTTGGGGGGGGGAAGACATACCGAAGACGCCCTCGAAGATCTTTTCGCCGGACATTCTGTTTGTGCGGAAAGCTCGTAAAGCAGACGGAAATACCATCTGGTGTAGAGTTGTCAAGAAGCTTAAGTTCCAATGCGAATGGAATCTTCGGAAACGGAGTGTTGTAATTTTGGGGGGTATCGGGCATATCGATAAGGTATTGGTAATTACCGGCATGTCCCAAGAGACCCGCGAGAGGAAGGAAAGGACCTTGTATCAACACCAACACCAACACCAACACCAACATTCATTCACTCTTCCCTTCCTTCTCTTTCTACAGTCTCGACCGCATCGAAAGCCTGTGGAAACCTCACTCTTCTCCCGATACACAATGCTGCCACCGCGATCATGACGTCCCGTGAAGAAACCGTCCTACCTCCCATTGATGCCTCCATCGGCGACGAGAATGAGTGGCCCGAATTCGAGCTCACCGATGCGAAGGTTTTGCGACCTGGAAAGATGCTATATGCAAACCTGTTGGAGGCATCTGAGCAGTCCCCAGTTCAAGTGATTGGCTGTCTGGAGCTCAAAAAGGGTCAAGAACACTTATGTGCGTCTACTTTCTCTTCCCTGTCGCAGTCCGCTTATCGCAACGGCGTACCGGTGCACGCGTCGTGACTATTAAGCTTGACTTTGGTTACTCATCCCATCATCTTCCAGTGCTCGAACGCGAAAAGCCCAATCCTCGCGTCATACTTGATAACGTCACACATTATGCCTATGGTCAGATGGAAGATCGAAGTGTCGAGATGTGGGCGGCCGGTAAGTCGGGCTGGTACAAGGTCTCACCAGCCAAGGGCTACCAGCCGCACTTCAATCGCATCGTCCAGGCAGTCGATGCCTTTTATTTCATGATGGACAAACACCAGCATGGCAGGAAACAGCTTAATCCAACCTTCAAGAATCTCTGCGAGCAGGTAAGTGCTCTCTCGTCCGACTCTTCGGGATGACCCCCCCACTAACCAACCCCGGCCGATCAGTATATCTTTCACACACATGGTGCTTGTGAAACGGCAGAGCAATCAGCAGACGTGTTTATGGGGCATGCTTCCTTTCTGCTCCGCTGTATGATCGAAGAAGATGACGATGGTGACGTGCAATGGACTAAAACCAACGTTTTCCTGCATCTTCGCAGGCAGTTCAAGGTGCGCAAAACAGCTCATGATCTTCGCGTCGCTATATGAGATGATTACTGACTTATCCCATCCTCAAAAACAGGATGAATACAAATCGCTTGTAGATCTTCATTCTCCTAGGAAGACAGATATGAACAATCTACCGGAAGAACCTGAAGCGTCAACTCCGCGCCACGAACCCACTGCCATTGCAAAATCACAAGCAAATACCGTGTATCAGCTGGTAATTGAGCTCAAGGATGAGGGCCACCTGGCGAAGCGTCGGCTTCACATTGATCTTCTGGCAGAACGCCTGTCAGAGAAATATTCTTTCAGCCCAGAGAATGCTCATAAGATCATCGCGGCGAGAGCAAATGCTGTGCTGGAGATGTTAGACGAAGATGACACGCCTAGCTTCAAATGGTCACGATATGTCATCCACCGAGAGCTTACGAACGCTGCCTCACAAAACGTGATTCTACCACCGGGCCTTCTCACGCCCTTACAATCAACTGAGGACTCCAGTGATGACGAACATCTAATAAGGACCCAAAAATCCGTTCTCCGTCCGAAGGGGAATTCTTCCGTCTCTGGGAAAGTCATGGGAAAACGTAATCGCAATGCCAATGCAGATCAACAGAACGGCCAGTCTGGCATCGAAGCCGATGCCGATGCCGATGCCGATGCCGAAGACGAAGATGAAGATGAGGACGAAGATATGGAAGACGTCGAGACCCCGAGTAAGGTTCGGGGCCACGAGCTGATCCGAACTCCCCTGGCATCTGCCAAAGTTCAAGATCGCTCATTCCTCGGCAACCCCCAATCCGCAGCCGCCTCCCTTCTCAAGAGTGTTCTTTCTGCAGATGTACCAAAATCATCTGCGCTGACATCTAGCGCAATAAACGGAAGGTTGAGCTTTGGTGTTGGCCATCTCTCGGGCGGTCAAACGAATGGTCTCGTCGAGCCAGAAATATGGACTTGCCGCATCATCGGATGTTCTAAGACTATCACCAGCAAAGGGGAAGAACGCAGGAAAGAGATTTCCGACCATGGTGGGGAGCATGATTGGGATTTCCAGATGCAAGTTGAACTGGTCGAAGCAGAGCGTCGCCTGCAACCAAATCACCCTGTCAGCAACATGATGCAGTATCTACTCAACCAACACAACCAACAGATGCGTGCGGCGTTTCCGGAGATCTACCCACAAGAGATAGTAGTGAATGGAACGACCGAGCAACTCGACATTACCTCCATTGATGAGGAGCATTTCCTAGAGCCAGAGCCAAACCACGACCTGTCTGCCGAGTTAGACCTAAGTGTAAATGGACATACAACTTGAAGGTGTTGGAAATAACCAACCGCCTTCACGATCATGATGTACCGAATTTCCACGACTACCGTACGAGATACCACCACCACACGGGCTTGTGGTGACGCCGAGCCATCATGTGCTGCTTGGATAGGTACGCCTCGACATCAATTCTGCATAACAGTTTCAGGTCTAACATAATACCCTCTTTGCAGATCCACAGCTGTATACTACTTTCTGAATCAAATTGAACCCCATTTAGTCTAAATGGTCACTGAGATGCTCTGCATTTTGGCTGGGTGCCGTGCCTGCAAGTTCGCTCATGTAACCCTTCTAGGGAATACTGTTTAGTAACTACATGATGATACAATATGACTAGTCTGCCATTGTCTTGTTAGGTACTCTAAGAAGATTGAATTGCACCGAGTGATTGATATGCTCCTACTAGTAATACTAGTAATACTACCCAAGTCGGGCATAGATTCAAACAAAGCCACAGGCTAGATTCATCTTCCACAAATCGTGAAATCTGCTCAAAAGAGCGAGGCAGGTATGGTATGGTACTATGTACAATGCCGCATAAGACCACCGCTTTGAACCGCGGCTGCGGCCTTAATAGCCCAGGAAAGAGTAGCCAAAGCCTAGTGAGGCATGGGGAAGGAATGGGAAGCTATCTAATACAAACCCCCGGACCTAAGAGGGTCGATGTTGGACAAAGCGTACGCTCTGATTTCACCTGTGCAGGGATGGGGGAGGAGAGGGAAGGAAGGTCGAAGGATAGAAGGAAAAGAAGCTTTTTGACTTGGAGGGGTATACCACGAAAACATGCCACATATATCACGCACATACAGGATGAGGATGAGAGAGAGAAAAAGGAAGTAAAGAGAAGAGAACAAGAGAAGAGAACAAGAGAAGAGAACAAGAGAACAAGAGAAGAGAGAAGAGAGAAGAGTGAAAGGGAGAGATGAAGGTCGGAGAAAGGAAATATGAAAGGTTAGTGCAGGAATGTCAGGTAGGAACGCAATGTCTAGCTGGTTGAGATGGAAAGAAAATAGAATAGCGTATGCAGAAAAAGATCAAAGGTACAATGATCAATGTGTTGAAAAGGATATGAGAGGGATGAAGAAGAAGAGGAATTTAAATAAAGGAATCCTGTCCTCAAAAGATCGGGGCAGGAATTATTGTTGATGAACAATGTGAGCGTCGACAAGGGCTGGAGCGTGGTGTTAGCAAACATAAAAAATATTAGTCGTAGTGGTTAAGATTGACTTACTCTGAAGTGCAGACGATTGTCCCTGTCGCGATTCGCAGGCGCACTGAAGGGTACTTCCATCTAAGAAGTCCAGCAAAATGCTGTTAGGCAGCTCTTGCATGTCCTCGTCGGGAAGACAGGGAGTTCGGAACTCGCTCAGGTGGTATCGCTTGGTCATGTTGCGAGCAGTGGCATCAGTAGTTCCAGGCGCCAGGACAAGAAATCCGTTCTCGTCGATGCGCATAACTCGGCGCTTCCAAAGGAGGGTATCGGGGAATTGTACGTTGACTTCGCCAATTTCGATGGGGTCAGAGAGATGGCCACGAGATGACGAGGGGGAGATGGCCGATTCGTGCACAGAGATGGGGTCAATATCTTCCTCTTTCACTGGTGGGGACAAAGCTCCAATGATGCTACGACGAGAGTTTGAGGTCATGGAGGATACACGACGCATGAGGCGCGAGGCGCGAGAGCCCTTCTTTTCATCAACGGGAGAGGATGAGGTCAAGTTCTCATCGGTTCGGGAGCGCGAAGAGAGGGAGAGACGACTGCCTGGACGGGAATTTGGGGTAGCTTGTCGGCCAGACCCAGCAGATGAAATCGACATGCTGCGGTCCTCTAGGCGATTGATAGCCTCAGAGCTTGTATTTTGAGGGAGAGGGGGCTCCGAGGTCTCATGCTCCACGGTTAGTGGACTGGCCTGGAGATTGAGAACATCAGACTCCGAAAGCTCCAGTCCAGAAGAGCCGGGAGATACATCCGCGTCGCGGACTATACGAGCCGTCACTGAGATTGAGTTGGTCCGACGGGTACTAGTCGAGGCAGAACGCGAGTCCTGGCGGCTCAAGCTTGGTGCGCGAGAAAAATCCGGAGTGCTGCCACTGGGGATAGAGATCGATGCACGCTTGCGTAAGTTCTCGAAGGATGGCGAGGTTGAAGGGGCCGTCAGAGTGGCCGTCGACCCGGCTGGAGTGCCTTCACGGCTAGAAAACTTCTCCAGGGCCTTGATACGAGAGGAAATGCCGGACGATACGTTGATTTTCTTAGCCATCAGCACCGGGGTCGGAGGGCCGTTCTCAGGATAGGAGCTAGATGCAGATCTGCCCACTTGCAGTGCCTGTAAAGCGGAAGGAGAAGCAAGGCCATGCGGGCTGGAGACGGCGCGGGAGCCTCTCCAGGTGTTCTCGCCTCCGTTGGGCGACTTGACCGAAACTGGTCTGGCCTCCTGCACGGTGGCCGATCGGAGCTCTTCCATGAAAGAGTCGTCCGACAGAAGATTGTCGTCGTCAGAGAATTCGTGGGTTGGGACGTGGATGGGCTCCAAATGAATATTTCGCCTTTGGTCTAGAGGGAGCAGTTCCTCTCTTGGGGCTAGGGGGCTCTTCTGGGGCAGCTTCAATCGACACCGAGACGGGCGCGACCGAGGCCTCCAATGGTTCAGCCACAGGAGTTTGGAATGGGATTGTGGGGAATGATATGGCAGGCAGGGTAACTTGTTCAGTGGCCTCCGGCACGGTAGCTTCAACGGCTTCAGCCTCCTCTAAATGCTGATCTGCCGCCAGTGAAACTTGGGGTTGTTGGAAAGGAGCGGCTCCTGATTCAGGCTTCGGGTCTGAAACTTCGGCCGACTCCCTGTCAAGTGGAGATTCGGCAGAGACGCTAGGTGGGACTAGGTCACCCTTAGTCTCGCTTTGGCCAAGGATTGCGGAGTCTTCTTGATCGGCGCCTGTTTCATGATCAAGGACCGTCTGTGGAGTCTCAGATGGGGCATCTTCAAGAACTGAGTCAATATGCGTAGTAGAGAATGTGGTATCGGCACTGGGCTCCGAAGTATGTGATGACGGTTCGCCTTCGGAATCTGACTCGGGCACGGAAGTGGAGGATTCTAGGGCTAAAGTGTCCACAGAGGGTGAGAGTTGCTCTTCCGGTTGAGTAGGCTCTTTCGATTTGGAAGGCTCCTCGGGGTGGGTAGGCTCCTCGGGGTGGGTAGGCTCCTCGGGGTGGGTAGGCTCCTCGAGGTGGGTAGGCTCCTCGAGCTGGGGATGCTCCTCGATGTGGTCATCCTCGGGTAGGGTAGGCTCCTCAGGCTTTATAACCTCTTCTTCCTTGATGACTGGTTCACAAACCGAATCCAGAGATTCTTCTTGATCGATAAGAGTCTCTTCCTCAACTGGAATTTCTGAAGTCGAGGTAGATTCGAGGACGGGCTCAGCAGCCGGCAGTTGCGGCTCTGCTTGAATTTCGATAGGACTCTCGAGACTTAGCTTAGCTGCTAGTGGTAGAGACTCATCCACAGATGGCTCTTCCTCTGTGGCAGGCCCAGCGACAGGCTCAGCGACAGGCTCAGCAACAGGCTCAGCAACAGGCTCAGCGACAGGCTCAGCGACAGGCAATTGCGGTTCTGCTTCGATTTCAACAGGACTCTCGAGACTTGGCTTGGCTGCTACCGGTAGAGACTGCTCTGCGGATGAATCTTCCTTTGCGACAGGCTGCTGTTCGACCTCTGGCTTCTCCGGCTCCGCCTGAGACTCCGGATTGATGTTTTCTTTATTGCCCTCGTAGGTTTTCGCAGCCAATTCCTCCGCTTTGGGCTGCTCTTCTACTTCTGGTATATTCTGTTTCTTCTTGTTCTCTGCCCGCTTGGCCATGTTTTTCTTTCGTTGTTGCAGCGCCTTCATCAAACGTTCCTTCTCGGGAGTCAATCCAGACGATGTTGACAATGCACCCAAAGACTTGGCGCCGGGGGATAATTGAGGCCTGGAGATGGGAATCGAAGGCGGAGGAACGAGCAGTGGAGGAATTGGTGGGGCTCGGCTGTTGGGTCTGCTTGCGAACGAGCTTCCTTGGGAACGTGGACGAGGGGCGTCGAGGGCGGCGTTGTTTGATTTTCGGACTGAAGATGAGCGCATATTGGATGGTAAGGATGCCACAGGCCGTTGGTCTGGGTTTCGTGAACTCCCCGCAGTACGAGGCCGTCCACTTTGATCAACAGAAGGACGTGGACCTAACTTGACCTTGGGAGTATAGCCCGCTGCCCGTTCCAAATCCCGTAGCGAGGGTCTTGCGGACTGGGTTGACATACGTGCCTCCTCCGACGGCCGGGGGAACTCATCTAGGATGTTGCGATACTTTGTATGTTCCGAACTGGAATCGGGCGATCTGGGGGATGTGGTCACCGATTGTGTTTCACTGGGACTTCTTCCACGGGAGCGTGATCTCGAACTAGCCCGGGATGGTGGGGGCCGCAAATCGGGTGACGATGTTTCAGGGCCAGCCGACGTAGTAGGGGGAGATGTTGGCGGCGGCGGTGATGTGGCTGGCGGTGGCACCACTGTAGCCTCTGATTTTTGACTCCCCGATCTTTGACGGGCCTCAGACCTTGGAGGGGCCACTGGGTATTCTTTTGTCTCTTCCTTTAACCCATTCTCCTCGGCATCCTCGGTTATCTCCACCAATCGACGACGACGCAGGGAGCTTGACGAGGAAGTGATGGATCCAGAAGCAGTGTGCAGAAGGCATGCTGATGACAAGGAACTCTCGTTGAGATCCGACGCTTGGGTCAAAACGAGGACGGTGTCGTTTGGGGTGAACTTATCGGTGACGGATTGAAATTGAACATTGCTGCGGGCTGTGGTCGAACATTCCAGTTAGACGATCCACTCAGATGAACAGTATTCCTCATCACCCCTTAATCTTGACCTACCTTGAATCAACCGTGACAAGCCTTCGGGCATATACCGCAAAATCACCTTCCTCCGCCGGTAATGCAGGAAACCGTATAGCGGTGACGTTTCTTCGTAGTTGTCGATGGCATTGCGTACCTCGGGGACCCCGCCGGTACCACGATGAAGGAGATCGACCTCATCCCTGGATATGTAGTGCAATAGGAACCTGAACGAAAAGCCGTGGGTTAGCGATGTACACTTCAAGCTTCATGTTGACAGATTGCGCGGCGCGTTGGGCGCAAAAGGGGGCCATAAGGGAGGAGACTGGTGGAAACAGGACACTTACCATCCGCCGGCGTCGGCCAGTGCACTCTGGTAGGCTTCGACGATGACGGGATTCTCTAGCCCATTGAGAGACATGGCGCGAACGACATGGAGGCAAGTCGAAAGCGAGTGAGTTGGAGGAAAAGGAGGGGAGCGGAGGTCTGGAGGTGTCTGGACGCTAGGCACATGGGCAACGGACACTAAGAGCAGCTCTGAACGGGGGGGGCCAGGGCCAGGGCCACGGGTTAGAGATCTCGAGATCGAGAATCAGTCCAATCACGATGGTTCAGGAGGAGCGAGAGGGGGCCGACAGTCGAATTGTCTGATAGGCTCTGCGGCGCGAACCTCAGTGGATGGTACCTTGTTGGGTTTCAGGGGGACCATCCGTTCGGTGGTTTGGAGACTCCACTCGCGGCTATCCCAATTTAAGTGGGCAAGCTGAAACACTCGCTCGGAGTCCGTTCTCTTTATAGCATGGTCGAATCCTGTCAGGTTGGTGTTGGCAGTTATGTAGTGTTTTCTTATTAGCCCTGTTCGGTATGTGCATGAGGCAAGGTTGCACAGAGGATTCTCCAGGGCTTCCATATGTAGATGTATAGGCAGTACCAAGTGTAGTGGTACTAGTACTCTGACATAGTGTACATCCCAGAATATTCCAGGGATTGATTTCGTATGCATATGCACATGCATATGCATACGAAATACTAGAGATACTAGATATACTTTATTCTCACTGGGGCATCCAAGGTATAAAGTACTAGTATCAACTTATCAACTTATCAAACCATCTCCTCCCGCGGATCCCCGCCTCGTCCTGAAGACACTCGGCGACCCCCGATGGCGGGGACCCAACAACCATTTCTACTTAAGGTCCACACACTACCTCCTCTTTGATTTGACTCGATTTGATTGAATTGACTCGACTCGACTCACTCCCATCTTCACCATGGAACTCCCCGCTCTCGCCTCGCTCCCCCTCGCTGCCACAGGAGGCCCAACTGCGCGTGCTGGACACCCTTTTCGAGCCCTCCCCCGAACTCCACCAATTGATGCTGCCCTTACTGGCGAACCAGACCTTCAACTCGTACGCGTCACTTATCGATGCCGTCGGGGGCCGCATGTCCGCCCTCTCCGCCAACTCCCCCCACTGACCGGAATGTTCTATTCGGCATTCTGGGCTCGCACCCTCGGCTCGGACGGCCCGCCGCTAACCCCGAACATCTCAGCGAATTGAGCAAAAGGGAACAGGCCCAGCTACAGACCGGCGCCGAAGAACAAGCCGAGAAGTTGCGCGCTTTGAATGCCGAGTACGAGGAGCGATTCCCCGGACTACGCTTTGTGTAAGCCCCTCCTCCCCTCCGATCCTTTGTTCTTTGTTCGTTTTCTGACAGCGCCGATCTTCTCCGATCACAGCTCCTTCGTCAACGGTCGCACTCGCGATGTGATTATGGTAGAAATGCGTCAACGTATTGACCGAGGAGACATTGACCGGGAAATTGCGGAGACCGTCCAGGTATGCGCCGAGCCTCTGCTATCTCCGACAAGCCCAAGGAAGCCAACTAACACACGAGCAGGCGATGTGTGATATTGCAAAGGATCGAGCACGTAAACTACAGGCGCGCATCTAAAAAAAAGACATACCGAGAGATACCCAACCAAAGACTACAACGAATTTCAATCTATGTATTTACGAACAATGCCCATCATTTGTCTATATTTTCTCCATTTGTAAGCGCTAGGCAAGTCTTAGCGACGCTTATCACCTGTTTCAGGGTCCAGTCTCGCATTCGTACAAAGGTCTTGAGACTTAAAGACTTAAAAGACCTAGGGCTCCACTTCATCGCCCCGATTTGATGTCATCTCAAAGTGCCTCTCCGGCCGGTGCCGCTTAGCCTATCGGCAACTTTTCTTTCAGAATGGCCTCAATTCTCCTAAGAGTCTAAGAGATTTCTTCACTATTTCCTATACTTGCCGTTTTTCTGGCTTCTCCGCTCTCCATCCTCACTCACTTCCATCCAATGCGGATGCGCGCATTGCCATGGCGGAGGGAAGCCAAGTTTCACTGACCCCCGCGATGACCGGGGATAACGCGCCACTGCGACCCTCGACATTGAGTAAGTTCCTATCTGGTCCGGTCGCTTTATCAAAGGCGATGCGATTCAGTAGGGGATCTTTTGATCCTGCCCGATCTACCTAGGTAGTCGATCAAACAAATGGGCCAAACCTTCTAGTTTCATCTTTCGTCCAGCACGGCCGATTCTGGGGTCCCCCGAACATGCGCGCTGATTATCCTGATTGTCATAGGTTCGGCCATATCGGACGTCGCGTCAGGATCCAGTTATAGCCAACAAGATGTGCAGCGCACCTCACGTCGTATGCCGCCACCCGTGGCAGCCGCAGGTCCTCTCGTCAGAAATTCTACCTCCCACACGCTACAGGAAACCCGCACCGAAGCCAGCGCCATTGATCCGTTGTCCCAAGTAAGCGGCCCCCGAATATATACATCCGAAGATAAGAAGTGCGAGAGTCTGGGGAGGGGCTGGTCGCATTGGAAACCCTAAATGGGAATACGAAGCTTGGATCGATTCGTATTTGCGGTCCCCATACTCAGCCGCATCTACTACTATTGGGACTCTGCAGATGCTCTGCAGATGTCATGAGTAAATCAACTGGAAGCTGACAAGCGGGTCCCATTGTAGCACATCATCCAGCGAACCAACACCCAAAAGTCAATTCCCTCAAAGCTTCTTGGTCGGGCATCTTATGAGGCCGAAGCCGGTGGTTCGGAATACAGCCTGTCGGAACAAGGCGCAATTCGGAGCGGAGGTCGGGGCGATGCGTCACCAAACTCAAAGCCCAAAGAAAAGAAGTGAGTAAAACCCAAACGCGGTGTGTTTCCTACCTAGTATCAGGGCGTGTGGTCTCTGGTCTCCGATGTCTCATGGTTGCGCCTGCGTGATGCTCCCCCCGCGGAGAGACCGCCACCAAATCCCGCGGGGGGGCCCTATTTATAATTTTTTATTGCATAAACATGGCTGACTTAAATTGCTCGTGTCCCCTTCTCGTGATATGTAGAAAAGGTGTTTCTTTCCTGAGCCGCTTTATCGGTACAAAGAAAAAGGATCAGCTGTCAGACGCAGAAGATGAGAGCTCCGGACCCGATCCTAGCCGCATGTCCATCGATACTTCTCACCCAATAGGATTCATTCCACGACATCCTGCGCCGGCCAGATATCTGCGAGTTCGTACGCATTACAAGAAAGACAAGGAATTCGATAGGCTCTTCCTGGCTCAGGAGCTCACCGGCATCCCCGGACAGCAGCGTGCCACGGAACGTCGGATATCAACATCTACCTCTTCCCAGAATGGCGAACACACCGGTCGGGCGATATGGGCCCTGGAATTCTCAAAAGATGGCAAGTATCTAGCTGCCGCGGGCCAGGATAAGAAAGTCCGGATATGGGCTGTCATATCCACTCCAGATGAGCGCGAAGCTGCCAACCATGACGATACGGAAAAGCCCGGCAATGAACAAGACCCGCCACGCCTGAAAGCGCCTGTGTTTCACCCCAAGCCAGTTCAGGTTTATGAGGGACACACCGGTAGCATTTTAGACTTGAGTTGGAGTAAAGTAAGTCACTGAATGTACCGAAAGGCAATATTCTCTGCTGACTTTCGGACTAGAACAACTTTATTCTCTCTTCGTCGATGGACAAAACCGTTCGACTGTGGCATGCAAGTCGACCCGAGTGTCTCTGTTGCTTCCAGCATAGTGATTTTGTCACCTCCATCCAATTCCACCCCCGTGATGATCGCTTTTTTCTCGCTGGATCGCTTGACACCAAGCTCAGACTGTGGAGCATCCCTGACAAGAGTGTCGCTTTTATCACGGCTGTTCCTGACATGATAACTGCGGTGGCGTTCACACCGGATGGTCGATACTCGATGGCTGGATGTCTGAATGGAATACTGAATATTTATGACACAGAAGGTTTGAAGGTTTCCGGTCAGATTCATGTTCGATCGGCGCGAGGACGAAATTCCAAAGGTAACAAGATTACGGGCATTGATACAATGATCAGTCCACCGGGTGACCCCAAAGGCGACATCAAGCTATTGGTTACCAGCAATGACTCTCGAATCCGACTCTACGATTTCCGGGATCGGGTATTAGAGGCCAAATTCCGTGGAAATGAGAACAGCTGCAGCCAGATTCGGGCAACCTTCACAGAAGACGGCAAACACCTCATCTGTGGAAGTGAGGATCGCCGTGCCTATGTTTGGCCGATTGGAACCGTAGAACGTGACACAGATAAGCGTGCCTGCGAGATATTCGAGACACAGTCTGCTATTGTGACGGTGGCTGTGACGGCTCCAACTGCGACAAAGCAGGTCCTAGCTCTGTCCGAAGACCCAATCTACGACATCTGCAACCCCCCGCCCGTCGCACTTATGAGCCCTGAAGAATCTCCCGAGGCGCCAAAGCAGGAAAGCTCAGGAAATGAATCTGGCAGCAAGCATATCCGGACCGGATCTATGCCGCGACTATCGATTGTTAGCAAAATGGCGCACGATTCGCCGTCATATCTCACTCGATCAAAGCATCCCGGTGGCAACATTATCGTGATGGCCGATTATTCTGGTAAAATCCAGGTCCTCCGACAGGACTGCGCCTATGACAAACGACGATTTGAAAACTGGAATGCCAATTCAACAATCTCACGACGTATTATGCGGCGGTCGAATTCAGCACGTCATAGTGTGGCGTCTTCAAACGGCAAAGAGTCAACCCACAAGACGCCGTCCGAGCGGATCGTTTCCTGGCGCAACTCTGTTGTTCGCCATGGGCGCACGAGCACAGAAGGCTCGCGTTCCGGCCTGAGAACCCGCAGCCCATCACCTCACCAGCCCCGAGCCGCAACGTTTCGTCTCACCTCATCACGGCCGTCAAGCATGGGCCCCCATGAGTCCCTTTCAGCGGCCGCCACGTCCCCACCGTCATCTCCACGTCCATCTGGTGCTCATACGAGACAACCAATTGAGAAGAGAGCTGGGATGAACGGACATGGTCCTGTCGCTGGCACAGATCTGCGAGCACTGCCGGCTTCTTCGACCGGCATCATAGCCAGTGGCAAGGGCAAAGATAACCCGCTCTGGCTCCAAGGTGACCACAGCTACGCCTACTGGAACAAGATAACACATGATGCGCTGGCAATGCGGTCTCGGAAATCGAAAGACTTTCTGAGTCCCAACTCGATCCAATCTGACGAGCGCAAGCCGAGCACGACCAGCAGCATCCTCAGCAGCGACTACGCCTCGTCGACTGGCGAAAAAGACGAAGATATTCTCAGATGCGACCACTGCCGTGGTTCAAACTTCCGTGGAGTCAAGGGTCGAGACGGTAAGCAGAAGCTTATCTGCGTTCAATGCAACCGGTCTGTCCCTTGATCTTCAACTCTGTATTATTTATGATTAATTCTGTTCATGTTTATGGTTTGGTATTGGGCGAGGGGGTTGGGGACTTTTTGGACATATTTGCTTACATACCAGCGTGCTTGTTACTTATTTGTGGTCATTTGCAAAAACTCGCTAGGTGTTGAACTGAGTATCTGCTTCAATGGTGGAGCTTCGGTTTCTTTCAAGGTTACCAGTATGTATGATATGATGGTTATGAGAAGGAACACGTTATGATATCGAAGACACGGAAAATAATGAAAGTAGAAAACAATATAAATCCAAACTTTACTTTACCAGTTACACTTCTCCTTTGTATCAACGAAAAGAAAATGGGACTTATGATGATGCATGACTGACTTCCTGATCTGATCTACTTTGGTGCGGAGTCGATGCCAAGACTGGAAAAAGTCCGGCGCTGATAACTGCGGTCTTCCACCCCGGATCTCCTCTCAACCACCACTCTCTCCCAACATCCTTCACTTCCCCAGCAGCTTTTATTCTCTACCATAGGAATACCCCCCCCCCCCCAAGGCGGCAGATCTATCCATCTACACCGAATCTCCACAAAATCCCCTCCAATTGCGCAGTCTCGATCTGAACAGCGCAGCAAAAGCGAGACCGGCTCTCGCCCACTACAATGACCTACCTCGAGACCTCCCAGGCCTACCTGGAGCAATCGGCCCAGCTCCTAGAGGCATACCCCGAGACGGTAAGCCCAGCTCCATCGAAACCAGCGAAAGCCAGCGACAACCAAGTTGCCCGCATGAAGCTCGCAACGAACAACATCACAACTTCCCCCAACCCAACCCTCATATATTCAAACAACCTCACCTACCCACCAAACCTGCCCCTCCCCTCACACAAAGGCCCAGCAAATACCATATCACTCCATCACACTAACAAACCCCCCAGACCCGCATAACAACAAAATACAACTTCCCCACAGAACGCCCCGCACAAGTCCTCAAACGCACAAAATCACAAGCCAAATCCAACAAGCCCGCGCCAACCTCCTCCGAACCCGCCGCCCCCATCGCCTCCCTAACGCTGAAAACCTACAACCCGGAATCCGGCATCACGGTCCAATACCGCACGAACAAGCTTCAAGAAGTCGGGCGCTTGATGACGGGACTGGGAAAGCTGGCTGCGGGCGCGGATGTTGCGAGCCTGGGATTGTCGGCGCCGGGGGCTGATGTTGAGATGACGGATGCACCGGAGGAGGGGGCTGGGTCTGCACCTGCACCTGCACCTGCGGCTGTGAAGGGTCCGGCGCAGGGTGGGAAGGGGAAGAAGAAGAAGGGTGGGAAGAAGTGAGGACCGTTATCATGCGTGATATTATGAGCTGGATGGGATACCTCAGGCTTAGATTATGCTTGCAGATAGATTATGTTCAATCTGTCAGATCTTTATCTTTATAGACATAATGACGTGTTGCGATTACGAACTGGCTATCTTATGCGCGACGAGTACTATCCGAGGATTGATGAGATGCTGAGTGATCTATGCCCAGTGGGATGCTTTATTATACAAAGAAAAACTAGTACTAACAGAGACTACTAGTACGATGCTGTTGCGCGAGGATACACATGAAAGAAGTGATTCAAACGTTTTAGATACACATATCCGCCATCCATCCCATATTAGACATTGCGAGGGAAGTCTAGAACAGACCGAGAAAAGAGAAGAGAGAAAGAGTATTAACGCCATGCCCATGCGTAACCTTGGAAAGCCCGTCAATCAAGAACGAAAACAAAAAGCAGCGTCAAATCGTGTGGAAGAAACGCCGTGGGACAAGCCCACAGCGTGAGGGTATAAAACAAAACGGGGAGAGGGGAGGAAGAAATCGACAGTGGACAGCGTCTAGAAGTCCTCGTCGAAGTTCAGGCCATCGCTGGCAGTGGTCTGCTCGCCATCGGCGTTGGTTTCCTTCTTGGTGGAAGCCATGACACCGGCCTTCTGGTAGTCACCGACACGCTTCTCGAAGAAGTTGGTCTTGCCAGCCAGGGAGATGGACTCCATGAAGTCGAAGGGGTTGGCAGAGTTGTAGTACTTCTGGTTGCCGAGGGCGACCAGGAGGCGGTCGGCAACGAACTCAATGTACTGGCACATCAGCTTGGAGTTCATGCCGAGCAGACCACAGGGGAGAGCGTCAGTCAGGAACTCCTGCTCGATGCCGACAGCCTCAACGATGATGTCCTCGACAACCTTCTTCTCAGGGCGGTTGTTCAGGTGAGAGAACAAAAGGCAGGCGAAGTCAGTGTGCAGACCCTCGTCACGGGAGATCAGCTCGTTGGAGAAGGTCAGACCGGGCATGAGACCACGCTTCTTGAGCCAGAAGATGGAGGCGAAGGAGCCGGAGAAGAAGATACCCTCAACAGCGGCAAAGGCAACCAGACGAGAGGCGAAAGTGCTCTCACGGTCGTTGATCCAGCGGATGGCCCAGTCAGCCTTCTTCTTGATGCAGGGAATGGTCTCGATGGCATCAAAGAGGTAGGTGCGCTGCTTGGGCTCCTTGATGTAGGTATCAATGAGGAGGGAGTAGGTCTCGGAGTGGATGTTCTCCATCATGATTTGGAAACCGTAGAAGCAGCGAGCCTCGGTGACCTGAACCTCAGCGCTGAAACGCTCGACGAGGTTCTCGTTGACAATGCCGTCAGAGGCAGCGAAGAAAGCAAGAACGTGAGAAACGAAGTAGCGCTCGTCATCGTTCAGGCGGTTGTGCCAGTCGTGGAGATCCTTGGAAAGATCGATCTCCTCAGCAGTCCAAAAAGAAGCCTCGGCCTTCTTGTACATTTGCCAGATCTATAGATAGAAAACGAGTGATCAGCAATGCATTTCTTTACCGGGTGGTGCAAAGTGGTTCAGGCTCGAACCACTTTACGCGTGGACGCGTCGGCGACGTGACTTACCTCGTGGTACTTGATGGGGAACATAACGAAGCGGTTGGGGTTCTCCTGCAGGAGGGGCTCAGTGGCCTCAAGCTCCTTCCATGTAGGAGCAGCCTTGGTAACCTCGAGGGGCTTCTCGGCGATCTTGTCGGTGGTGGCGTCGACGGGCTTGAGGTTCTCCTTGCCGACAGAGGCGAAGTCGAGCTTCTTGATAGGGGAGTCGCTCATCTTGAGGTTCTCGAGGGAGGAAGCAGCCTGAAGAAGAACACGAGTTAGTGAAAATGAATCTAGAGACGCGTCTTGTCGCGAGGGGCGAGAGTCGTGACATCACGTACCTGCTTCGAAGGGGTGAGTTGAGTGGCCATTGAGACTTGTGTTTGAATGTGAATGATGGTGTAAGACAAGATAGGATACAGGTCAACCACAGGAATAGTCAAAGTCTTAGGAATGGAGGGGAGGAAAGTGAGGTGCAAGCTGGGAGGGAAAAGATTAAGTAGTTTGGCGACGTGAATCTTTTAGCGTGACTTAGCCCGTCACGTCGCACGTGACCGCGCGCCGCGCTTTCCCGGGAAGCAAGGCAAGTCGCGTCGCCGAGGAACGAATCGATGGAATATGGGGCAAATTACGGATACTCCATCTCATGTACTCATACCACTGCCTTTCCACCGAACTCCGACGCTAGGACAGTCGATCCATGGCCGTGCCTGCGGTAGCCCCCTCGACGCTGCATATTATACGGACGTTTGCACCCTGTTCCATTCCTGGAAAATAGTCCCTGGATTTCATCTGCCAATTGAACTCGCCCTGCCGATTTATGGTATCTACACACTACTCAATCCTTGAACAAAAAAATATTTCAAAGGTCTTTATGGAGCCAAGGCCCCAGAGCTCTCGTAAACAACACGGCCCCAGCGACGCGTCTCATCAAATTTTCAGCTCGACGTAATATGTGGGCTCCACCTTGGCTGAATCACGATCAGATAAGCCCAGGCAGACGATCACCACGCGCTTGACCGACGCGACACCGGATATACGGAGCTAATTGGCAATCTAGACCAGTAGAGCTCCATCAACACAGGCTAATGTACGGAGTAAACCACAAGGAAGCTCCTGCTGGTTGCCCCCAGTCAGCCCCTTGAGCCATAATCTGGAGTGATCATCCGAGAGGGGCTATGTATTGATATATATGGGCATGCTCACAATTATCAGACACACCTTAAGTCAGCTGTATATTCAACTCTTCCAATTCCACCTGTCACTTTCAATCTCAATATCTACTAAATGCACTGTTAATCCTCCGATCCAGGCCAGATCCTAAGCTCTAGAAGGAATGAAGGAGCGTTCACCCAATACAGAAACTTCATGGAGTGGAGTCAACAAAATCTCACGCGTCGGAGAATGTGCCGATCCGCTCAGCTCGCGTGGAGCTGGGGCGCGTACGGAGTACCTGAAGCTCCATTGCTTGCTGGGGAAACAACATTGACAGGGGTTTCAGCCTGGCTCTGCACCAATCCATGTTTGATCCCTTCGGCCTCGGCGTGAACGCGTCTCCACCCGCCAACGCGATGCTCTAGCAACCCTGCATATGCGGTGAACTTTCGGTCTGCATTGACCATCTCTAGCTCCTCAAACAGAGGCACTTTAGCTTTTTATTTGGCGGATCTCGGCCGCCTCCTCCTCTCGGAACCTGTCCTTCCGTTCTGGCGTATGAATTGAATTTCCGACGCGCGGAGCCGTACGCGACTTGGCCTCTGAATTTCGCGACTCTGCCTATTCTATAGCTTGGCAGCTAGCGTGGGTTTTCCTTGATTTTCTTTGAACGGCAACTAATTTAGTCCTCCAATTGCAAACGCGGGGTGCAAATCCTTCTAAACATGACGCGTTTTGGCTGCAACAGCAGAAAGCCGTGACATTCGCGTCGCTAGGATTCGCACTCAAATCACGAGCTCTTCAGCTTTGTTCCTTCTATGTACAAACTGGGTTTGAAACAACTTCTATACAGAATGGGGTGGAATTTTGGATTCTTATAATTTTCTAGCCACACAACTATAAAGCCTGTTTGAGTTCACGTTTCTCACAGCAAAAGAATACGCAAGATATAGAGAGCCCTGCCTCAAGGTGATATCTCTCTCTCTCTCTCTCTCTCTCTCTGTGTGTGTTTCTCAATCTTGTCTCCAAATCAATCAATGCCAGCTACGGCGACCCATTTTAGGGCTATTTTGCAGCGCAGCATTGGGAACGTAAAGTGGCATTGAGTCCTCCCAGAGAGAGTCTGTCAATACTTGCTTGTTTGAGCCATCCGCATCCATGACCACCACCTGCCCATATGGCTGAAAAGTCTGGTCATATAGAGCGCACTCATACTGGAAGCCAAACATACCAGTGGAATACGCGATGCGGCCATCATGCGTCCATACTGCATGAGCATCGTTTGCACCGCTACTAGTCAGAACCTTGATGTCGGTACCATCGGGCCGCATAGTGCAAACATCGTAGTTGGTATCGCTGACTTTGCGGGTGAACACGATGCGCTCGCCATCGGGGGAGAAGAAAGGCAGGTTGTCCCATTCGGTGGTCAGAACGGAGATCTTTCGCGTCTCTAGATCTAGCATCCGTAGACCGAGCTGCGACTTGTCTCCCTGGGTAGAGTTATAGCCCCACACCCGGAAGACGATCTTCTTGCCGTCATGCGAGTAACTGGGGAACCCCGAGTTTATAATGCTGCTGTTGGCACTGAGGGTGGTAGTACTTTCGGTGAGAACTTCATAGTACGACCCATTGGCTGTAGCGCGCACCAACCAGCCGCCACTCTCGGAGCGAGTCTGGAACCAGAATCCAACGCCAAAAGTGAGCCATTTCCCATCAGGGGACCAAGAAGGTTGGAAGGCTCCAGCCAGACCTTGTGAGACTTCCGCTGTCTCGAGGAAATCGGTCGTCATGTCGTTAAAGACCAGGTGCTCGTTGGTTCCATTGGCATTGAATGACACGATGGATGAGTTTCCGAGTTGCTTTTCAGTCATGGCGAACATGTTTTGGTTGGATAGTTGAGGGAAAACATCCGTGAAACGGTATTCCCATTCTGGATCCCAGCTGTAGAGCTTCTTATCCATGGGGCGGATGTTCCATTCAGTCTTTTCATAAACAACTTGCTTTCCGTTGGGAGACCATGCTGGCGAACGCACTGTGGCGCTAGAAGTGTTGAAGAAGCTACCGCTGGTAGTGTAAAATCCCTCCTTACCGGTAGCTTTGGTGAAATAGGCAATGTTGTCACTGGAGAGGTATTGAGGAAATATCTTGACACCGGCTCCCTGTACTTCAATACGACGAGACCCCGTCTCAAAGTCCACTGAAATGATTGTCGAATTAGCCGAGTCGATTGACTCGGGTCGATGAGAGTTCCAAGTGTCCTCTCGTGTCATTTCATAGAAAAGAATTCGTTTGCCATCCGGCGACCACTTGGGTGATCCCTGAGACCAACCACTCCTGGTAGCGACTTGTCGGAAATCAGAGCCGTTTGGCCGAATGGCATAGATGGAGAGTTCTTGAGTATGCTCCCAGCCGCTGACGCCCATGAAGACGGGATCACCATGCCCATACCAACCCGAGTTCCGATCCGAGGAAAAGGCAATCCATTCACCATCTGGTGACCAAGAAGGACGGAAATACCCATCTGGCAAAGAGGCGTTGGCTGCGGTCGAAGCGGTATCGGTGAGATTCCATTTCCTACCACTATCGATTTCCATCACCCAAATATTAGCCTTGTATCCATTCGCAGTTGATACATAAGTAACGTATTTTCCGTTCGGCGACATTACAACCGAGTCTTCAATTGACGAGGTTGCGACCAGCTCCTCAAGATCAGAGCCATTGGTTCGAACCCGATAGATATCTGAATTGCCGTCGCCATTGCGCTCGCTGGTAAAAGTAACCCATTCTCCATCCGGGGAGAAATCAGCGTGGTATTCGAAGACGGGGTTGGAGAGAAGGGGGCGTTCGTTCGTTCCATCAATATTGGCAATGTATAACTCGGATTTTCCTGGCGCAATGCGGTTCATATAGAACACACCCTTTCGGTTCGATGTGGGTGTATCGCGGGATACATGAGGATGCGGTGGAGGTGCTTGTCTCTTGTCGATACCCAATTGTGCGGCATATGGACACAGAGCTAACGCTGGCGTCAGGGTGAAGCCTAGTACGGCGGCGGCCCCGTAAAGAAGATGCATGATGGACAGGGCTTATTCAAAAGAAGAGGCTAAAAAACGACGACAAAGTCAAAGGCTCGCTGGGCGGCACCAAGCATATCTTATACAGAAGATTATTGCTCGTTCTAGAAAATCTTTATCCGACATGATCGATCTTTTCTTTTTTCGGTTGGTGACAGTTAATCTCCATTCTGCAAAAGGCAGGATTCTGCTCTAACAAGCAACACGCTTTGCCCACCCTAGCATCTCAGGCCGAAAAAGTGGGAATGTTTCGGAGATTTTGCAAGTGCCAAGAGCCAAGACTTATTATCTCATCTGATAGAGACATTGGGATGGAGCAATTCCTAAAATCTTGGTTTTGTATGGCTGTGTCAAGCTGTTACAACATGATGATCTTCGGGTAAATGGCCGATTGGGGTAGATTCGACCGTAAGCGAATTCTCGGAGTCGGAAATAACGAGCCAAGATTTCCTAACGTGGGGCAAGCCGTAGTGAAACATCTCTTCAGGCCTGTGCCTTGCATAAATCAAATCTTGATCGAATCATAATTAGCGATGATTTGAGGTTGCATCGAATGAGGTCTTTTCGATGTGAAATCTGACGAAGTATTGGGTGATCTCTCAAAAGGTGCAAAATGCACAGTTACGAGGCCTGGGGATCCGATTGAATCGTTCCTATAAAAAATAATTCGCTTGCCATCGGGCGACCACTGGCACTTGTCGGAAATCAGATCTGATAGTCCCCATGTCATAATTAGAGACTTCCGACTCGGAGTCTTAGGTATGCTCCCAGCCGCTGACGCTGGCATGAAGATCTTGGGACGGGAACGGCTGTACAACTTGAAATAGACAAAAACTTGAAGATGCATTGGACACCATCTTGGACAAATTATACAGAGTGCGAACAAAGCCAACGAAGCGTCTTGCATTTTGAATCACTACACGCATACGACCTATTTATTCCTCTCCTTCCTCTTCATCCGTCAGCCTTCTAATTAGCGACAGACTTAAGACCATGGTTGTAAGCCCAAGTACAGCCAGGGAAGACAGACCCACGCCTACCCACCCGATGACCATTGCTGTGGTCCCAACATGAGCTGTTATCTGTCCGTTATATAGGGTCTCTGCCATTGAAGCAGCAGCACTGGTACCTATTTGTTGCCAAAAGGTAGCTGTAAAGCCAAAGAATAACCCAAAAGTGGACAATGTCAGGGAGCTATGTGTTAATTTCCGACTGGGAAATGCCTTTATTTCCACTTCTTCACCCTCCGGGTCCATCTCCTTGTGCCAATGAGGAAAGAGCGTCAAAACGAAAAGGGCGAGGAATAAGAAAGCGATGGAAATGAAACTGGTCGGCAGATACATTAGCAAGCCTTCTCGAAAAACCTCGAGATAGTACCTAGATATATGTTCTTCTCACATTAACCCGTCAAAGATAATTTTCTTTTTGAAGTGATTGGCGATATAAACTAAATCGAGCAGATCGATTTTTCCTTGTGTTTTTGAGGCTTCGGTATACAGGGAAGTTTGTTTTCGTATCAGGTCAATCAGGTTACTGGCCTCTGTGGAACAAAATTGCAGGTTTGTTTCTCGTAACACACAAAGCCCCATATACCCCGCACGTACTTCGAAGGCTCCTACACCTCCTGCCGAAGATGAGTTGCTGATTGTGTAAGCAATAGTTCTTTTTGAAATGGAGGAATCCTCTTTTGCTGCAAGCTTGGTATTATCATATTGCAAAGATAGAAGATGTAAGTTTTTTGTTGTCGAGTTAACACAACCCGCGAGTAGTGTCGCTATAACATCATCATCTTGATGAGTCTGCAGACTCAACTAAAAAAAGAACTTCAAGTTCTATCTGGGCACAGGATCTTACAGTACAATGCAGTTGCTGCAGCTAGTAATAGCATCATGATATGATTGTATCCTATATTTCGTGGCTGAACCCTCTCTTCAGTTTCATGATTTCTTTATCAGTAGAATCCCCAGACCGGTATTAGAAAAAGCTTACCAATAATAGAGCCGAGTTTCATTTTCCTCAAAAGGTTGAACATCGTGCGTGCTTATCGAGGAGAATGGAATGAAGGCATAAGGAGAGGCACTTTGTTGCTGCGACAGTGTTGTAGCCACGCCCACACCCACCGAGATTAGGTGAATTAACCTTGGAAGTAAGCAGTCTTGGGCTCTGAAAAAATCCCCCGAGGCTTCTCTCTTCGTTGTTCTCAAGAGAAAATATATTTGGACTGAAGGAATCATAAACGATCAAAGCGAGGAAAGTGGTACCTCAACAGAGAGGCCCGACCGGCGGGGTATTAGGAAGCGAGTGGTGCCACGTTGTCCTGCAAGGTTGTATCACAGCTTACGCTGCGTGAGTATAGATATCCGATATACTGTGAGTTTTATGAGGGGCTGATGTTTGAGCCGCATCTTGGCCAGATTTATCTTTATTTTGGAAAATGACCACCAATGCTATTTCCGAGGAAGCCTAGAGCATAGAGAGGTCTATGTATTTAAGTGCCAGAATATTTGCATGAATCAAATCAGAGAAATCCTCTGTATTCAAGGCTCATATGCAAAGTTATACTAGGTGGAAATCGCACGATTCGGCGGCGTAGCTTGTTTACATATAGATAACATTTTGCTACCTAGTAGATGCTGCTTAGACTTCCAAGCGAAGATTAGTCTCGCGGCCAACAAGCTTGCGGGTTTCATATTTCCAAAAAAAACACCATATCGGGAATTCAAAATTTCACCATTCACGAGATTGGAAGAATTCTTTAATTTCATACCCCTTAAGCCCAATCAGCAGCGAGATCACAATGATTCCGACGGTGAGTGGCAAAGATACTTCCCAAAACAAAGCTTGCGAGCTTTCCATATCGCGAATGTCTACAGTATTCATCCCGAGATAGCTGGTTACAAACGAAAGGGGAAGGAAGATAACTGTCACCACGGTGAATACGAGAATGGCTTTCCCATGATCCTCTTGACGAACCGCAACGGCACTTTGTGTCTGCTTAGCTAGTGAGTCGGCCTTTTCGAGGAGCCGATCCAAATCTACCGTAGTATTGTAGTGACGTTCAATGATCTTGTCCATCTTATCTGTTTCAAATTTGAAAGATGCTTGACGCGATGTAGTTGTGACCCGGAAAGAGGAAGGCGAAAAAAGACCTTTGAGGTTGGCACCAAGAAGCCGTTGCTTTGCGGCGAAGCTTTTTATGATACCCAGCTCTTGTGTAGCGAGCCTTATGTCCGACAAAAGGCGATGACTGGGATTTTGGCTAACCTTAGACTCCTAAGAATTGAAGTTGTCAGCTAAATCATGATCGTCGCTCCATAGTATAAGTGCAAAGCAATATTTACTATATGCAATAGATACTGCTGATATATCTGAGTTAGAGAGACCTCAGTATTCATGGTATCTCGAGTGCGTAGATCATCCAATATTGTTGCGAGGATAAACTCCGGACTTGCAGCCTGATAAGTACCAATTGCCGAGGAATCATCAGTGATGGTCATGCGTATGATCTCCATTTTGGCATTTTCTAATGCAATTTCTGCTTGATTGCCATAATCAATTTGTCGTTGAAGACCCTTCACGTGAAGATGTGTCTCTGAAGGGTCATATCCATTATTGATTTGGGCTTCCAGTCGTGCATCGCGGGCTGACTTCGCAGAACAAGCTAACATCAACAGCAAATTTTCGAATGCGCTGACCAGAGATTTGGGTATCGGATACATATCACGATTGAATTCCCCATTATCTGCAACCCCGTACCGAATCTCTGATATCCTTGCATTCAAGGACGAGCAACTTTGCTCAAGCGCTTGCATAATTCGTTGACCAGCTTGGCGGACTTGCAGGTCGGCTCTCCTTTGCGGGTCCATGACCCAGTTAGTGGTCGGCTCGAGAGCCACGCCGCCACGAAAATGCTCCTTAACAAGGTGGTCTATGGCCCCGCGTCGTGTGAAGTACCTTGTCTCCTCTTGGCATTTTATGCAAGTTGAAATTGGGTTATCAATAGAACTCAAGTCATTTGAACCCCGCAAATCTTCTTCGGCGGAGTTCGATATATCGACAACTTGATAATTGCCCTGTTTTTCATGATCTGTGCTATGAATCTGTCTCATTTCACATACTTCGTTGATACACTAATGATGAATTAGCTAGATTAAAAAATATGCAAAGCTTTGAAGTCGATAATATACCATCAATAGCTCTGAAACTCCACCCAAGTATTTTGCCCCAACATCGCATTGGTAGGCGGTTGGCATGAAAAACTCCATAAGCCTGACTAGTGTGTTAGAAATATTGGCGAGTTCTTTCTTCCAGGGAGATAGAATCTGGGCTTCTGGAGAGTATTTCAGATTTTGTTCGGACAAGTCGGCTATACTCGGGGAGAATGTCTTCTTCATCAACAGTTCCACATCCATCAGAGAACGAGAAGAGATGCCCGTGTACAAGCTCGGAGAGCCAGTGAGTTGCTTGTGCATGTGGCTACACACGTAATTCAAGGACTCTTCTTCCGATCGTACAATATCAGTTCGCGAGGAGTTCCAGATGCTTTTATCTAAAGGCCTGCCAGCCTGGTTTTCATGCGGCTTCTCCCTCGCACCAATAGCCCAGGTAAAGACAGGGGGGACATTCGGACTGATCGCTGGCGTTCGTGGAGGTGTATTGCTAGATTGTAATTGTTCTTTGCCGCTCGGTCCAGAGCCAAGTGGTGTGTTATGTCGTGAGTCGAACGTAGCCGTGCCTTCGTCATCGTCCTGAGAAGCCATAGTAGGCGGCTGGAAATAAATGTCTTGCGCATCTTGCTTGGGCCGGGGATCGACTTGAACATTTTGAATTATTCCAGAGCTCGGTGGCAATAGTCGTTTATATGGGCGATTCGCAAAATTTGAACCGCCCGGCATCTTGCTTCGAACTTCAGGTGACAGATTCACCCCCTCTTTTTCCTTGGCCCATGTCGGCACTCTTTTGACCAAGGCCATGCGCCGTTCGCCACTTGCAAAGTTTTTTGGGTCATCTTCATCAGTTCTATTCTCTGGTTCACCCTCGGAGTCGTATTCTAGAGCCAATAGAGGAGCGTGAGGCTTCTCTAGCTTAGCCAACTGAACCTTGAGGGGCAATATCACTGATGATTGGCGGTTGGAAACCTTTTGCCAGTCTTCTGATAATACAGGCTGCCCAGAAAATGTGAAAATTTGACACTCAAGATCTGTGAGGTTTATGTCAGATAGGCAGATATGTCTAACTTTGTCCATGAAGCTCTGCGTATTCACTATGATCAGTTTCACATGTAATTAAAGCTGACAGGCCAGAACCAGGCAAATTTGGAATTCAGACTTACAAACCACGTGCGACAATCATGCATTGGTATAAAGAATACCCGCTGTAGGTGGTCGGTGAGACGGATAATGGATGGCGTGAGGGAATACTTTGGATTCACATGATCCACAATGTGCAGAGATTGACTAGTCATTTGAACGAATGAAATGGGCGCGCAAGTGAACAATAGTCCTGCGGGAGAGTCAGATTTGTTTGAAGATTCAAGAAGTTCTGAGTAGTCAACACACCAGAGCTTAACACCACGGCCCACAACTGGGGAACTGAAGTAATGTGATCCTTAGGGAACCTGCCTGTCTTTCGTATAACTTGCTCGTGCTCTTGTTTTTGCGTAGTCTCTTGATGATAGTAGGTCTTCAAAAGGCCACGACCAGGGTAAGCCTTTGAGGATCCGACTGCAAAATAAGGGAAACATATGAACGTCGCAGATCTTTCATGTGAGGCTAAATTGGCTTCTGAAGCGTCCCAGCCAGTACAGTATTTCCGAGAAGTGGTGTCACCACCTACACTCTCTCTTTGTTTCCGGAACCCTAATGCCAAGAAGGGCTAAACTACTTCTGGCAGAAGCTAGTTGAGCCTCATTGGTTTTGAATGGTTTTGTAGACGTACTGTAAATTACCGGACTATAAAAATAGCGGGAAACATGTTAATTACCTGTCAGGCCTAGAAGCTGCCACCTCGGTGCCCCACGTACTTTCCTTCACACGTCCGGGGTTTCTTGGTTGGCACTTCCACTGGCGGTGCAACGAATCATGGCTCCCAACCTAGCCAAGTCTACTCTCGTGTTGATTCATGATATGATCGCCAGTAATGAACTAACTACCTCGCAGATGGCGAAAGCTGCAGGCTGCAGCAAGCGCGCCATTATCAGGATCCGGTCTAACCTGCGACTATTCGGTAGTGTCAAAGCCCCTCCTATGCAACTTGGACGGCCACGAAGCATCACTCCGATTATGCTGGAATCCCTGTGCGACTATCTACTCGAAAAGCCAGATTTATACCTTCATGAGATGGAGCTCTTCTTTCTTGATGAATTCGGAGTATCTATACCAAAGTCTACTATCAGCGATGCCCTGCATCGCAAAGGGTGGTCCAAGAAGACAGCTCGACATAAAGCGAGGGAGCGTAATCCAGACTTACGTGATGATTACTGTCATCTCATCTCAGAATTTAGCTCATACCATCTCGTCTACGTGGATGAATCTGGGTGTGATAAAAGGATAGGAATCAGAAGAACCGGCTGGTCTCCCCTTGGTACAACACCCGTGCAAGTGTCCAAATTCCATCGCGATCAGCGGTATCAGATTCTCCCTGCATATACACAAGATGGGGTTCTACTTTCTCGTATTTTCCAAGGAGCGACAGACGGTTCATTCTTTGAAGATTTCATTAAAGAACTCCTCCACCACTGTGGAAAATACCCCGAGCCTAAGTCTGTTCTTGTCATGGACAATGCATCCTTCCATCGTTCCGAGAGAATCGAGCAACTGTGCATTAATAAGGGAGTCAAATTAATCTATTTGCCTCCATACTCCCCCGACTTGAACCCAATCGAAGAGTTCTTTGCGGAGCTAAAAGCCTTCATTCGACGCAATTGGCAGTCTTACGCCGAAAATCCAGATCAAGGATTTGATTACTTCCTTGATTGGTGTGTGGACAAGGTTGGAACAAAGACGCAGAGCGCACGAGGTCATTTCAAAAACGCGGGTATTGATGTTGAAGATCTGTAGTGCAGAAGTTTACATAAGAAGTGTCCACTTAGGTTCTGATTACTACAGTACCTTACATCCATATTGCAGCACGAATCGTCCCAGAACACAACAGCAATTCACGACGTAAACTTCGAGCCTTAAAAAAAATGGCTGTAGCCAATCTCTGAGGTCTTGTCTAGGTCTTCAGGGCCAGGCCACACATTGGCATTTCTGGAGTATCTGCGTTTCACCTAATCTGGCTTATCTCCGGCGTCCGTCTATTCAAGAGGTTCCCAGGAGGATTCATCCTTCGTGTATGCATGGCATGCAGTGTGGGTATTGTTGATGATTTATTTCAAGTCCTTGTAACAGAAATCTAAATACCAGCCTTTCGCGTCCTCTCTAGTTTGGCCATTAATCGTTGTGGTTTTGTGATGTTTCGCCCTGCCCATCAGTCGCATACAAAATATTCACTGTCGCAGCAAATAACCTTTAAATATCCAGAGCACCTCAATATGTAACGCCTTTTCGCATCGAAGAGTGCGGAAATCATTTTTAGCAATATATGAGGCCAAGAGCCTCCTCAACCACTTCAGGTAAGGTATCTGCTTTACGAAACATCTCCAATGTCCTATTCGCCTCTCGCTCACCCTCAATGGGGACTGCAGCCGTGAACTCCTGTCTGGCAGCCTGCTCCCACCTCTGTGGCATACAGCTTAGGCTATCAATCAATCATGCTCCAGTAGAGCAGCGAGGGTTCCAGATATCAAATCAAGGAAGGCGGGGGCTGCTGCAGCTGTCGCTCGAAGCATAACATCGCCGTCCCCATGATCTCCTAATTCTTGTAGCCAACAGTTTACGCTGGCGACGGATCGATCAACTTCGCATCGCCAATCATCATATTTCTCATAGTTTATTGCCGAATGGATGGAGTTGATCAGATCGATCAAAGGCGATTCGGAGATACTTCGTTGATGATGGTGATCGCATGTTTGAAGCGATGGGGGCTGGGACCCTTCAAGTGCGCCATCATACCAAAAGCTAGAGGTGCATAGAGGCAGCTGAAAGCTAGAAATTTGACCTCTTCTCTGAATGAGTCGCGGGCGGACATACTTCCAGTATCCTGGCCCATGCCGATGAGATGCGTATGCATATAGGCCACTTGGTATGGTAGCCAGTCCACAGGCGGTGGGAAAGCATTGGGTATACCAACGAGCCGCTGCCAAAAAGCGCATTGCCCAACTTCTGCCTAGCTTAGGATCAAGGAAAAGGGCTGCTCCACGTGGGTCACCAGTCACACTATCATACCCCAAAGTCGCTAGCTGGGCCGATATCTGGAGCACAACAATCACATCAGTAGCGACGAAGCCATCGCAAGCGACAAGAGAGAGACCAGATCGGAAGGCCATCATCGAATAGAACTCGGCAAAGCTAGGGTGGTATCCTGTCAGTTGGAGACCGCCAACAAGTCGGCTCGCTAAACTCCAGGTAGTTGCAAGGATATCTATTTCGCTCTCGGCGATGAAACGTGATTTTGATGAACCGAGCCAAGGACCAGTCGGGATTGGTGGTGACCTAGCACCAACCATACGATCATTAAACCATGAACACCAGTGGTCTGTCACTAGCACGGCCGAAGAACGGCTGGAATAATGATACCAAAGAGACCCAATCATAACGACACCGAATAAGAACTCAGGACTCGTAGCGATGGTTGCTGCATCTATCGGCGGACGATCGGCCTTGGAGCGCACTATATTGTCGCCCTTGACGCCTTTGCTAAAGCTGAAAGCGAATAGCATACATTTCGAAGCCATTTGACACAACTCCCTTGGCGTAAGGGGATCTAGCTGTTGAGTTCCCATATTGAAAAGAAACTGTGATTGAGCAGAAGTCATCGGGTTTTGAGGTATACAACTAGTATATGAGTCCGGCGGTAAGTTGCCTTGTGGACGTACCGGTTGCATAGTAGTAGCTAGGTCGACTGTTGAAACAGCCCAGTCTATGTAGCTAGAAAAGCTAGCTATGGGTCCTTCTGTAGCAATGCTGGGAGGGAAGCTTGGATGGCGTGATATGAGCTCGAGCCCGACGATATCTTGACTGATAGTAGGTAGCGGTAGATCGAAAGGTAGACGGCTAGAGGCTTTTATGCCCCCGAGATGTGAAAAGAAGTCTACTAAGCTACTGACGAATATTCCATCGTCTTTTGCGGCATGCAAATTGGTCAAAGCTTCCAACTCCATTGTAAGAGATGGTAAGGCCTATATGATGAGGGTTTAGCATCTAATAAGTCGGATTTGTTCACTGTCACTTACTGCAATTTGATCGGAACAAATATTTCCACTTTCGAAGATACAATTACGTAGTCTCAACCAGATGGATTCAAATGAGGTTGTGTTTGTCTGATTATTGGAAAAGCCAGAGAGGTCAATGTTGTAGACCTTTCTGGGTTGTTGAATAATGTCGGTTTGTCGGGAAGTCACCGTGATATTTATAGGCATGTAAGTAGAAAAAAAGAGTTCTTTCTCAGGCTCTCTATATCAATCAGTTTTTTAAGCTTCTTGCATCTTCTTCCATTGAGTTTTTGTTACGTAGATGTAGCGGTGAAGTTTGGCAAATTGGCGAAGATAGTCATGCATTGCAGCTTTGCATTTGCATGCATGACTAGGATCCTTAGCCATTCGATCGCTCTATTATTAAGTGCTTTTTCATGGACGCGTTCTGGCGGGGATGGGAAGGTGTCAGATAAATTTAATTTAAAATCAAAGCCATGTCTGAAATTCTGATGTATTTTACTTACGAATCAATACACGCTAAGGGTACAGAAGGACTCCGGGACAACTCCCAATATAGACTAGGTGTGTCTTGGCGCATTGACGGAAAAGTCAATCGAAGAGTATAGATTGTCGCACCAGTTTCGGGACGCACATACATATCGCCTTCGATGCAAGGGGTCAGGGTAAATTGACATCAACCAACCAACCAACCAACCACTATATTTCTATGGACCATCCCCAAAAGGTACTGGGAGCCACGATGACGTCTTCTTCCGTGCCTCGAGATACATACTTCGCGATTTTCGATTGTCACGCGTCATTCTATCGGTAGTGGATCCAGGTTGGCGGTTCCTCGTCGTAAACTTCCTTCCCACGCGAAAAACTGACGAATTTTGAGATGGTATGCTGTAGGCTTGCATCTATACTCGAATCGATATTCAACTACGGTAGCGGGAGAAGGGCTGGTGACAAATTGTGCTGCATGATGGCTGCCAAAGTAACTCGGGATTTGTGCACCGTGTGAGTTCTGTTCCCATGTTCCAGACTCGATATCCACGAAAAACAATCACAATCCTTAGAAAAACATGTCAGCTTATTGGAAGAACCATTCTTGTGCAAAGCTGCGGGCGAATAAAAGCCGTTATTGGAGACAGCAGCCTTGAAAACAGAGAAAGATTACTGCCTACCCGAGCTACCTTAACGGAGAAAACGGTAAGCTTCCGTATGATGACTAGTGAGCGTAGTGGGAAGTCTGCGACATGCGGAGAGTGTGAGAGAACAAACCGGTGACCATGCCAGATCGTCCGGCCTAAAAATCAATTCCATGGGGCTCTATAATGATAAAAGGCTGGGGACAGCTCCAGTGTAGAGATAATACCCAGGTAATTAAAGTGAAAACTGGGGATTTCAATACCTCATCCCACTTCCAAGGAAGTTTGTAAGCGCTAAGTGTCTCTGTAGCAACATACTTCGTATGGGTCTGTAGTTATATAAATATTAAGAGGTGGAAATTGATTGAATCAAGCGACAAGCTCACTCTAGTCCAAACTTCATTGTCTGGTTGAGGCTCCTGCTTCGCTTGAGGAACTTGAACCTGTCCAGGGATCTCAATCGCTTTTCCTTCCGGCTGCTGCCTTGGAGAAATGATTTTTGGCTGTTGGCCTTGATTCGAAACTTCCCCCCTATGTTCGTCTTCCCCCTTCAAGTCCGAGTCCACTTTCTCTTCCAATTCGACTCTCTCTTGATCTTGATGGCCTTTTATAAAGCCATGCAACTGCTCTCTGTCACGGCCAAATCGTGCTAGGGCCCACTGGCTATATTCCTCGTCAAAGTTAAGGTCCTGTTCGGCAGTTTCCTCATTCCCTTCCCTTGACAGTCCGCGGCACTCCTTTTTCCATTGGACATTTGGTCGGATTTATCCCATGACTCAAGTTTCTCTTCAGCGCGAAGTTCATCCAAAATTTCGGCTCGGATTTTGGCTATGATACGATTATCCCTAGCTTCTATCTCTTCTCTCGCATTTGAAAATTTTCGACGCCCCTGGTAGAATCTTCTACTAGGTGGGCTAGTTATGAAATACCTTTGTCGTAACCTTTGCGGTATCTGCTGCCTCTGGCGTGTTGCCTTAATGGGTGCTTGCGTTTTCGTGCGATGCGCGTGAGAACGCGATGCGCCAAGTTTTGCCTGGTCAGATGTTTGTTTTGATCTCCCATCTGATGAACTTTTAGCCCTGGTCTGCCTTTTCGGTGAGTCGATCTCAGTCCATGTCGTTGTCTAAGAGCCGTCCGATTCCAAGTCGATATTTACCAGTTCTCCGGATGCGGATTCATTCTCAACAGTTGGCTGCGGAGGTAAAAGGATCCCTTCTGGACTAGTTTGTCTCGGAAGCTGGGTTGCGATCGTGGGCTCACTCTTAATGTCTAGGGCATCTTGCCCGGGGGTGTATGTCATGTTGGATGATGGCAGAAAGACCGAGATCTGGTTTGACGAAAGGCTTGGGTTCAACTGGAGTTGTTGGGCGAGAATTGAAAAAAAAACTCCTCTAAAAAGTACAACGGACTGACGGACCACGCAGGCCTCTTGTCTCTTTTATTGCCATGATGGAAGCGCCGGCCCCTTTCTCGACCACTCGCTTACTAGTTCACCTGCCCCGCATGGCATGCGCTGGGAGCTTCCAGTAAAATATCAATATGCCCCTGCGTTCGGCTCCGTGAGGACAAGCGTGACTGCCAGCCATGGCGTAGCAACTTTTACCCCTCTTTGGGCAATTTAGTTTCCCAGACGTAGTGGTTTTTCCACTGAGATATTCTTTTTGTTGGGATACACCTAGGTATTTCCTTCACTCTCTGGGCTCCGCTCCGAGTCCACTTGTTCAGTTGGGCATGCATCTACCCGTACCCCTTCTTGAAACTGAAATCCACAATTGCTCTGTTCCATGTATAGTCCAAGGGTTTAGCCGCTGTCATCTATGTAAGCAGAGCCTCATATGAGGCACAATCTATTGGCTACCTAGGTACATTTATTTGCGTTGTCTTGTTTGTTTTAAAGGAAACTTAACAAGAACTTGAATGATTCGTAACTTTGGAAGACATTCGAGAAAAGGGCGGGGCTTAGTATAAATAAAAGTACTACTAACATAGACTGTTGCAACGAAAAGAGGCTAAAAAACGAGGCTAAGTCCTGGAAATGACTCGCTTAGCGGCGGCAGGCATATCTTATAGGCACAGAAGATTATTGCTTGTTCTAGAGAACCCTGGAGTATTTATCCAACCTGGTCGAGTCTTTCCGAGTCTTCTTCCGGTTGGTGATACTAGTAGTATGCTGTTTTTATCCCGCCAAAGACAGCCCTGGAGGTTCTCTCTTACAAGCAACACACTTTGCCCACTCTAGCGTCTAGAAATTCATACACGACTGCAAACAAATTGATAAAGAGCGGGAAGGGGCCGATCCATACACATCCATCTCGACCATATCCTAGATCATGGAGATTATTACTTACCATAGTATTTCGAACACCATACCGTCAACCCCCTCACTTACGTTTCCGAGCCCTAGAGGTTACTGGGTTGAACTTTTCTCCTTGGTCTCATTTCTAGATACCGGCATCAGACTTCAACAAGCTAGTTATTTTTGCTTACTGGTATATTTGAAGTTATATCTTCAATGTTATTGGACCCACTTTAGAAAAGCTAAATGGCTTAGTGATATGGCTACACTCGTTGTATACAGATAGCCCCGGTTTATAAGCAACACTAGTATCATTCCAGGGGGGGAAGATCAGGGCGTCCATATGTCCTACCCGAGACTAAGTTCACGTTATTATCTTATACTTTGGTCAAATGAAAAAACCCTGAACAATACTAAAATATCAATTTTCAAGGTCCAAAAGGTCGTTCTACTTTATTACATCGGATTCCGAAAGCTGATCTCTCTTAGCTGCTCCAAACCCTCTTAGTAGAAAATGTGACCTTCTAGTCACTTTGAGGGATCTAACATACTGTGGTGGCTAGATAAGAAGCGCCAGATGTTGAAATCGCTTCGCTTCTTGTATACCTAAACGGAATGGAAGACCCCTATAGCTCACCGAGACTCTAGACATTACAATTAGACGCTCTTTATAATTTTCATTTTTGGCATATGAAGACTGTATTAACAAAAAAGATTTGTCTCCCTATATACAGATGTAATCTTTGGCGAAACAAATCCCAAAATGACAAACGCCCAACTCTATGGTCAAACCAGGTATCATAAAAGGTCCGACGCCGCAACTGAATGCTAAGCGGCATATCTAGAAAGACACGATGGCAATGCTGCGAAGTTTCTAGACGAAATGAGACGAAAAGTGCATAGTGAATCCATCGAAACACTCTATTTTCTAGATTTTTTCGCGAAGGGAATCAGAGAGGAATCGATCCTCGACCCGACGCATCAGCTTGTTTGTCTGCTCAGCAAGACTCAGGGTGATGATCTGGAAATTAAAAGTTAGCGTTTCCTTATTAAAGTGCGTTTAATGTTAGCAAACTTACAGTATGGGGTAAGATACGAGCCAAATGGGCAAAGAATCCCTTGTAAATTGCCAACACACCCTCTGTACGGATGGTCTTGTACAGGCAGTCAAATACACCTTGGTACAGATTACCGGTCTGGTTGTACATGCGAGCCATGATAGTGTCTGATAGATGATGTGTTAGTCGGTCAACTTCTGCCTCCAATTAATTAGCGATACATACCAGGCGGGTGCATGACGCAGCAGACAACGAAGCCGGATGCCGCGCTACTGGCCAAATGAAGGGCGGGCCCCTCTTCAATGCCCAGGTGCTTATTGAGACGACGCTTAGCAAAGAAGTATGTGGGAAGCTGGACCGAACTGCCAAAGCTCGTGCGAATCATCGCAGCCCCGACACCGCGATAGATACCCTTGATACCCTCGCCGCGGTAAATCTTGCTGAGGCCGTCGATGGAGTTCTTATAGTTATGCTGCGTGCCGACGGGAAGGAAAGGAGAATAGGACTGGAGGCGAGTCTTCACTAAGAAGAATGGTGAACCGGCAGCAGCACCAATGACACCGGAGGCAGCGCCGGCAAAGACATTGGCACCGAGGGACTGGACGGTGGGATCGTTGTAGAAGACGGAGGTGACGTTGGAGCGAATGGGCTCGTAGAATCCCAGACGGCAGCCGTTGAGCAAGACCTGGTAGACGTACTACAGGTTCATTTTGAATCAGCTTGGTGCCGGGCTAAAATTAGATTTCACGCTCGCGGGGCGACATACCGCAGATCCGATACCCCGGAACAGGCCCTTGGGGCCTTCATTTTGCAGAATAGTCTTGATACCATGCAAAACACCATTGTACTTCTTCGCTGCATCACCCTTCGCTTGCAGTTCACCTTGCAATTGTAGTCTTCGATGGAGTTAGTGTTATGCGACACACCAAAGCGCCCGAGTCCCGTGCTTACCGGATCTTGACGGTCTCGAAACTGTGGGTGACGGTCACAGCACCGCACGCTGCAATACCTCCGGCAAGGAATGAGCTATTCGAATGATAGAACGGTTAGCGAAGGTGCTTATTTCCGATAGATACGCATCATCAACGTTCCCTACCCGATTGTAGTAGACATTGCGACTGGTTTGAATCGTTCAGGCCGGTACTTGATGGAGGTTGTTGGAGATCGGAGGGAGATCGGAGTGGAGTGGAGTTGAGTGGCAACAAGGCCAGGGGACGAGGCGGTCCCTCGAGATCAAAAAGAGGCCAAATGAAGGGAATGCCCGTACTTGTCAAGAGCGAATGGCTTCGTAAAAGTCTCGAAGGCGACGATGTGCTGTTTTGCAAGTCATAAGTAAGATGATTGGGGCCGAGGGCGGCAATGAGCGACTAAAAGCTTACATACGGCTAATGCTGGCCGAATCTGACAGAATCTCACGAGCGATGATTGGTCAATGTGGGGGACTTCCGGGGTCAGCTCCGGTAGTCGGGGGCGGTAAAGCGGAGCATAGTTCATCCGGAACGCGAAAAAAGAAGGGAAGGCGCGTGGGGAGCTGATTCCCCGAAAGAGGAAGGCACGACAAGGAGAGCTGATTGATTGATTATTTGCTTGCGATTGCACCTGCCTCAGCTGCAATTTAACGGACTGGGCATTCCCCATCCCTTCTCACTTTACTTTATTTCACTTCTCTCGTGGCTTCTTTCTTATCTTGCACATTTCCACACTCACACACTCGCCATGGCAGACAGCCAGCAGCACACTCCGGTGCCCCAGACCTCGACGGGAGCTGCCCCCCCAATTTCAGAAGCTTCCGGATATCATTCGCAATCACAGACCTTGCAAGGTGAGCCTATATTTTCTGACTACCTAGCCTTCATCGGCCACCAGACTAACTCTCAACTCAAGTGTTTCCGGAACTCGAAACCAGAATCCTCCAATTTCGTGACGTCTTTAGACTTTAACGACCAAGGCGAGCACATGGTCGCCGCCTGCGATGATGAAACTATTCAGATCTTCGATGTGAAGGAAGGAAAATCCACCAAAATGGTTCCTAGCAAGAAATATGGTGTTCATCTAGCCAGATTCACCCACCACCCCCGCCAAGTTTTACATGCGAGTACCAAGGTCGACCGTACGTTTCTGATGGGATTCCAAAACAGCAATTTTAATACCTAGTGGTGGCTGACAACGAAGTAGATTCACTACGATTGCTCGACCTTCATAACGAAGGGTACATTCGCTATTTCTCCGGCCATACAGACAAAGTGACTTGCCTAGCCATGTCCCCAGGCAGTGATTCCTTCATTTCTTGTTCCAAGGATGATACAGTTACTCTCTGGGATATTGGTTCACGCAACCCCCAGGGAAAGCTTAAACTCGCGACCCCATATCTCGTGGCTTTCGACCCATCTGCCTCCGTCATCGCAATCGCCTCACAATCTACTTCATCCGTCCTTCTATATGATTTCCGCAATTTCGATAAGCCTCCATTCGCCACATTTGACCTCGCTCCCTATGAGGAGACATACACTCCTTCGACTAGGGGTCGTGCCTGGACTCGGCTTGAGTTCTCTAACGATGGAAAATACTTGATGGTTGGCACAGATTACCACGGGCACTTCGTGTTAGATGCATTTGACGGTTCCATTAAGGCATTTCTGACTGGAAAGGGCGGCTCGCCCGGTCGTGCTGCCCCGCTCTCTTCTACTGGAAAGCCATTAGGCCAAGGTGATGCGTGCTTTACTCCAGATGGTCGATATGTCCTTGGTGGCAATGGAGACCAGCAAGATGTACTTGTATGGGATCTGCAACAGGAGCGAGAATCCAATGGCATGCTTTTTCCTATGGTCAAACTGCCCCACCGAAACAGGACAGCCCTTATCGAACATAACCCACGCTACAACATGATTGCTACCGCTGATAAGGAGACTTTCTTCTGGCAGCCAGATGAGCCCGCTAAACCGTCAGACAAGTAGATTGTGATGGACCAGCTCAATGAATAGAGGGTGTTCGATTTCAGTCATGATTTTGAACAAGATCTATGATCCCAAAACCTAACCATGTGACATCTATCTGTTTCGTGCACATACCCACCAAAACTTAGCACCTGTTGAGTATCTCCAAACTATCATTTGCGGCCTTTATCTTTTCCCGCCAAGCTGCGAGCAGTATCGCAAATCCAAACTGGGGGCCCTTCGACAGCATCATCCTCATCTGTCCGCCTGCTATTCTCAATCGTGACCTCGATCTGTTTATCGATGGTCCGATTACTAGAAATTGTTGTCAAGCCAGTTGCCCATCCATACATGAACACGCTATGATTGATATCCGACAAGACTTGTGCAACTTCGTCGGCTACTGGGGGAAGTTTTCCCTCTGCTTTTGCTGCCTCAATCGCTGGCTGCGCATCGACTATCCTAATAGGTAGTACCCAATCCACCGGAACCTGCCAGTCGGACACGCCCTGGAATTTTCGAATAAGTGACTCACGATCAAGTTGATCGTTTGGAGCAGTTCCCAATAAGAGGTCCATCCGTTCTTTCTCCGTTGCTGTACCAATGGTCTCAACGATCTCACGCATTCGCTTTGCGGCTTCCTTGGTGCAAAGCAGCTCGTGTGCACCCATTGCGGGCCAAAGCTCTGTTGGAAGGAGTGGTTGCTCCTTCTCAACCTCGATCTGCCGCACGATGGCTCGATGAAAGCTTGGCAATATGGCGATGTCCTTGATGTGAGATAGATCGGACACTATTGCGAGTAGGAGGGTGCAGTCGATATTCACGGCGGAAGTGAAGTTTTTGAATGGCTGGGGAAGGAGACAAGCGAGCTTTGCCTGGCTGGCATTCGCAGACATACTGTCCTGGCATTCCACTTTAATACCATAACTCCGCATTTCCTTAAGAACATCGTCGATCTCAGGAACATTTCCCTCCTCAATTTTCGGTAGAACAATACGTAGTCGAGGATGTCTGTATCTCACTCGCGTAGCATCGGCCGCCTTCCTTAGATCGCGTGCCAGTTTAATAAGCTCCAGCTCATCATCATCCGAGTCTTCTCCCGAGTCCTCCCCGTCAAAGTTGCGTAACACAGTCCTCTTCGGCGACCGCTCGCCATCTTCATCGGAGAAGGCATCGGAATCACTATCTCTCTCCCAGCCTTTCTTCGCCATGTCAAAAAGCAGTCGGCTCTCCGAAACAGTCGAAACCTTCACCCACGACTCGCCGTCATCAGCCACAATATCAACAAACACACTCTTGCGCTTATCTTTATTGGGCTGCTTAGTCTTCTCCCACGACCCATCCCCTTTCTGCGCCTTCTTCTCTTCAAGCGGCCACGCCTTCCGATCCCAGTAAAACCGCTTCCCCATCGCCAGAAGCCCGCCACAGGATCCGCGCGCAATGTTCCACACAGCCTGGTAAAAAGGCAAATTGGACGAGCGCAATGCGTGCAGGAATCGCATCTCGGCATCATAATCCTGCTCGTTTCCATCTGTAGCATCAGAAGCTTGCATCTGGGTTTCCAGTCTTTGCAGCATCTTGAATTCGGAATTCACATTTGATCGGAATTGGCGCAGCTCCACGAGTTGTGGATTGCGGAGTGTGCTGTTGAGCAGAGATTGGAACGCATCTATCTCCCCAAGAAGGTCAACGCATTGTTGGTGAAGCTCTTCGGAAGCTTGGGCGCTTGTCTGTTGGGACTCGGAGTCGCGTGTCTCGGTATGATATAGTGGGGGGGTCAACGTCGGGCGTCATTGTAGATGGCGGGGAGATTGAGAGCGCCAGACGGGTTGATGCCTAGATTCAAGTTGGATTTGAATGTTCCTGTGTTTTTGATCTGCACAAAAGCCGACTGATTCGTGAAAGTAAGGTCTGGTAGTACCTCTCTGGGCACTTGCAGAAGGTTCTTTGTCTCGCTCAATTACTGCCCAAGTGACGACGGAATATACTATTAGGTGCTGTTCTAGTTGAGCGGGGGGCCGGCTCTATATTTCCAATTGATGGTCCTGGAAAAGCACCTCCAACAGGTTCGATTGAGTCCCGTAAGGTCGAAAGATGATTCTAGCTCTGGTTGTGGAATATTTGCCAGGTACAAGTGGATTTTCAAACCTGAAATGCATTGGCGGGGCTCTTGCTGCGGCTCTCGGGGATGACTCAAGTTGATTGGGGCTGTCTTCCACCAGCTTCGGCAAGTTACTTTTTTCAAGTTTGGAATATTTGCTTCGCTTCATTGTGTACCGAAAGACTATTCGTTTGAAATGATTCTCAATTTTCTCTAATATTGACCTTCTCTATGCTTAGTGAATCTGCCAAATTTCGTAAAAGATGAGGTGCCAGCTATTCTGAGTATATCCAGAGAAAGATACTACAAAAAGAGGAACCTTGATTTAACCGTATAACCACCAACAAAATAATGGAGACAGGAAGGAAAAAGAAAACAAAAAAGGAAAGCCAACGCCGTAAGATGCTTGTGATCATCAAGCCAAATTGCAGACGAAACCAGAGGCGTCACGCTGCTAACAGAAATACATCATTCCCCAATTAGAAGGGCACATTGTTAGGCACGTTCAGAGGAGCTAGGTTTATCATAGTCTTAATGGGTGAGACGCTGTCTCTCGTTAGAACTACGAGGAGACTCGTCATCAGACCACTTGTCCCCATCTTCCTCGCCCACCGCGAAGATTGTCTCATCCTCAAGAGACTCGCGTTGTCGGGGTGCCGAAGGCACAGGCTTGGGTGGAATGGGAGACAGGTCGCGATGACCGGCAGCTGAGCTACCTGGATACTCGGGAGGTGCATCGAAAGCGTCCTCTTCGTCAAGACCGCTTCCGAATGAGCGGATCTCGAATCCATCATCATCTTGCGCAAGCTGTAAATAAAATTAGCATAAACTCTATAATCGCGATCTTCCTTGGGAGGTGGCATGTTTACCTCATCACTCATTGCGAATCGTCGGTTGTTGGCAGTCGGACGCCACAGGTAAGCCACGAAAGCAATATCGAACAGATACACAATGTTGAGCCACCCGTCAAGCACAAACCACCGCGCCTTCCAATGCTCCGGCACAAAGCTGGCATCACTGTGGCCAGCCATGGCAAAGGAGTTAAGGAAGAAGAAGCCAAAGATGACGATGATGCTACCAAGAATACACCACCAGAGTCTCTTGTACATCATTGCCTTAACCTTTTGCTTTCTATCAATGAGATCCTTCATCGTAGCATTGAGAGAGTTCAATGTCCAGACATAGAAGGCAGTCAGAGTACCCGCCAGAGGGAGGACAATCAGAAGCACCAATGGACCAGCACTGTCTGGAGTGATTGACAAAGTGGCAATTGAGTAGACAAGGGCGAAGATAAAGTGAGCGATGGCCAGGATGCGCACGTAGATCATCGTTTTACCCAAGGAAGGCTTGACGACACCGTAGCCCATGCAGACGATGAGCAGCAGGAAGAACGAAAACGCATTTCGGGCGGCATTGAGAACTGCGACAATAACCATTAATGCCTTTCCCATTGCATTCAATCCGTGTCGGTTTTGATAGTCTGGAGAGAAATTAGCTTGAGTAATTGCGGCGCACACAAGAGTAAATGTGGATCCTACCATAGAAACCCCAAGTCATAAGTTGCTCGACAATCAGGAAAACAACTATAGCTGTGATATAGTTTTGGACAGGCACTATACAGTGGTTAGCGATGTATAAAATTTCAGAACAGCCAACTTACAGATGTCAAAGCGGTTTTGCACATAGAGGAATGCCCAGAAGCTGGCGTAGAGGATTAGTATTTCCGAATTCATAGTGACCAGGAGGTAAACAGCAATACTTACACGCCAATAACAGCGTAGACAATTGTCATACCTCCGTAGAAAGGAAGCTTAGCGATTTGCGCGGCGGGGAGCTCGCCATACGCATTGCGGAACTCAACCACCGAGTAATAGTCTTCATCGGAGTATGCGTAGGTGCTAACACAGTAGAAACCAGTCTTTTTGACAGGGTACTTGATAGGTTCCGGGTTGTTGAGATGAACCGCTTTGGTGAGGATAGGATTCTTGGAGACCTCAGTGGCATTTTTTGTGAGAATGAATGCACCAATATCTTCCTTCGAGCAGAGTCCGGCATCGACGCTTCCTTGTTCGCAAATTGTATCCTTTGTCTGTTGTCCATCTGTTAGCCTTGAAACGGTTCCAGGCTGCAGTCTAGATGCATGGGTACACCTACGTCGGAGTCGCCAGACCGGTACTCCCCAATCAATTCCTCGTCGTTCCATTCAAAGATCACCAAGCTGGCGAGAGGATCACCTTCTGTAGTTTGCGCCTTGGAAAACTTGACCAGGATAAAGGGGTCCACATTCCCTCCCCAAGCCTTCCGACTGTACATCCCCGAGCATCGTTGTCGGTGCGCCTCGTCGGATTTCTGAAGACAAGTGCCGTTAGCGTTGTGTAATAGTATGACAGGTCAGACTTGACGCGCGATGGCCTACCAGTTCGACTTCATTCGCAAGTACCGAGCTGGCTAATAAGGCCGTTAGGCCGAGAGTTTGGAGCCAGCCCTTCATCACGATCGCGGATCGGGTGTAATAAGGGCTCCAGTATGTTGGGGAAGAGATCGCCTTTGAAAACCACGCGGCATGTAATGGCGAAAAAGGTACAAGGAGAAAGTTCGCGCGGATCCACGATAGCTTGTCCGGAATCGTCGAGCTCAACTTGCGTGGCCTTCCCAAATCAGACCGGGGAACCCGGGGCATTACTAAGCGGGGCGGTACAGCCATGGCGGGATGCCGACCTATTTTTCTTCTACCAAGTTGACAATCCCCGCTTCAATTCAACCACGCGAAAATGCCTGCCAAAGAGCTTTCTTGTCCTTGCATGGACTGCAAGGATGCAGAGACTGTATTTACGGTTCGAAAGAGGCAACTGTGCAGGTATGTGAAGACCAAAGGTATAGTTTTGACAGACCCCCACTAACCTTCAATTAGTGATTGCTACAAGCATTTCATCGCATTTAAAGTGCACAGACGAATGGAAATGTATAGACCCGGAAAAACCCAAGAAGTTCGACCCAAAGTACTCCTTCCATTGTCCCTCGGCGTTTCCTCCTCCGTCCTATTGAGCATTGTCGAAGCCCAACTTCAATATCAACTAGCCAAGCCCTATGGCAAGATATTCTTCGACCTTCATGTCCTCGTGATCGACCCTTCGTCCATCAATCCCTCAAGCGCCTCTATCGATGAAAACTATAAGGTTTTACTGGAAACGTTCCAATTGCCCACCTATACCCGGCTCTCGATCCACGACATATTCGACTATGTTCCCAATATGAAGGAAATCATATGCGAATATGCAGGGTCTCAATTTGCCGATGACAGTTCGCTATCTAATGAGGATCGGCTGTCTGCCTTCCGTGCTTCTCTATCTACGGCAACTTCCGCGGCTGATCTGGACTATGTTTTGTTGACACGACTTGTTGCTGCAGTTGCGCAGAAAAACGGTTGCCAGTCTGTCTTTTGGGGAGATTCGGACAGCCGTCTTGCAGCAAGAGCACTTGCAGGAGTGTCAAAGGGTCGCGGGGCCTCGATGACTTGGCAGGTGTCTGATGGCATGTCTCCGTGGGGGGTGCGGTTCGAGTTTCTGTTACGAGACTTGTACAAGACCGAGCTTCTTCAGTATGCGAGTGTGTCCCCAGAACTTTCCGATATTGTGATTTCCGACCCGCCGCTATCAGACAATGTCCTCACTAAGAACTTATCTATTGATGAATTGATGATACGATACGTCCAAAACCAGGGTGCAAAGTATCCTGGCATCATGTCGAACGTTGCAAGAACAGCCAACAAACTCGAATCTTCTTGTCTAGACGGTGGTGCATCTTGTGCATTGTGCGGTGGTCCACGGGGCAATGTCAAGGGCAACACAGGCGTCACAGCCACTACTCAATCTGGTGATTCGGAAGGCTCTCGATTTTGCTACGGATGCATGAGGTCACGCCCCGATCTCAAATGCTAAATTAAATTCTTATGGAAACGCAGGGGAGATAAAAAGAGGAAAGTCCATTCGGCATCCTGGATAAACGAAGAAAATGGCATGCAGATTGCACGATCGAAAAAGGCCACAGAAATCCCAATCTGAACAAATTCAGCGCCCTCGCTCGAGGTCCTCCTCGGGGTGACTCGCTCCTCCGAACCAGCGGCTGAAGCCACGATTGCTTTTGGCCTGTCTGGCAGGTTCTGGCCTGGTCGGAGCCCGACTATCATTGTGCGAGCGCCGCGATCGCGATCTTCTATGCTCTCGGTACTCCGGCGGTGAATTGTTGGCCACCCCACTCTCCTGTTTGTCCCATTCCTCTGGAAGACTGTGGTCGACCGTATCAACCGTATCGACCGCATCGAGAGGATCGGTGGTCAACTGATCATGATCACTGTGTCGCCTGCGCCGGTCTTTAGATTGCCTCCTGATCACCTTATGGCCCTTTTCACGCAGATGCTTCTCGAGTATGACTGCATTCCGAGTGTTGCACTTGTAAATTGCATCTGCAATGTCGCCAACGAAAGGCACCAGGCCGATGACGAAGTCGATCAAGACATTCATCAACATCATCATGCGCAAGCGTGATGGAAGGCCACCGTCGATTTCATCGCAATTTCTCACAACCATCATGGCAAGTCCTGCATCAGCTGCGTCACCAATGCTGTAAGAGGGAGTCGTTAGCTTTCGTAAACAAAGGAGCAGAGCGTGGTTGGACATACAATGGAACGAGGCCGATGACACTACCCCAACCAAACCGAATCCCACAGAGATTGAATAGAGCATAATCTAATCGGTAGGCTCGGCGCTTGACTTGTGTGAGTATCTTGGTATCCTTTTCTGATAAACCCGGAGGAATGGCTTTGCGACGCTTCTGGGTTTTTTTCCCCATGGCGCGCCCGAGCCGTGACGCCGGAATTTCTTCGAAATAGGGATCCTAGGGACGATGTCTGCGATCAGTTCCATATGATTCAATGCAAATAGTATAGTATCCCACTCACCTCTGTTCCAAAGTGGTTTCTGGCGGATTCTGCCAGAACCCTTTTCCCAACAAGGGACCATAGTGCGCCTGACATGTTGGATAGACTCAAATATGGTGGTACTCAGGTCGAGTGATTCTGTGTAATAGTATGATTCACAGGAGTATCGAGAGAAATTGTGCGCGATAATGCTTAAGATAAACTATTGATCGCCCCAGGGGCCAAAAATAGAAAACAAGCCTTAGCTTTTGCTTGGTCTGCAGCTTGCGGAAGCTGTTTCGAGTAGCGCCGGGGATCGTTTGGATAAAACCACAGAGAACGAGTCAGGGTTGGAAGGGGGAATAAAAACAGACGCTCCACAGGTAGAAAGAAAAGACAAAAAAAGAAAGGGCGGGAAGCCACTGGAGGATGAGAGAGATCAATCAAACCACAATCCTGGACGGGCAATCCGCCAACAACGTCACCGCGCGCAGATCTCTTGTTGCGTACGAAGTACCAATGCACCGCCACAGCCATGAGTGTGGCGGGGCTGAGAGATCAACATCACGCGCCACATATAGTCAGCTGATACCGACCCAACTCGCGCCCGGACCTGCCCAGCTGTCCGACTGCCCAGTTGTTTGACTCCCAATCTCAGATCGCCCCCCCCAACACTGCACATACGAACCTTACTATCTCTCAACTTTCCTATTCGACCGACGCTAAGCCACTTCATCACCTGTAGAAGCTGCTCTGCGTTGCGATCTGTCGCGCCTGTAGCTTCTCCAAGCACCTGGTTTCGGTTGGTTGTCCGTGCTGAAATGCTAAGCTCCGTTTCCCAACATGACCGAAACAAAGATGCAATTAGAAGACTGTGAGCTACTCAAGTTGAAGCTCTCTTAAAAGTGAAGATCGGAAGTACTGACTGAGGCCTGTGGGCTACAACAGGGCTGGATGACTTGTGCGTCCGCTTCATCATTAACCTCCCGCGCGAGGAACTCGAGTCTGTGGAACGAATCTGCTTTCAGGTAGAAGAGGCACAATGGTTCTACGAGGATTTTATTCGCCCACTCGATCCGGCACTGCCATCACTCACTCTTAAGACATTTGCCATGCGCATATTTCAACACTGTCCTTTGATGTCGCAATGGTCCACTTATCATCACCAAGCAGCCTTCTCGGAGTTCCTTGCCTACAAGACACGCGTTCCTGTTCGAGGTGCGATTCTACTGAATGAGGATATGGATGAGGTGATTTTGGTCAAGGGCTGGAAGAAAGGTGCCAACTGGAGTTTCCCGCGAGGCAAGATCAACAAGGGCGAGAAGGACCTGGACTGTGCTATTCGTGAGGTCTACGAGGAAACTGGGTTTGATGTTCGTGAGGCCAATCTGGTCAAGGATGAGGATTCGGTGAAATACATTGAGATCACGATGCGTGAACAACATATGCGACTCTACGTCTTCCCTGGTGTTCCCCAGGACACATACTTTGAGCCGCGGACCCGCAAGGAAATCAGCAAGATCGAGTGGTACAAGCTGACAGAGCTTCCGACCTTGAAAAAGAACAAGCAGCATGACGAGGGACTTGCAGTGGCAAACGCAAACAAGTTCTACATGGTTGCTCCATTCCTACACCCGCTAAAGAAGTGGATAGCGCAGCAGAAGAAGATCAGTTCAAGGGCCCAAGTTATTGCGAAACACCCCTCTCAAATTGAGGGATACTCCTCGATGGATGAGAATGCACCTTATTACTCCAATGGCAACGTCCACCTGCCACGAACTACTGAGCTGCCCATCCCAAGCGATCTTCCTGAAGTGAACTTGAGACAAGATGCCTCATCTCATATCAAGCAACTGTTACATATTGGTGGCCCTACAGCTTCTAGTTACATGCAGCCTCCTGGTCCTGCTCAGCCTCCTGTTGACCAGAACAAGTCAAACGCACTGCTGGCGCTCTTGAGGCAAGGATCTCAAGATAACTTCCCTCAAAACCAACCTGTTCCCCAACCGAATGCTCCCCACCATTCTCTGCCACCTATTGAGCAACCACTTCAGCGACCACCCAACTTCTTCCCTGGCTTTCCTCCACAACAACAAGTCTTGCCATCACACCCCCCATCACACCCCGGTCATCCATTTGCTGAGGCTCGGATCAATCCTCACCAACAGCCTCTATTTCCACCGGTGGGACGACCTGAGTTGCCTGGCGCACCTGCGGTGCAATACCAACAGGGGCCCGCATCGAATTATCCAACTCGATCCCCTATGACATCCGCCACCACCCCTCCCAGACACGCTATTGCACCATTCCAACAGACTGGCGATCCTCTGATGTCTCGATCAGCCCAGCCAGCTCCAGGCCAGGGCGTAGCAGCTCCACATGCGAGCAAGCTACCTCCTCCGAAGCTCACTAGTCATTCACTTTCGCTTTTGAACTTCTTCAAGGATGATTCTTCCAAGACACCGGTTGGATCTCACGCAACGCCAGCGTCTGTCGCTCCTGGACTAGCCCCACCACAAATTCCTCAGCAAACCCGCAAGACATCTCATCATCAGGATAGTCTGTTAGATCTCTTCAAGGGTCCCAAGCCCGTTGCTTCTTCTCACCCCGTTGAACTGTCAGGCCAGCCTGTACCACAAGTTCAGTCCCCGTATGAAAAGCACATCATCCAGCGGGCACATCAGCACCCGGTACATGATCTCCAACGTGGAGATGCGGGTCTCAAGGGCCAGTCGGGTCCCGGGCGAACATCTGCTACTGTGTCAGGCCCCTTGAACATGCCCAAATTCGAAGCAGTTGGGAAGAACGCCCCCAAGAAGACGGCCAATGGACCGAGTCGCAAGAACCAGGGAAATCGTCGAGAGCAACCGCAACCGCAACAGCTCTCCTCACCCATCACAATTCTTCCTCGTCCCCAATCGGCCAAGCGCGATGTACCTATGTCCGCATCACACAAACAGGCTGCCCGAGGCCCCTCTCCACCCCAGCCTCCCCAACCAGCTCAAATTGGGGCTCCCGCGCCAGTCAAGCCTTTCCAACCCCAAATTCTTCGGCGCTCCGAAAAGACAGACTACGACCAATTGATGGCCGCCGCTCCGCAGAAAGAGGACAACGGGGACCGAAAACCAAGCCTACCTGGTCTCCAAACGGATACGGCCGAACTTTCTCCCCAGTCCAGTTTCGACCGCCGACCAAGTCAAAACGCTTCGCAGAAGGAGGCACTCTTATCGCTTTTTGGAAAACCTGCAACTTCCCCAACCCCTCCATCCACGACACAACTGGACTCACGAGCGGTGAACCAACATCTGCCCCATGCTTCTGGTCTGGTCAGCCCTCTTTCATCCCTTCATCTCAATCCTAGCAGCGTCGATTCTATTTCACGACACGGTACTCCTTCTGAGGGTGATACGGGCGCAAACACTGTTTCGTCACCGAGCAACAAGGCGTTCTTGCTCGGATATCTTCAGGGAGTTGCCAAAGGCAACAAATAAACTTTGACACCCAATCGGCTTTGTATGATAAGTAGGCCGTGATTCGGCTATGATGATAGCCAATGATAATTGAAACTCACATGATTTGCACAAGCTTTCACATGAATAATCCAAAAAAAAGTAGTTTGGTTTATAGATCAATGCCTAGTGAATAGGAATCACCTCAATCAACGTATCAAAGGATTCATTCTCATCGAGGCTAAACGTGAACCACAGATAGACTCATTGTAGGTGCAAATATCATAATCTTCATTTGACAGCCAGTTATTTGAAATTGTGATTGATGTCGGTTTGATACGCCGTTGATCTGGTTGGCGGCTCCCTACACCGCCTTGAGATTCTGTTGGAGCTTTCCCCGACGGCGCTCCGGTGCGTCATGTAGAAGTGAGCACCTTTCTCCGCTCACCTTCAATCATGATGCGCCCTCGTGTTTCGGCCTGCGGCCGCGATATCGTGCGCAACAGACTCTTCACTACAACATCAGCCCAGTCTGAGCAGTGTCAAAATGCGTCCCTCGTTCCTCAAACCGGATATGCCCGCCTCACGAACCGCGGCCTCATTTCGATCACTGGAGTCGACAGCGTGACCTTCCTACAAGGCTTGATCACACAAAATATGCTGGTCGCAAATGACCCTAGCAAAAGCATCCGACGCACAGGCTCGTACACAGCTTTTCTCAACTCCCAAGGGCGCATATTGAACGACGCATTTATCTACCCGGTCCCCAACACTGAAGGCAATGAAATTGACCGAGAATGGTTGGTGGAGGTGGACAAAAATGAGGTTCCAACGCTATTGAAGCATCTGAAAAAACACAAGCTCCGAGCTAAGCTGAAGCTCCGAGCTCTCGAGGACGGCGAACGAACCGTGTGGTCGTCGTGGAAGAATCACGCCGAGCCTCAGTGGGCTGCATACAACCTTGAATCCGAGTCAGCATCGCCATTCGCACCTTCTTCAAACGTTGCCGGATGCATTGATCTACGCGCCCCGGGCTTCGGGTCTCGGATCGTGACTCCGGGCTCGGAGCCGCTCCGAACCTATCTTCCCGACGAAACGCAGGTCTCTGGGGACGAGGTCGGATTAGATGCCTACACTATTCGCCGGATACTCCATGGTGTCCCCGAAGGACAGTCAGAGATTCTCAGAGAGTCATCACTCCCCATGGAATATAACATGGATATGGGCCGGGCTATCGATTTCCGCAAGGGCTGTTATGTTGGCCAGGAGCTGACGATTCGCACACACCATACCGGTGTGGTGCGCAAGCGTATCCTCCCGGTCCAACTATACACGGGCGATATGCCCACGGGAGATAGTCCGATTTACGATCCCTCCACTGAACTTTCTCTGCCTCCCGCCGGCACTAATATTAACAAAGTTGGCGGCCGCCGGGGCCGCAGCGCCGGAAAGTTTCTCAGTGGTGTTGGGAATATTGGCCTGGCGCTGTGTCGTCTTGAAATGATGACTGATATCGCCTTGACTGGAGAAGGGACACAATTCACACCTGGAAGCGAATTCAAGGTCTCTTGGGTGGCTGAGACAGAACAGCCCGCTGAAGTCAAATTGCAAGCGTTTGTTCCCCCTTGGACGAGAGAGTTCATTATTGGAAGCATTCGCAAGTCAACACCCCCAGCAGTCGATATTAGTGAGCGGGCACGCGAATTTATGGAGCAGCTTGAGGAAGAGGAGGAAGCAGTTCAACGACAGGATTAGATCTAGTTCTAGCCCTCGCCTTCTAGCTTGTATGGCACTATGTAAAACATGACACCCCGTAGCGATAATATGTACATAAAAAAGCAATCATCTCCATCACCTGGGCATCTCCATTCATAGCTGTAGAAGAAGTAACACGATAAGAGTTTTATCAACATAGCCACTTGTCGGCTGGGGTATCTTTAATCAATATATAAAACACGATGCTATTTAGATCCATTCGCATCTGCTACCTCGTCTTCTTTGGCGAGTTCATCTTCAAGAGCTTTTCGTTCTTTTTCGCGCTGCGCATTCTTCAGGCGCATCATCACAGTCTCTTGGAAGCTAGGCATTCCTTTACCAGACGTCGCTGCAGACGCGAAAGAGCCAAAAGAGGGCGTCTTGTCAGATTTCGAAGCTCCCAAGGTGACGCCAGGAAAGCTGAAAGAAGGCTTTATCGGCCGTTCGGATGACTTGCTATCTTGTGTGGCAGACGGTGCAGAATTCTGTTGTTCAAGGGGAGTATCTTCTTTGGGTGGAACAACTTCGGCAGCCTTTCGGCCGCTGGCGCCGCGTATAAGATCCGGAGGAGTACCAGATGCCCATTCGACAGAGTCGATATGAGCCCAATCCCCATCTGGGACACCAGCTTGGCGAAGCTTCTTCTCGCTGTCCAAGACGGCTGCGTGCGCGCCCACAATGGATTCAAAAACAACCGCGCCGGTTGCAAGTGTAACTTTCTCACGTTTCCCTTCAACACGCTTCCTCTTATCCTTGAGCATAAAAGTTCCCTCCACTTTTCCAAATGACCCAAAAAGCGCTTTCAACCGGTCCGAGTCGAGATCAAGCGCTTCTCGCTCCCACCGCACCTTGACTGTGCGATCGAGTTCAGGAACATTGGCGCCACCATCCTGGGACCGATCAACGCGCTGGGAACCACGGTCCGCGACCTTGCGAGCCTCTTCCTCCTCCGCTTGAGCCTTCTGCTCTTCCTCCTCAAGCTCACGCTTCAATTTATCCCCCGCCTCACGACGACGTCGTCGCCCATCCTCCGCAATTCGCTCAATTTCCCGTTGTAATTTGACCTCAGCGTCATCATCAGCAGAAGCCCATGACCTCTTCATGCCCCTTTGACCTGCAGCAGCAGCAGCGCCAGCCCGTTCAGCAGCTTCAAGATCCTCGCGCATCTTGCGCTTCGCCGCGCCCATTTGCTCACGCTCGCGCTGCTTACGCAATCGTGCTTCGCGCGCATTATCATAAAGTTGCCGGATCGACGCATCTGAGAGAACATCGTTGGCGATCTGAAGCAGGTGGAACTTCTCGATGTCTGCAGGTGTTGGGTTTGCGATTTTATCGGGGTGGTATTTCAGTGCTGTTTTACGGTATCCGCGGCGGATCTCGGAATCTGTTGCGGATGGCGAGAGATCTAGCAAGGCGTAGAAATCCTGGTTGGACGCAGCGTGCGCCTTGAGGTCGTCTGTAGACATCTTGGCGGATTTATGTGATGAATCGGAGCTTGGAAAGGCTTGAATTGGACTGGGTGACTTGATTGAATTTTTACGGTGGGCTATAGATGCCCAAGGCGCAGTTGTCTCCACTGGCGCATTTAGAGTTGATATGAGTTTCTTTCTCTTACTTGGAACAATATTTTAGAGAAATTGAACTTCTGGTTTGCTCAAACTGTTCAAAAAGCTAATTAATCTCTAGGTATATGAGTAGGCTCTATTTGGTTGTTATTAGGTCGTCTGTGGCTGGGTTGGATCTAGTAACTCCAAAATGCACGCGTTGGGCTTGAACTATATAACCAAGTTCTGTGAAAATAATGGAACATCCATGGTTAAAAATTTCAAACAAAGTCCATGCCCACCTGCCCAGGCATGATGGCATCTTCACATTCCAAAATTCCCACTTGAACCTGAACATGATTCGATCAGTGTTATACCAAATGAAAATCTCCAAGTAGTACTAGTAGTAACTCATTAGTATTGAAGCCCGGCTCGGCACGTGCTCTCCTGCTATAGTCGCTGCCCAGGTGTACATCTGGCAGGTCCCGAGTCTCCCCAAGTTCTAAATCGTGGGCGTGGACTTCAACTAGACGGATGGCTCCATCAACAGGCCCCCGGGCGATGAATCGGACTTTTCTACCAGACCGAGCTCACTTGGCATTGGCACTTGCCATTGTCAAGGACAAGCCTCCAGAAACCGAACTGAAAGGTCAGTGACCCGATTGCCAGTACTTCACCTTACAGCAGACTTACAAGCCCCCCCACAACAGATTACATCTCCCGGATCAGAAAGTTCATCAAATCCCAAAAGGAATTGAATATGTCTTGCCCAGAAAAGTTCTTTGACAGTGTCAACTTCTGGAAATCCGCTTACGAGAAGTCGGAGGCCGAGCACGCTAAGTTGCTCAACGCCATGTACGACTTGGAACAGCGCAACTTGAGTCTTCTTGCCAAAACAAAACTGACCACCTCTGGCGACAATACGGCCATTCCATTTTCAACCAAACGCAAAGCGTCCGGCGCGCTTGAGCCTGTCGTTCCATCCAGGATCAACAGCAAACGAGCGCGGTCCAACTTCCCCAAGAACCCTTCACAAAAGAGCACCGGTGGCGAACAAGAGAATGCAGAGTCTACACATGATGAGAAACGAAGTAAGATCGCATCTCGAATCAGACTTCTATACCTGCTAATTTTCATCAGCGACTTCATTTATGCGGCAAATCTGTAACATGCAGCGGGCCCTGCAAAAAAGACGAAATGAAAAGAACATTGCAACCAACGCCGTGATACTGTGCAAAGAAGCAGAACACTCTTTTCTTGACCTCATACAACTCGAAGTCAATTTGAAATGCCAACATATTCCAGAGAACTCCGTCACTACAGAGAGAAAAAGCACCAGTGTTGTTTTTGAAGGTGTGGAACTTGCTTTTCATCTTGCATACCGAGCGCTCCACAAAAATTCCAACACAGGCGATACACCTGGGCAGGGCAAAGGTCAAATCATTTACTATATCGTGTGTCTTTTTGAGTCGATCACGATTGGTCTTACTCAGTATTGCACGGCCATATCCAAGCCCAGAATTGAAATCGAAAAGCCCGACCAGCTTCCAAAGTCAGCTCCTACTCAAGCCAGAAGATCCAAGACAGAGAAAAGAGTCCGGACAATCACCAATCCTCATGTTCCAGCAAAAGGAGAAGATAAAGTTCCTCAAGAATTGACCGAGCTCCTATGCAGAATTGCGATGTCACTGGATCTGACCAAAGAAGATGACCAGAAAGTCATGGAGGGATTTCTCTTCATCGTCCTCGGCCGAGTCGGTAAGATGTTGGCTCTTTTCGTCTTTAAAGACCTTCAGTTACCATACGAAGTTTGTCCAGAAATGAAACCACCCGAAGGACTCGCCTCAATGCACCAGGAAGGTATATCACCGGATATTGGGAAATACGAAGCGAGCTATCTTGTCAAATTGCTCAAGGGCTTATTCCTCAACGAGGCATCCTCCACACCCGAGTACTCGGCCACAAAAGCACAGTTTGTCCGGGAGGTGAAGATTAAACTCCAGAAGACTCTTCTACAAGCAATATTTGGGATGGATGAGCCGCTATTCCAGGATGGCTTGAAACGTCCAGCCACGCCGCCACCCCAAGATTGCGATAGCAATGGAGGTGAAAATATCTCTTTTTCAGAATGGTTTACACAGGAGCTATGGTCTTTAGTGGGATGGGATATGCTGAACAGCATTGTGGAACATCATTGATTGTTGGGCTACTTGATGTGACTAGGTATTTTACCGAAAGTCTTGATTGCTTGAGACGAGGTGCGTGGAAATGGTGTGTCATTATTTACGCTTATACCCCATGATGAATATAAGATAAGCCTATAGCTAGACCGATGATCGTAGTTATCACTCTCTTATTTAAGATCGAGAATGCGTACCGCGTTATCTCCAAGTACTGCGGCAACTGAAGCCAGGTCTTCCTTGAATGTCTCATCGATAGCCGTATAGTTGGTAGTGACACTTAGCCACTTCGCATTTTCGTCCCCGAGGGGAGGAAAGAATGGATGATCAGTTCCTAGCGATTAAATCTGTCAGAAGCTGCAACTTGAAGCGAAGACGCCCATTTCACAAACTCACCAAAAAGCAAACGATCGGTACTGCCAGCCGCGATAGCTGCTTGAAGTCCAGCTTTGCCATAAACGACAGCATCAAGATAAATATTCGTTTTGAGAATCTCCCAGATACTCCTCTGGGGCCCAGGAACGTCTCCACCATTCTCTTCGAATTTCCGCTCATGCGCAATACAGCTCTCAATCCTTCCAGCCAGAAATGGGAGCGTTCCACCCGAATGAGCCAACAAGATCCGCAACCGGGGATAGCGATCAAAAACCCTGCTCAGCAGCATTCGAGTCACAGCGATGGTCGTCTCAAGTGGGAAGCCCAGGGCGAGTGGGAGGACATGGCCGTAACGGGCCGTGATCTCGGGTCCTCCAAATGCTTCATCGGGAAGACCGTAGTGTGGGTGCAGGAACAAAACTTGCTGAGACTCTTCCAGTGCCGCCCAGACCGGATCAAGATTCGCATCGTCGAGACCAGAGCCTAATCCCGATGTCCCCATAATGACACCTCGGATATGCTCCAGACTCGAGATTCGGTGAATTTCCTCAACGATGATATCCGCAGTCGGCGCGCTCAAAGGCAAAGCGCCAAACGCAAAGAGCGTTCTTTTTTGCCGAAGTGGAATGGCATTATCTGGATCAGCGGCGCGATTGACATTCGCACAAGCAGAGTTGAGATCATCGTTGATGAGGCGGGCCCATGTCTGCGCCTCGTCCGGAGACAGGAAATCCAGCCATGGATTTGCGAGGGAGATCACGCTGCAGTCGATGTCGTGCTTTTTCATGAAATCCAGTTTCACGTTGATATCTGAGTAGGATGAGTCCACAGGTCGACCGCGCTGGTCGATGGGGATTGCGGGGTCATCGTCGGATGAGAGGATTATCAACCGGGGCGTCCCATTGTCGCTGGGGTCATGAATGTATGGCACGGTCTTGCGATCGCGAAGCATCGCCATGTACGAAGGAGGGTAGACATGGGTGTGGATATCTACAACGAAAGGTCGTGCCATAGTGATGAAAATCAAACTGAATAGAAATGGTAGGAGTATGGGGGAGAGGGAAAGGATTGTTATGGATGGTTGGGCTGCGGCCATAGATAAGACGTGCAGAAGCATGCGGGGAAGGGGGTTATGGTTGCATTTCTGGTAATTAGGCTGGGCGAGAGCTGCTCCTTATCATGAAATGAAGCATGGAAGAAATTTTGTTAAGTTTAATTTCATTTGCCTTTTCTTCAGGGTAGAAGTATACAACTCTTCAACACAGAACTAAGAATATTGTGATCATGCTGCCAATCTAGACAGTCCTGTACAAAATTGAATTGAAGCACTTCTTAAAGTAAGTAAATGCGGCATTGAAATGACAGAATAGAACAAATCATCCGAAGGAATATCTCTATCCACCTAACATAACAGTTGTCTCATCATGGCATCGGTATCATGCGGCATTGCTTCGCAGAGCGGAGGAAGCATTGACCCCTTCAGCTTCATGTTAGCACGATCACGATCTAGAGCATCATAATACTTCAAGCTCACATCAATGATTCTCCAAATTTAGGAGAGAGCGGAACCACCCAGAGTGATGGGCTGCTTGTTGGTGAAGTTGGGGATGTCTGCAAAGATCTTGGGGGTCTCGGGGTCTTGCAGAGCAGACTTGATATCCTCCTCACTCTTCCATTCCAGGTTGGCGGCAATCAGGAACTTGGAAGGAGAGCCATCGAGGGCAGTGGTGTACTTGATAATCTTCCAGCTGATGAGGCCGTACTTCTTCCAGATTGACTCCACCAGAGGCATGTGAGTCTGCAGGTAGTAGGTCTCATCAAAGGTGATGTCATCATCATTGGGGTACATGACCGAAGCGTGGTAAGGCATGGTGGGCGAAGGATTGAGGATTTGAAATTGAAGAGAGAAAATAGGAGAAAACTTGAAATGGATTGAAGTCGAGAGGAAGAAAAGAAGGAAGAAGGAGTACAGAATAAAGAGGGGCATGTCCCGCCAACGAGCCGAGGATCCGCGGGAGCTTATGCTTATTAATGGCGCGTGGTAGTGGGGCTGTATATTATAATCACCCCGTTTACTTGTTTCATTCTGACCAACCTTGGAAGACTACAAGATGTAGCCTAGTACCGGTGCTCCTTTTGATGATGACCGAGAGCCGATCTGTTCGCCTGTCAGATGGATACGGTATTTCAGGGTCCATTGCGTTTCCCATGCGGGGAGCCGCAGGGTCCACAAGAAAAGGGGCCAGAGAAGAGCCTGGTCAACTCATAAACGATCTGCCAATCGACTTACCCAAGTCATAGGAGGCCCCGGAAGGCAGACTTGCCCGGGTGCTTCACAACACAAATCCTCATCCATTCCGATTCCCACATGCGAGCCTTTGTTCATAATGGCTCCTGTCAGCCTGCAGCCAAGCAGGCGAAGCTCTCGTGTTGATTCTCGCCATGATCTACAAAATATTTCTCCATGATATTGCCTTCAAAAGATCAACCCCCAACTCAACCGATCGGGACGTTGATGGTTTCTCCTGGAGATGTACACGCCTCGAACATCCGCTCATGGAGGGTTGCGAGCACTTGTGGTTGGGTCACAGGAGTCGAAAGCTCTACGCAACGTGCTCCAATTTTTCAACGCATGCAGATACTTCGGTCGAATCCGATTATCCAACCATGGCACACAGAGATCATGTCAGCGTGATGGAGATTGACTCGCCACCCGGGCAAGATAACGCTTACAATCTGCATCGCTTAGAGATCGCAGGCGGCTTCGAAGGGGAGCTAGATCTTCACAGACTAGATGCACGCCGCATCGGAGATCGGATTCGTTTTTGGATGATTAACCACAAGCCATATGTCGATACAGACACGGGAGAAGTCATAGATGAGAAAAAGAACTATAACGTGGAAGTGTTTGATTTAGACGAGGATGCTGGCGCTCTTGTGCCCGTCAAAACGATATCAAGCGAGTTATTGGACTCCCCAAACAACCTAGCCGTGGACCCCGCCGGAAATGAGATTCTCGTGATCAACGATCACGTCACAAAAGTTGGACCCTTTCGAGGCGGAAAAGAGGTAGTGGGCGATGCGAATCTAGCAGAATGCCAAACAGATTCGGGTGAATGCCGCCTGGTTACTAGCAAGGGTTTGGGATACGCAAATGGCATCGCAATCGATAGCCAGGAACACATATACGTTACCGGCGTCTCCGGGGTAGTTCTTGTATATCAGATGGAGATTGGGGAACTCAAACTCTTGAATTCATTCAGAAATTCACTGGGAATCGATCGAATTTCCGTCAATGCAGAGGATAACATCGTGATTACTGCATTCCCAGACTCGCTAGAGCTGATGAAAACGTCAACGAACCCGCCGGATCCAGTGCCTGGGGCAACCCTGCTTTTAGCAAAAAGAGAAACTATTAATGCAGGGCAACCGGAAGAGTAGGGATATCAAGCCTATTTTTTGATCACGGACGAAGATGGCGAGCTCATGCCCTCCACTACAATCGCGGTGCATGATGTCAAGATGGATCGCATGTTTCTGACCGGAATATTCTCGCGTGGCATCAATATCTGCAAGAAACGAGCAATCAAATAAATAGCGCTTCACCTGGGCAGCAAAAAAAAATCACGGCAACTGGATGGCCGTATGTGCCACGCAACTACAGTGACGTACATTAAGCAAGACGGAGTAAAATTCCAGATGACCTTGAAGATCTTGAAAAAAAAAAAGGAAATAATGCTACTTTTTTGAATTCGATCCATCAAATTGAAATCACAACATTGGAAATCACAAAACAAGATTCATATTCCCGGGCTCTTGCCGCCGAAAACATCCTACCCCAAGGGCTGTGACTCCATTCTGGTATTAACTAACCAGCCTGATAGATAGCAGGACCCGCAATGACATGAGGATTGATCAGACTCAGATTGAATGGCGTCAAATATGGATCATGGTCGGTGATGGCAATGAACATAGTACCGTTAATCGCGGGGTCGCCCTGGTAGGTCTCCAGATTGGGTTGGTGAGTGTAGCCGCGAGATCCATGCCCAATACGCAGCGGCGTGTAGGTCACATTGAGCTGAGATACCCAGACAACATACTTGGGTCTAGTTGCCTGTGATGTGGTGATATAGCTGTTATTGGGGCCAATTTCCGAACCCGGGCTATCCCATTGCAATATAACTTGACGACCAGGGAAAGAGAGAGCTGGATAACTCTCTGGTGCATATCTGCATTTCCAGTTGCGGCGATACAAGTGACGACGGGAAATGCTGCTGACCGTGCTGTTCGAATTATTTGAACTTAAATTCAAAATGGCAGGTTGGTCGATTATCCTGAGCTCTGGAAAGTTCTGCCAACCCAAGCGGGTCTGGTTAGAAGGGCATGAACTTATATATGGTGCCAGCAGTGTCCATGCCCATGACTGGGGGATACCGGTCTCGAAACATTCGGGCATGGGGAAGAGCCCTAGGAACTGGCGAAAGATCAATTGCTGCCGCGCTTCGGTTGTGACTGATTGCGTCAATAGCGTGGCTGCCTCTCGGGAATCCAGATGGGCCAGAAATCCATAAACCCCAGCTTCACCAAAGCGAGTGATTTCTTGACAGAGATCGAGAAACTCTGTTACATTGCGGTAGGGATAATGGTAGGTGCATTGTTGTGGAGCATGGGCACCGAGAATATTGCTCAGCATTGTTGCATGTCCAACCTCTTGCTGCGCCATGAAGGCAATTAGATCCCGATCTGTGGAGGACAGACCAGCGGATTTGAAGTCTTCTACCGAAAAGCGTTGCAGTCCATCCTGGAAAAGATCAAGCTCAATCCATTCCTGATACAACGCAAGTGCCTGTTGCTTTGTATCAATACAAGTTCTGCATTTCATGTCCACCGATAGGATGAATACGTACAAGAGATTCATAGTCGAAGTCACTCTTGGCATTGTACACTGGAATGGATCCATTTGTCCCGACCCCTCCCGCAGGAATATAAGGGCCGGGCTCGGCATTGTAAAGTTTTCCATCGCTAGGGTAAGTAGTAGCTGCTGGGAGGACTTCCTCGCCAGAAATGCCCTTTCCAACTGAGGTGGCAGTCAGAGCACCGGTGGTTGATGGAGTTTCACTGAATGGAGTGTGCGGCTGGGAGCTAGGATGTGATCGCATCGAAGGCCCGGTAATCAAAGCCTCGGATACCGAATCCAAATCCGTAGTTGTATGATGCGACTTCTTGTGGGGTGATGCAAATGTGAAAGGGAGTGAGCCCAGTACTAGTTGTAGGCTCAGTAGTAGAAGCAAAAGACCCGGCATTTTAGCTGCACATAAACAATGATATACTATTCCAGCCCTGGAGTGTATCCCGCGGTGATAAAATCTTCAAGTTCAAGTTGCTGCGACTCGGAACACTCGATTGCAAAGGTGAGTGCTGCAGATGAGTGGTTCACCAGACGGAACTGGAGGCATGCGAGGATATATATACACCAACAAGCAATCACATTGGCACCTTACTATTAATTTGTGGCATATAATTGACGTAACTGACAAGACTACCGGATAGTCACCTGGGCAGGCTAAGCCGGATGTTTTAACCTCAAGTATAGACCAGTCATGGATCGGTACCACCAAGCCGGAGTTGTAGACTTGACTCTGATATAGCTAAAAATGTAGCAATATAGTATTCAAATCAAAGTTAGTCTTATATTATTCAAGATTCTTGACCAGTCTATGATTCTCAAGATGAGAATGTTTCAGGAGTGATCGTCCTGTGATAATCGCTGTGCCCAATGACCAGGATGATACCTCATCGTATGAGGGGCTATATTTTTCATAGCTCTGACAGCAGCACTTGGGTTTGATTGGATAGCGAAACCAGGCACCATGGATATAGTAAGTTACCCCTCATAATTAAGCTCCAATTTTCAAAGTTAGTGGTCCCACATGGGAGTGACCGGAGATATCGGAGCTCCTAGGAGGTCACAGTCTGCTTGACTCTTTTTGCATGATAGAAGCAATATTGAACAATTGAGCCTTTGGGAATAGGATTTACGGTAAGTGAGCTGATACATGATGTCTGGAAATCTAGACTTTGAACTTCTTTTGTCAAAGTCTTGTGGAACGACGGATGATCTCGGTAATGACGTCGACCTGCGTACGCGGTTCCGCCCAGGCAACTGTTGGTGATGGAAATAAAGCCCGATCCCGGATACTTCGGATCACGGACCAGGAACGTAGGGTGGGGAATTCTGGATGTATTCAATTATAAACATTCCGCAGTTGCCTCCTATCCTGATGTCAGACGTACCTGATATTATTAGGGAGGTCTTGTTAATTTAGGACCGAAAGTAGCCTGGCAATATCATTATTCACTTGCTCGACCTCCTCTGATATTCTCCTTCTTGGTAGCTCTGAATCTTGGTCGGTGTTTCGTGAAGTACGGAAGACTGTCCAGGTGGCCATGGCAGATACTGACAATGATCTTTGCACTGCTTGGAGAATTAACATTCTGAAAATGAATTATTTGATGGGCTAGAATCGACAGATCGGCAAGAACCCCGAAGTCAAAACAGTAGCCCATCGGGTAATCTGTTGGTCCAAGTTTATTTATTTGCATTGGACACCTGGGTACCTATGGGGTCAGATCGGCGATGCGCCGACCTCGGGATCCGGTGGGGGAAAGCGTTCGCGGGGAAGCCTAACACATGCACTGATAGGAAGTGCACATCTTCTCCAGGACTTCTAATTCGTAATCCATCCCTTGTATTCTCCTGCAAATACATCACTTGCAAAATGTCCAATCTTCTTGCTTCCAATCTGTACTCAGTCCAGGACCGCGTGGTCGTCATTACCGGTGGAGGTAGTGGTAAGACATAACCTCCAAATACTTCAAGAATGAAGATGGATGCTAATTCGATTCTGTTCTTGAACAGGTCTCGGCCGGACCATGGCCCGCGCTCTAGCGGTCAATGGTGCCGCGAAGGTGTTTGTCCTTGGACGTCGTGTCAATGCCCTGGAGGAGACAGCCGCTCAATCTACTCCCGGCGTGGTCATCCCTGTTCAGTGCGATGTGACCTCTAAAGAGTCTCTCGAAGCCGCATACAAGGCTGTCTCTGAGCAGACCACCCACGTTGACATTCTGTTTGCCAATGGTGGAGTTCTAGGACCATTGATGCGACCGTCCCAGAAACCAGATGGGACCCCTCCTTCTCTGACCGAGCTACGCGAGGAATTGTTTAGTAAACCAATGGAGGCATTCACCGATGTGTTGAATGTCAATGTCACTGGATCTTATTACACCGTGCTGGCGTTTTTGCCATTGCTGGAAGCAGCAAACAAGCGGCGGCCGGCACCTCAAGCGGGGGTGTTGACCCCTCCAACTGCACAGGTCGTCATTACGAGCTCGATCGCAGGATTTATTCGCAAAGTGCCTTTCAGTTTTGCATACAACGCGTCTAAATCTGCCACCACCCATCTGGTCAAGATGCTCGCTACTACTCTTGCTGATTATGATATTCGGGTGAACGGCATCGCACCTGGTCTCTACCAGTCCGACATGGCCAACCATATTTTCGAAGATAAGGGCATCGAAGGCAGCGGAGTTCACGAAGGCTCGTTCCCGCGAGAAATGATCCCTATAAGACGCAGTGGAGGCGAGGAAGACTTTGCTGGTCTAATTATCTGGATGGCGAGTGCCTCAGGTGGTTACTTGAATGGCGCCATCATGCTCACCGATGGTGGTCGGGTTAGCGTAGTCCCCAACACTTACTAGGGACCTCTGACTGCCCTGCATCAGTCAGAGTTGAGTTTACATGATTTACTGCCGCTGTTTAAAGGTTATTATCTAGTATAGATATTCTTGATAAATAAATGAATAAATGTGCTGCACTGTTTAAAAAGACTAAGTCCGCAATCGACATGAAGTCTCACCGACATTTGGTGTCTCATCGAGAATGGACTGCAAGGATTCTGGCGAAAAATACCGCGAGATTACTGATCAGTATGTCTCTGTCAGTCGCTGGACTAGATATTCGCCCGCAGTGACGTCTGTGTACTTCTTCGCAACATGGATATCTTCACCGTATGTTCCCGGTAGGGCTTTGATGACCTTGTCGTTGTTGGGGTTGCAGAAGTACGCAATGCTATAACGCGAAGGGTACGTATCGACCAAACTATCATCACTCTTTCCGCCCTCGGGCTTGGGTGGTTGTATTACTCGATGGCGGGTACTCTTGATGGTATCGTTTGACCAGCGCGCGAGTAGGTCGCCGGCATTGATCACGATTGTATCAGCAATTGGAGTGGCGTCAACAAACGATCCCCTAGGACTTCGCACTTGCAAGCCCCCATGTCGATCTTGGAAAAGCAGTGTAACTGAGCCATAATCACTATGTTCACCGGCGCGAACTTGCTCGGGGTTCCTCTTAAAGACATCCTTGTGGACTGGGGGATAATGCAAAAGGCGAAGATTATTATCACCACCACTTACAAATTCGTCGAAAAAGTGCTCGGGAAGGTTCATGCCAAGGGCGATGGAGCTCATGACCTGCTTGTGTAGATGTTTGCACATCTCAAAAAACCCAAGCATCGTTTCCTTGAACTTCTTGCCTTCCTCATCGAGATGGTCGGGCCAGCGGTTCGGCAAACCATCTACGCCCTCCCGGCCAATTTCCATAGTCTCTTTAATGTCAGGTACAGACTTCCGGCGATTATTTATGTCGTCTGTTTCATCAAGAGGAGCGAGCTTCTCTCTCCCAATAGCAACGTATCCACGATTTGATTGTGGGGTTGTCCATCCTAAACCGTTTTTCTGATCCTGGGGGCGATCGAAGAATCGAGCAGAAGAAGCGAACACTTGAGACACGACCGATGGTGGTATTCCGTGATTCTTCAAGTAGAGAAATCCCGAGGTCTTGAACGCCTCGGTGATAGATAGGGCGACGGCATGCTTGTCTGACGGGGTTCCCCAAAAAAAGGGACCAAAGTCTATCAGCTAGAGGCGTCTTGAGTAAGCTCTTTCATTATCCTAGCATCTCAGCTCCACCGAAGATCAATCTCAAGGGTGGATTTACGGGAATCACCAAATCATCCTTGTTCACGCCCATAGATGCAGGGTGCATCTCTTGAGAGGTGTTGGTCATGATACCGAATACGTCGACGATGGGGGGCCGGGTTCGTTGAGGAGATGATTGGAGAGGGGAAATGGACGAGTCAGTGAGAGGGGATGAACCTTGGAAGATAAGAAGACTACTTGCAACTAGATATGCACAGAGGACCTTCACCTTGTGTGATTGATTGCTGGTCCCGTGCTGAGGCCTCTTGGCCGCTGATAAGCTGCGCGCGGAGGCAAATGTGCCACCGCTTCCCCGCCCATGGGACTGCATGGGCGATGCAGATGATCTTCTACCTGTGCTCGGTCTGCCTGAATGGGCTCTCGGGATATTCTATTCATGGAAAACTTTATCCGTATGAATCAAAGGGCCGGGGTTGCATCGTCAAACTGACTGGTCTGCCCAGAGACTGTGTTGGACCAGGCTCAGTAGTAGCTATTCTGGTTAGCAATACGTAAGACCAGACAATTCACAGATGGAAAATTAAGGAATTAAGTTGTTCTATTTTTTTCATTGGAGAAAAGGTGTTTAGAGGCAGAGGCTCAAGAAATGATTCAGAAATTGAGAGATCCATTGATTCATCAATATTAATACCGTAGGGTGACTGTATAGTGCCCTCTTAACTCCGGTTAAACGCCGATCCGCCGATCCTCGACTTTTGCTCTCCGGCCAGCTCACCCTGATCTACAATCTTCAATCTTCAATCTTTAATTCTTCCCCACTCCCAACTTCACCATCATGGACACACCCAGGAATCGAAGGCAGCGCCGTGCTGCAGCGGCAACATCTTCACCATCATCAACAACGCCAGTCTCCGATATCGATATCCCTCTTGCTCATCCACCACGCGATAACCCACCCCAGAAAGCCAGCGAGCGAACACTATATGATATCATCGCAGAGCGCCAAAATGAGCTCCAGACACAGGCAGACAAGGCAAACAAGGCGAGAGGAATGCCGGGAATACCGATCGGACAAGAATTACCGCCCATGGGGAAGGGAACGCGGTTCGTAACTGTCGACGCGTCTGGGAACATTGTCGATGCGGACGGCAACATTGTCAACGATGAGCTGGTGGGTGGAGGCTCACAGAAATCTGAAGCTGGTCGCAGAGTCCAATCGCCTATTAATAGCGACGCAAATGATGAGGATAGCGACGTCGATGAACCCCTCCCGCCCTTCATCGACACCGTCCTCCTTTCGATGCCCCTCACAACACTCCACGGCACACTCTCCTACCTAGCCGCATACCAATATGCCGAATCAACGGATGCTGTTCGCACGATGAAGGATTCCGTCATGTTTACCTTTCCCCTCTTGACACTCCTGGTGCATCTTGTCCACGGCCACATCTTTTCCTTCCGACTACGGAGCACGTCCAATCTTCTGGCCGAAAGTGCGCAGCCCATCTCGCTCATCCCTATGACTCGAGACAAATTCACATTCTCCTTCTTACGACGATTAATATTTCCACCCTCTATTCGCACACTCGTCTTTCTACCAATCGCTATCATGCTTGGTGTCCATCTGATTACCGTCACGAATGGAGAACCCTATTACGCTGTTATGAAAAAGGCACCTGCATATGGAACGGTCTGGATTTGGTTTGTTCTGGAATTGTCTTTCGGCCCAGCGGTACTGGGTGCACTGGGTCCCTTAATTTGGGGCGTTTGGTGGAAAGGATATGGGATTGTTTGATTTGTTCGCACTCGGTGACGGAGCATGACCCTGGCCAATTTTGTACATTGCATTGCCTTGGTTTCGGAAATTTCTCTCCCTGTAATACCTCAAAGCACATAAGGTTTCAATATTTCTTCCGGCGCGTGTGGTCGCAGCACCTCCACGATCTCCTGCCATACCTTCTTCTGAGTGGCTTTTCCCTGTACGCTTGTACACGATTCCCCCATGCTATATCCCTGATTAGCAAAGATAATCGATAACCTTCTTGGTGTTGAACATACTCGAGGAATATATCAGAGTTCCATAGCTTTCCATGACACTCAGGACCCAGAATTGCACCGCTAACATAACTCCTTGCCCCCTGTTCGGCTGTACGGAAGAAGATAGATTGGAGTATGAGCATTGGAACCTGCAAGATGGTAGAGAAATCGCGACCTATGGTTGTTTTGCAAGGTCCAGGGCAAACCGCATTGATGATAATGCCAGGATCACCTGGGTCGCATTCAATTGACCTTGTCCCTTGTACCAGTCCCTCCAAAATGTACATTTGAAACAGTTTCGCAATTTGGTATTGTCGTTGTACACCAAAGAATTTGGCTTGGTTGACCTGGTTCAAGATTGCGTCGTTGCTTTGAGAGAAACAATCGATCTTAGCGGAACGAGAAGCAATGCTTGCCACTATTTCGAGGTGGGCCGGAGTTTTGGCTATCATGGCCGATTTCCGAAGTTGTGGAATAATCAAAATTGCCAGCAGCGCCGTAGATAGAACCATGACCTGAACTGTCATCTCGTAACCTTCCGGGCTGAGGCGAAATGATGGCGATACGACGCCTGCGTTTAAAATGGCAATGTCGATTCTCTCTTCTCTGGAGATGGCCACAGCGAATCGTTTAACAGAATCAAATGTGCTCATGTCAAGCTCATATAGATGAATGTTGTCCTTGCTATATCCGGTCTGCTGGCATATCTTAGAACGAGCCTCTTCGCCTTTCCAGAGAGTCCGAACGCCGAATATAAGACGAGAAGCACCCAGTGCAGCGAATTTGAGTGAGGCTTCAAATCCAAGTCCAGCATTGGCTCCGGTAATGAGAACTGTCTTTCCAGCAAAAGACTCGGTGGGATTTGCTGGAGGATGGCGTCTGGACCACCATACCATCGCTGCTTCCCCGTCGGGTGGTGTTGAGGCCATTGCTAACTTCTCTGAATAGCAAGAAATATTTTGCCAGACGAATGAATTCTGAAAAGTCACTTGAAGCCATCGGTGGAAATGCCTTTTATAGGGTTGACTTGGCAAGTCCGAGAAATGTTCCGAAGTCACACTAAACACATGTTCATCAAAATTTACTCTTAGACAGAGTTCTTTAGCCTATCGAGAATAGATCTTAGAGAATCGCAGTGTCCCCTGGGCTGGTATAGTGGAGGTTGCTCATTGGCCTCTTCTTCCAACATGGTGGATAACATTCGAGCTGCTTTGCCCTGGGTCAGCACCACTCCCGTAGGCTGAAAGATATTATCAACAAGGCCAAATCTTGATTCAATCTTTCCTAGCATGTCTTCGCTTATTTGTACGAGAATCTTTACTTGGATATCAAGTCGAGCCTCCAATTTGAAGCCTCCGAGGTTCATACCGGGGAACAATTGGGGTATCGGATGTTGTATTCCCAGAAGAATTGGGAGACAATCCAGTACGCAAGATAAAATCGTTCGATAGATTCGTACCAAGCCAATGTAACATGAAAGCAGCACAAACATGGTCGGTGTATCACACGTCAATTCAAACGGCGCAGAGTTGGCGTGTGGCTGAAAATGATTCAATATGTCAATCAAAGACGTGGAATGGTCTAGCATGCGCCCGATCATGATATTTTGACTAGTCACAGGGTTCAAGTCCGATGAATCAAGTGCCTCGGGGCATTTATCGGCAGTAATGCAAGACTTGACATTCTCGAGGTCGCCAATAACAGCGGCTTGAAGATCACCTAGTTTTCTCAGGCAATCGCCCTGCGTCTCGGAAGGTGGAGTTACAGGCACAGTACCAGGCACCGCGGCTAAAGCAAGGTTTTGGCCAAAGTTTTGGGGCCAGAAGTGGCTGAAATCGTCCAAATTGGTGGGAGAAATGAGTTGCGGCAAGGCCGAGTCCGACTCGGAGATATTGATTTCAGGGGGAGAGGCCAACGGAAGCAGGCTTACATCTAGCGTAGAAATCACGGAAGGGAGCTCTTCATACCCATTGAAGGGTCCATTGAAGGATTGAATATCGGGGTCATCCGCACCACTCAACTGTTGAGGGCGACCGGATCTGAGAGCAGGGCTTGTGAGGCATTCGGCGTTGATCTTTTCGCACCGGCGGCACTGCACTGCATGGCCACGCTCGCAGCGGAGCTTGTGTCGCCTGCACCGGTCGCATGCCGACCGACGGTTTCCCATATTTTCGGTGACCATGGTTTCATGTGATAATAATCATTACTTTGATGATGGGAGATGTAGTTGTTTGATTCGGAACGTTTATGGGGAGAAATGTGGAGTTCGGAGACAAGTGGAGCCTCCTCGGGGCTTCATCGGACACGCAAGGCAGATGGAAATAAGATTAAATGCAGTGTCTAGGAACAGCGCTAATTGTCAGAATTTGTTTTTCCATTGAGAGTGAAGTTGATTCATTATACATCTGTCCCATCTCCTATGTATCGAAATCATTAGACCAGCATTCTGATACGATATCCCCATACTCATGCAATAAAGACTTCAAAACCTGGCCAGCTTCTTGAGATCCTCCAATAGTTACATCCAGAGATAGAAGGCCTTTCATGAGACAATCAATCTGTTCATGACAGAGATCATCTGGGATAGGATCTGCCCTATTTTTGAAATTCCCAATTCCAGCCACCTTAGAAACTTGGAGTCGGGCAAAGTATACCACGGCTTTCTCGATAGCCGTTGTCATTATCCTTGGGGTAACATGATAGGCGGTAATCGGGGCTTCAGATGCAAGGCCGTTCTGAAGATTAAATGCCTCTTCTATAGGTAAATCAAGAACCCGTCTAGCTGTTTGTGCGACCGAGAAAGCTGCTTCGCGTTGATATCTTCGTATAGGTTGACCGAAGTTCTGACCAGACTCGTTGATAATACCATTGATGTCAGCTCTTAGAGATTCTGCAAGAACAAGGACCCCCATATCCCATGGCACGATAAGGGAGACTATTACCACTCGTTAGTGAAGGGGAGTTGTATGGCGAGATGGTAGGACCATACCGCAGGATACCCTTGATGGCAGAGAAAGATTGTAGAACATTGCTCTGCATCGTTCGATGAATGGTCGGACTTTTTTATTGAAAGTTTCAATAAAATTTTCCACAGAATTGACTGAATCAAGAATTTCGGAATCAAGACTCCGGGGATGATTGTAGGAACATCGACGATCGTTCTTTAAATCCGCAATCCGTCTCCAAATAAAGAAAGCTTCCGCTGCCATCATTCGACATATTCCAGGGATTTCGCGGTCGCACTCTTTCGGACTCTTGGAGAAAAACGATGGCGGGGCTGAGTTGTCACGATCAAATGCTGAGAGGTCTTAGCACTGCACTCTAATAGACTGTTACTGGTTTGTTTTTGAGCTTACTATTCATATCACGAAGAGGATCGGGAAGTCGACACTGGTGATCTGATGTCAAAGCAGCCCCGGTGTCACGAATGTATCCACTCCAGCGCACTAGAGTGAGGCTGGTTTCTGCAAGAGCACCGTACTGAGACAATGGTCCTAGGGCAGCGCAATAATTCTGTACAAGCTCATCTAGTTCATGTAGCTTCTGCAGACCAATATTGAGGAATTCATGTTCTATCAATGCCTCGCTTGTATTATTGCGAGCGCTCATTGGAATGGCGGTTCCGTCGAAGATAAAGCTTGCAAACACAGCCCGAAAAGACCGAACAGACCGTGCTTCATCGATGGCCATACGGGCCTGATGCCATGCATCGGTATAAAATTCACATGGAGAGCTCCGCAGTGGCATTTTATCATGAAGTCTGGCAATGGCGGCCTCCCTTGGAGAAGTTCGACGGTCTATTTCAGACCCAGTACTAGGTAGCCACTGTAGAGCGAATAATCGCAGTGCAGCTCTAAGGGCTGTATCGGACCTTTTTTTCGAAGCCTGACTCAGTCTGTTTCCATAAAGATCCCCGAAATGGTCGAGGAATCTTGCACATCCCACAATCGTCATGCTGCTGGCTTCTCTGTGCGTCTGCTCCCCAGAGAAGTCTGGTTTCATCCTAGTCTGCAATTGCCCCGACGTATTCAGGGGATTCAAAGGAGAACTCGTTCCATTCTTATCTGAGGGGGATGAATACGTCGCTGGTGTTGGCTCATTCGAACTTTCATGCCCGCCGTTTTCTATCTCGTAACGAATTCCCGTTGCGTATAGATTAGTATCGCAATCGAGGAATCGCTCCGCAGAGCCAGTTAGAATCGCTTCGTATATGCTGATCAGTCGTTCATCAAGGATGCTAGCGTCTAATTTTGAATTCAACAAATGAATAGGGCTGCGGGGCGAACTTCCAGGTAGGAATTCTAGACAGGAGAGGCGCTGTAATGATTGTGACCCCGTTGGTAGAATAGAAGGTTTTCTTTCGTTTTGTGATTCAGATGAGATTTTCGGGTCTGGCAACACTGGCTCGGCTGCATTGGTAGAGTGCAAGTCACTTGCCAAGTAATCATCGATGTCAAAATTGAGCCACGCAACGAAATCATCTTGGGTATCTGTAGAGATGAATTCCGATGTACTATTCGGGGATCTTCGAGACGTATCCACCGAGTCATCAAAGGGAATTTGTTCGATATAGGTTGGAGTTTGGTCGGGCCTTGAACTATCTTGGCGTTGTCGTTTCTTTGTTCGAGAGTTCAACCGGGAAGAGGCGAAATCAAATGTACATGTATGCCCGAGCCGTGTGCAATTGGCACACGAGGCATTTGTGTCGGTGAAAGAATGAGAGGAGAAAAAGCAGCGGCGTTTGGAGCGCCTGCACGGATCGCAGCTAGAATTCTGTCGACGCTGCGGCTCCGACGGGGTGCCAACCCCTTGAATCGACATGTCGGGCAGAGCAAATCGAATGGAGAGGAATATTCACCCCCTGTCTAGGCTTACTACTAATTTTAGATGAGACTGTTGCCAGCCTCAAGACCGAAACCCTCGCATGATATGGTCGGAAGTTAGTTCGTTCCGGCTATTCTGATCCAAGCAGATCAGATCCGATGTCATGCCTTGGTGCCTGAATCATGACGCATCACCTCAGCCAATTCCCCACCAGAAAGACCGAATTCTAAGTGGAAAGACTACAATGTCATAGAGGTATAGAAGATCCTTCATGAAACTATTTTATATCTCAAGGGATGATTTACCCCAGTCTGATCACCTCGACCTTCCATCCACTTTGTTGAGCTGCAACTTTTCGTAGTCATAATCATCTAACATTCGCACCTACATTTCATTAAAATCAAAGCGCTAATGCGATCGGAATGGAGTAAACTTACATTCACAGCAATCACAGGATCCACGCCCTCTGAGACGACAGGGAAGTTATCTGGAATGCGAATGAAGCAGCTACTCCCACACTCTCCACAAAATTGGTGCCAAACTTTTTTCGTGGCGAATTGATACTCCTTCAGCGAATCTTGACCCTTTTCAAAAGCAAAGTTCTTTCGAGATGGGTAAGCGAGCAAATATCCATTTTTAGTGCAAATCGAACAATTGCATGCATTCACGGGGTACTGAGAAAGAGGGGGAGATATAGTGAACTTGAAGCGCACTGTGCCACAATGGCACTGCCCAGTGTGAGAGGAGGTTTCGGAGATTGGGGTTGGCGGGAAATTCACTGGCATGATGATGATGATGATGATCTGATTCTCGAGATATTTTTCACAAGGTACTCAGACTGGATTCTCACGAGCTATTTAAGGTCCAGGGTGGCGTGTCTCTGTTCTCTTCGCTTCAGGATTCTCAGCCTTGCGTGTCTCACCTCCGACTGGGGCCTAGATTTTACCCCTCTTTCAAATTAATCACCACATGCCATGCACCCTAAATGGACGCATACTTCTAGTATACCACAAGCTTGGTGTAATGTATCTTAGAGCCCTCTTAACGCCCAATTCAGCGGTTTTGTTCAGGAAACCCCTAACTTGCCATATTTCTGTTGACAGTATAGGTATAACTACTACTTGTAACTGAACAAGATAAGTAAGAATTGAAAAGCGCGATCCGACCACTGGCACCTGAGTCGTTGCAAATCACAATGATATAACTAGGTAGTAGCTAAACTTCCTCCCCGCTGCTCTTCGAACACAATTCACAATATAGCTTGGGTTGCTCAAGAATGGCGAATGACCTTCATTGCATCGCTCAACATGGAATGCACCGTTTCCTTGTTCTACAATTCTCTCTTGCACACAAGGCGGTAAGGCCTGGTCCTTCTGACACACAATGTATGTGCTCGGAATCTCAAGATAAGCTGTATAAGTGACTGGAACAGCCAATGGAGCAGCCGGAAAAGATCCTAAAAGAGAGATTGCTTCTTTCACATCTTCAGGGTCACAGTCGTTGTACAGAGCAAGGCTGCAGATATCTCCATCGAGTACCATCGATCCATCCTAAGAAAAGCGATCAGTAATTTTCCAATGAATTTGACTCTTGGAATAGATCCGGTATACAGCAAAGTGATGAAAAGTCATACCGGTTGAATTTGAATCCCTCCATGTTTTTCCTGCAGCTCATTCCGCTGTTTTTCCAACGCCTCTTCTTCGGGGGTCGCTGGTACCATCTGAGTTGCGTAGCTTTGTCCTTTTGGCAAAGCCATCGCACACATATAGATCAGTTGACGAACTGAAGATACCAGGCCTTTCTTTTCCCGATCATTCTTCCCAAGCCCTTTCACGGCTTCAGACATGGCAATTCCGCCAAATGAATGGGCGAGCGTAATGACGTCCTTACCAGCGTCTAGATACTTTGAGATAACACGACGGACTTCTTCGGCATCATTCTCCCAGGTCGAATGGGGCGGACTCGAGTCGATAGAGGGAAGATCCACACCTTCTGCTTCATATCTCAGTTTTTTGAGACCGTCGATGACATAGTGGTAGTGTTGAGGCCTGTGCCACGAGCCAGGCACAATGACGATAGCTGGTTTGGTCATTTTGAGGCCGGTAAAACACTAGTCGATGTGAAACTGCAGAGTGAAAGTTGAGTTGATGAAATTGATTCCAGGGGATGCAGGAACTTAAATATTTCGAACTTGCTCCTCGTCAGGGTGTCTGCCCAGGTGCTCCGCTACTGTTTTGCGCCTTGAGGTGGATAGGCCCATTAAAATCTTACAGTTCAATCGCTCTCATTGGGTGGAGTCTGGAACGGAGCCGATATACATCGGCTCCGCTGTGCTGACTCCACCCCGCAGTGTAAGAATGAACAAGTCTTGCTGATTTCACAAAGAGAGAGATTTGTTGAGTTATTATAGTGTAATGCTGATTATTTCTATCTGATGGAGTTATGCAGGGGTGAAAGAAAGGCCGAAAGGCATCTATCTCGTAAAAATGCATTTTGAACATTCCGATGCCTAGTATTTACATCCATGCCCAGGTGGATGCTGTTGTCCCAAAGAGCTAATAGAACTATATTCTTTCTTTTAAAAGGGTGGCGGGTTAAGATCCAGTCCTTCCACGGTCAGCTTGAACGCATCGTTTCTGGAATAGCTACCGGCAACATCCATGTCGAGTCTGCCACGCTCGCAGTCCTCAATGTCAATTTCATGGATCAGAAGGCCATCCTTGCTGGAAATATCGCTCGAGTCCGCGGATTCAAGCTTGTCATCAACACAGGTCTCCCAAGTTGGGTCGGCAATGACTTCACCGAGCGGTCCGACGATGCAAGATCCGCCGCGACAAATATACCGGTCTCCTGTGTTGGGTAGTTTGTTAGAATATTTTGGTACTCCATCAAGGTTGCAGGCATTGCTGAGGCTCGGAGATAACATCTTACCATCGGCTTTATCTTCAGCCTTCGCATGATCGGTGATCCAAGAAGGAAGCTCATTGTATCGGACACACTGGTTGGCAGAAAGGACAAAGGTGCGGCCCTCGCCTCCAATGGTTCGCATGAGCGGCAACCAAGTGTCACGACTGTCAGCCGTGGGCGCAAGATAGATATTCACATTCTGTGAATAGAGGCTCTGACGAAGCAGAGGCATGAAGTTCTCCCAGCAGATGGCGAGGCCGAGAGTCAGCTTGACACCGTTGAGCTCAGTAGTAACGGCCTTGAGGCTGGAGGCTGAGCCTTGACCCCAAACAAGACGTTCAGAACCGGTCTGACAGAAATTAGGCTTGATCTTTGTAGTAGAATTGATATATGGGGTAACATCAATACTTACAGGCATAACCTTTCGCCTTTTTCCAATGACTCCAGAGGCCGGATCGACGAATACGGCAGAGCAGTACAAAGTACCGCCGGACTTTTCGATCAATCCAGTGGCAATGAAGACACCAGTCTCTCTAGAGACCTGCTCCAGAAACTCCCGTGTTCCATCTCCACGGCGGTCAGATCCCTTGGCCACAGGAAGCTTGCGCTCGACCCAGTCATCGCCTGCTCCTGCGGGGGTGTCGCCGAGGTCCACAGCAGCCTTGAAATATTGGAGGAACTGCTCCCGACCGTGAGGAGCCCGGGCACCAAATGCGGTGCCAAAATCGCAGGTTCGAGGATATCCTCCCAAATAAGCCTCAGGGAAAAGCAAGAGCTTCACTCCTCGAGATGCGGCATGCTCGGTGATGCTCTTCAAAGCGGCAAGTGTGGCTCCGAGAGATGAAAGTGTGCGGGTTTGCGCCACCGCGACTGTCAACTTTTGAGGCATTTTGGCAATTTGAAATTTATAATTCAAAGAAGAAGATGTGTCACAGGAGAAATCTTTAAAAGAGCTGGTCTTGAAATTCGGCAGCTCAAGTGGTCCGCACGAGTCATCATCGGTGCGGGGACTCCGATGTGGAGTCTTCGGAGCCAAATGTCCGAAAGCGTCGATTCTATCAAAGTTCAAGGTTCATTGGAATACAATGATTACAAAAAGAGTATTTGATTCAGAATCCGATCCGATGCTGCTAGAGTTCAGCTGAGCCAAACAAGGAAGGGAATATTAACGAGTCATCGAAAGCCTCATATTCGCCTTCCAAACCCCCCCATGTTTGTTATCGGATCATGAAACACAGTCCCCGGGAACAAAGAGCAATGTTCAGAACAAAAGTGCTCGTTACTTTCACCAATAGTAATTTCCGGATCAGCGGTCTGGTCAGGATTTCCAACTGGACTAGAGGGGAAATCTTGGTTGATCATCTCATCTAGCATCCGCAAAACTCCACGATTTTTGACAACGACTCTCAACCAATCCACTTGGGATTTGATACGAGTGACTGCATCCGCAGATAGACACTGTGGGATCGAATCAACCCTGTGTATAGGAATTTCCTTGGCAAGGATGTCGAATATATCGCGAAGGGGCTCAGCTTGAACCCAGCGCTCAGACAGTATTGCAAGGCTCGTCGAGCATGCACGTAATGCTTCAGATACCTCTGGAGCGCTGTATGCAGTTGATCGATGGGAGAGCGGAGTTGCCCAAAAGCAATATAGAAAAGTGACGCCAACGTTAAACTGACTCAGAAGCTGCAACAAATATTAGCCAACCGTGCCTCAGAATCCGATGGAAATAACTTACCCCAGGCCACAATTGGGCAGTCTGTCGATCCTTCTGGAAATCTCTGAAAGTCAACATTATTTGGACACTAGCTTTCACAGACCGGTCTCCAAAAGTGCCAGACGCATTTTCTTTTGTGGGCTGGTGCAACAAGAGGATTGTGTAATTGTATGCCATCCCAACCCACCGATCACTCAAATAACCTCTGGAAGATCTGTGGCTAAGCAATTGTATTTGTGTTCTCCAAGACTCTAGCTCTTGCAGCATATGTTGTCTCCATGTCGGGGAGGCATCGATCTTATTGAAGTCAGACCGCATCATTGTGCTAATAATGCGTGATTGAATACATCTGCATCGTATAAGATGTAAAGCTGGTGATATGTGCGTTCTTTGAGGCAAATCCGATGCTTGAGCTCGGTCAATTATCGTCGTATCTGAATATAGATTGGTATCTTCGACATTCGAGAACATCTGGTTTTGTTAGTAATCATCTGGAGCTGATGCAACTGTTTGTACTCTACCTCGACAGTGATATGCTCATCAATAAGATTGTTCGGAATGTGATAGATCCAGCTAATTAACCGATCTAACGCGTATGCTGACCAGAAAACCCTGCGACGGATTTGTATTTCAAGCGAGAAAGCTGGAAATGGCACATTAGGCTCCGTCTCGGCTAGATGAAGCTGGTTGATAGCACAGTGGCGCATTGTTGCTGATACCATCGACACGATCATCTGTGACGAGGGAGAATGTAGAGCATGCAAAGTCAAGACTAGATAAGCCTGTACATGCAAAACTGGACTAGAATGGGCGAAAACAAATGGTAGGAAATTAATCGCCGTGTTGTACAGTGACTGTCATGCCTTTAGTGACTGCTCTCGAAATAAATGGAATGAACCTACTTGAGAAATAGCAATGTCGCTCTGGGATACTTGCGGAGTCAGAAGTATACTGACAGCTTGCACCTAATTTTTGGTTAATCCCCATTGGAGCATAGCATAGGAATACGGACCCATACCATCACCACGAAAAAGTCTTTCCATCGGTCTTTTTGATTTGCCGTAGGCTCAGTTTTTCTAGATGCTTTCCATGACCGATACCACCCCAAAAACGCATCGCCATGAAGAAAGGGATATCGTGGATTGACCCTTTGAAGATAAACCTCGATGAGCGCATCGCTAACAGAATCTGAAAGATAGGTTGAATGTCTCGGAGTATTCAATTGAGATGCCTCAGATGAAGGAATTCGTATATCACGAAGAGTACCAGTTTGAGATGATTTTATCCCACAAGGGTTTCCGCTTGAAAGGGCAGCTAGTATGCTAACCAATAGGCCCGAATGACCGCATTGGTCGCCAGCTACCAGTTGTCGATCTGATGCTTCAGCATGCAGAAGGGAGGAAGAGGGAACCTTATGGGTTGGACATGTCGGGATAATGAAACTGCGAGCATTGTCTGTTCCAGGTTCTGGCCTATCCAATCCTTCAGCTGATTGTTGGGCAGGCGTGCATATCCTGGATGTGCGGTGGGTTGAGGCTGAATTATTTGGCAGTTCGAGGCCTTCGCCGTCACTCCATGAGTCCCTTGCAGGGCTCCGTCGTCCAACTAGAGAGTCATCTTGTGTTGTATCCAGCGATTGGGCTTCGAGCTGTGCGACTCTTTCCTGGAGAGATCGAGTATACCTAGTATAAACGCATTAATGCGTAGTCCGATGGGATGACGTATTCACTCACTCGAGACTAAACCGATGCCTGCGATCAACGGGATCGCTGGAAATACACTCTATTGAACTTAGAAACAGGATCTCACAGTGAGCCAAACCCAAAAGTACGCCCACATACCTTTGTTCGCTTGGGTGCAATTCTCGCACGGCCGCGTCTCGCTGCACTGAGTGGAATGTTAGCCTCGCCCATTGCCAGCGATTATCAAGGCTACTTTTTGTTTTCGTGATCGACACCTTCGACAAGACAATATTTTCTGTCTCTTTGCTGGCGGCTCCATACTCTCGTAGCCTGACATCGAGCCTCACGGCATTTGCATCGGACTATCGGCTCCGACGATCGGGGTGAAAAGGGCCGTCGGCTCAGAATTCACCGATGACAAATCCATTCCCGATTGGGATGCATCACGTGGATATCTCATGGTACTTTTGTATGTTGAGGGAATGTATTGAATCTAGATACTATAGCAAACCATATATTGAGTTACTTTGTGATGGATATTGGAGGATTGGGGTCATATTTTTCGAGGCAAGGATTAACATGTTTTGGGGATGTAATTGGACCCAATGATGCATGCCACCGCAAAGGTACTAACAAGCTGATATTACCGGGGCCAAAGCAAGGCTGTGATTGGTGGAGTTTCCAGCCCTGGGAAGTATAACCGAGTCAACGAGCACTATCGGACAAGGCTGGGCTGGGCGGACGACATTGGAGACGGCGAAAGTCCTGGACAAGTGCAATGTACGCTGCAGATCTACAGCCACGGCCCAAAGTGCAGGCTGTGGATTTCGTCAGTACGACCCTCTGCGGAGTATGGATATAGATTCTTTCAATCTGAAACCTTCCTCGTACGAAATTGTTTCGAGCTCAGACCCTCTCGGAGACACATTAACTCAAGCAGCAAGGTTCCAGGAACCAGGAATGCGGTGTTGTTACACAAATTCGATCTTAACCCGACGGGACTGTGAGATTGCGCGTGGGCGCACGGAGTCTGCGGCGGTGTGCTAAGAATTGCTTTTTATGCGAATCCACCTCTGAATCGGGCTGTGTCATGACAGCGGCAGGGAGATCTATCCTGCGGTGGGGGCTGATATGCATGTTATGTACTCCATACCTCTCTACGCCTTGCATATTATAGGTAAGAGGGTTGCTTTTTCAAATCATGATGCTTTCTTGATCCCGAGATAAATTGACGATCGGTGAGCGCTTATTATGAGCAGATGTGCAGGTGCAGGTGGTATCAAAATCAAAAAGTATATCACAAATCCTCCCAGTCTTGTCCTCCGCGTGGTTGTGTAACAATAATAATAATAATAATAATAGAAAAAAGTCATTAAATCGTAAATCGCATGCGACCACCAAATGTCAAAGCCATAACCCTCATTTCTGAACGAAGAAAAACTCCAAACAATAGACTCTTTCAATAAGATAGCCCGAAAATTCCCGAGCAAGAAGTGTGTGAAAACACCGTATTTGATTGCTCTTACTGGCCTATGTCCGCCTAGACAGCAACAGGTCCCTCGGGGACCATGCCAACTTGTGGCATATCAGCACTGGAAGGTAGCGGGCGAGGCGTGGAGCCACCACCCCCTGGTAAACGTGATATGAGGGATGCAATCATATCACGATAGACGTTCATCTGAGACAACTTATAACGCTGGATCTTTCCACTAGGCGTGCGTGGGATATCTTCGACAAAAATGATACCACCGTCCAGCGCCTTGTAGCTTGCTAGACGCTGCCTAGTAAAGTTGTAGATCTCTTCAGCTGACAGTCGACCAACAGATGGGTCTCGCGATCGCACAATAAAAGCACGAGGCACTTCACTGCTGCGATCTTTTAAGTTTATGCCTGTCACTGCGGCATCGCTGATCCCAGGGTGTTGCAGAAGAACCGCTTCGATCTCAGCTGGAGCGACTTGCCATCTGTTGTCAAACATTAGTATTCGTTGCTCACTGTAAGATATGTGCCATGATGGATCTTTTTACTTACCCTCGAACCTTGATGAGCTCCTTGCTTCGGCCAACGATGGTATAAAAGCCATTCCTTTTATAGGCAATATCTCCAGTGTGGAACCAGCCCTGGGGATCTTTCGCATCATTCCGGCCTTTGTAGGCCAGAAGTAGCCCGGGACCCCGGAGTTGTAGCTCGCCTTTCTGTTCATCATCTTGCACAAGAGAGCCATCGTCATCAACCAACCGCACCTCGTATCCCGAGAGCCGAGTACCAATACTACCAGGATCACCATACTGACCGTAGCGAGTTTGGAAGGTTACTCCAACCTCTGTCATGCCCCAAAGTTGGCAAGCAAAGGCCATGGGGTGGAGGTGGTTACGGAACTCAATCATCGAGGCAGCGTCAATGGGGGGCTCCCGCGACGCCAACATAACGTAGAGATTGTAGATACTCCGCAACAGGATGAGAGGATCGATTCAGAGAGTGAATGATGGCCGGGACTAGATAGGTCTCCGAGATCTGGTATTTATGAATGGTCTTGAGAAACTGCCCTTTCTCAAAGCGTGGCAAGACGAAAAGTGGGTGGCCATATCGGACGGGAAAAAGATGAGTCCATAGAGCACCAAACAAGTGGAACATAGGCAGTGACATGAGTCGACTTGTCAGATACGGCACCTCATATTGTATAGAGCGATGGTGAGACACGATCGCATGGTGTGACAAAATAGCCGCTTTGGGTAGACCACCAGTGCCACTGGTCGAGAACATGGCGGCTGGGGTATTCTGCGCAACCACTGGGTCATTGAACATTAACCAACCACTTTCACCAAAGTCCAGGAGATGGGCAAAGTTCGAGTGCGGCGCATTTCCAACAGGTATCGAGTCGCGTCGTGTCTGATATCCCAGCTCGAATTGCAAAAACAGCCGCGCGCAGTGATCGACAGCTCGATCATCTACCAGACAAACGCGGCTAGGGTGTATTTCTCGCTCAGCAGCGACATTCATGACCATTGGTAGGGCCTCGGCCGTAGTGAAGATAAGCTTGGGCTCAGCCAGACTTATGATATGGTCCAATTCTTGCGGTTGGCTGCGGGGATTTGATCCCATGTATACACCACCAGCACCGATGATACCAAAAAATAGGGCAGGGTAGAGGATCTAATGAAAACAGGACTGCGTCAGCATATGGTCGGAGAATTCATGATTCGGGCTAGTTCTGGGCGCGATATCTCCCAGTCTGTGGAGCCACTCACGCTGTTCCCCAAGTGCAGGAGCACGCAGTCACCCGGCTGTATGCCATATGCCTTAAAGCCAGCAATCAACGTCCGAACTAGCTGGCGAAATTGGGTGCCCGTAAATGAGCGTGAGGGATCTTCGGCATCAATGAAGAGTGGTTGATTTTGATTATATGGCGTTGGCCCACAAAAAGTGAAGGTCAACAAATCTGTGTAGGTCGTTTGTTGGAGAAAAGGATCTGCGACCATAGGTACTGGGGTCTGGACACCCCAAGAGCCCATCATGATGAGATGAAGAGACTTTATAAAAATAACCCTTGGGTGCCAGTGGGAGATGAAAGACCAGGGTGGAAGTAGATAATATGGAAGTGGGACGGAAGATGGTGGGAGGTAAATACGAAGGGTGGACAGGGTAAGGTAGGTAATATATTCACTCTACGCACTGGCATGTTCTAACTACTAATAGTACTTAAGGTAGGTACTCAATACAAAATGATTTGATTTCCTGAAGCAAGCGCGATTCCTGGCAGGCGCGACTGATTTGGAATATTTGGAATTACTTCGATTAGTCATGACAGGGGATCCACCCAGCTTCCCGGTTCCACGGTTCATTGGCCCCTTCGTTCCTTGGTTCAGCGCATCTCTGCAAACTTCTGGAATTTCCGAAAAGTACACAGTATGACCTCAACTAAAAAATCACATTATGACATAGGGTACTGTACGTATTGATTGGGTCTCTATCTGAGCTCATCCTCTCTCCGGAGTTGTCCGAGAGAAGGTTACTAGTACCCTGTTTGGCGACCGAGTATCTCCAGACCCATTCACCCACATCCACCTCCAGTCCCAGCTATTCGGCTGGTACTACGGAGTACGCAGGAAAGAAGATGTGATCGAACCCATAGCCACCGTAGCGGTTCGTGGCTCCACCTGTTCGACGCTAACAACTAGTGGCGCAACTCATGCGGGAGCCACTAGCTTTACATATTGACGGCCACCCCTTTCATGTTACTCGCTCCAGCTGAGCCACACTCCCGGGTTCATTCGTACCAAGCTAATTGCGGCGTGTGTGCGTGCGGAGTACGGAGCGCAGAGTACGGAGCACGGAGTAACTGGAATTAATTGGTGCTTTGTCCGGCAATCGGGATCTGCCATGATCGCCTTACCTGCTCTCCGTCACCCCACAACCCATAAAATCCTTTTTTTATTTATGATTTATTTTCATTATTTGATTCTCATTTTGAGTTTACCTTAGGAACCCTTCCTGTCAAGATCTGACCCCCCAATGGCGATTGTCGATCACCCTCCCTCTAGTCGATGCTTCTCCACGAGCTGAAATCCGGTTCAGATCTAAGAAACAGGGATCAGAGCGTGGGCCCGGAGCGGCCCTCTCCCACCGCCGCAGTGATATGGCCACGGGCCAGCTGGGCCGTGTCCTGCCAATCGAGACCCTGGCTCTGTCTTGCATCAATCCTCCAGTGGTTCTAATCCGTCTCCACCCGGTGTCATGTCAGCCTGATGTCCCGCCGTCGATGCGCGATTGTAGAGCTAGAGTTCTTTCCCCTCTCCTGCCATGACTCCGCAGGACCGATTCGCAAAGCGAGCCCCGCCCTCCGGACGTGGCAGATTGATTGCAGGCTGAGCTGATCCCGCCATCTCGAGTGGGGAAAGGAAACACGCTGGAACGAACACTATCGAAAACCATTTCCTCTCCTCCCATGTGACGGTCAATCTCTAAGCTCTCATCGGTGGAAAGGATAAGATTCCCGCGAGGAAAAGAGAGATCGCTGGCTCGAAGGAACCCTCGCTCCGCTCGCAACTAGTGATATCTGTGCGCCACCAAGACAAGACGCAGCTCGCACAACCCTCCCATCCAGGACCGCGGGTTGCAGGAGGATCATGATCCACTCCGGCTATCGGGAAAGATGCACTGTTCCTCCCAATGCATGGAGGTTACTGCGAGGGCCGGTACCCCCACTGCGTGATATGATCGACTGCACAGGTCTCAAGGAAAAAGAAAAAACAGTCACTTGGCAGCCATGCAATGCACGGGAAAAATAGACTCCACGTTCCAGGAACTCGCTCCATTGTCTCATTTTGCAAGCGGGAATAATGTTCCCTCTTTGAGACTCCTGTAGCGTCTGAAGGATGCGTGGCTAACGCTAGATATCCCTGGTTCTCCGATTCTCCGGCGATGGGGTGTTCTTCCCTCCGGAGGATATGATTGGAAGCTTGCCATGCACTCATATTGACCGAGGCCTCGCTTGCATGCAACGGTTGCCCGATAGGACTCGCACTCCAATGGCAACGTGCAGAGTGAGTGCGAGCAAGTCCATCCTGGGGCGAGGCCCGGATTGATGATCGTAAAGAAACGCCGTCTTTGATTGGGTTACATTCCACAGTGGGGACATTGAAGCCTGCGTTGGCATCCATCGTTCCCTTTCCGGTCTACCCCGTTCCCCGACAAGTGATTGTCACAGGCCCACACGGAGTGGATAAGACCCCATTATGACTTAATTCATAATCGCTCGACGTGCTCCATCGGAGCTGAATGCAAGCAAGGGTGGAGGTGGTCGGTGATGAATCGTCATTGGCGATGAAAAAGTACTAGACTCTCAATAGGATGGAGCCCAGATGATGATAGTGTCATACACTGGATAGCGAAACCTTGAGGAAAAAATTGGCGAGAACCAAAAAAAAAGACGGGAGGGAGGCTTGCGGCGTGCCCGATGCAGGTGAGAAAAAAAGGAAGTCGCTAAGATGTGAGCGTCCCTAGGTCTTTCCTGCTTGGGACTAAGACGAAGACTAACTTGAAGATGAAGGTGATGGATGTTGCAAAATCAGGTAATGGTGAATGTGAGGGGAAATATCGGGCTAGTATCAGCTTCCAATCCAATATCAATAATTGGGAATCTTGCAAAAGCTAGAGAGATGGAGGTGGGGTTGGAGCAGAGGGAAAGTACCTTGCCCTACCTAGGTAAGGTAGGGTAGTCATTGAGGCTGCATTTTGCATTTTCACTTGCGCATTTCGCATCTGATTTGGGACGTGGATCGTGGGTCGTGCCTTCCTCAATCTCCAGCCGCGGCAGTCAAATTCAAGTCAATCCCAGTTTGGAAAGACTCTTTCTCATCAATGTTCCCCTCCATCTCGGGTTTATATCGGTCGAGTTACCAACTTCACCTCCTCCCTCTCCTTATTTAGTCACCTTTTGAACCGACTCGGAGTCTGCCAGGCTTTCCCAGTCATGTCGGTCTCGGAGAAAACTCCCCATTCCTTACCTTCGCCAATGGCGAAGGTTCTCATCAGGGATTCGCCGAGCCATAGTGAAGAAACTCTCACTGATGGCAGCTTTGACGAGAAAAAGTATCACGGTCGAGACATCCGCGACTCGATGGGCTCAAGTTCTGATATCCCAACCCCAGGACAGACCATCGATGTTGAATCAAGAGATCTCGAGGCCCAGGCCATTCAAGGCCGGCCTAAACGATTCGCCAATATACGGTATGCAGTTATGAGTATATATCGTCGACTCTTCACACTGGTTTTTCTCGCCAATATTGGAGTCTTTGTCTGGATCATGGTCTCGGACCGCAAGCTTGTTGCCCTGGTCAATGCAACGGCTGCCAACCTTCTCGCATGTGGGCTTGCACGTCAGCCACTAGTTGTCAATGCTATTTTTTGGGTGGTGTGTTGCATTCCTCGGTCGTCACCGTTTGTCTTGCGCCGTTGGGCGGCCAAAGCATACCACTACGGTGGCGTGCATAGCGGCTGCGGGATTGCAGCCTTGGTCTGGTATCTGGGCTTCATTGGCCTGATCTCGCAGCAGTACTGGGGGCCATCTGCACCCGTAGCTGATGCATCAGCTGTCAACTTTTCAGCCGCTCCTATCACGCTGGCTTATATCATCCTCGTGCTGTTGGTGGCGATTCCCGTTGTGGCACACCCCACGTTGCGGGCGAAGCGACATGATTATTTCGAACTCACCCACCGTTTCTCGGGGTGGCTGGTCATTGCGCTGTTTGTTGCGCTCCTGATGGTCTTTGCGCATGAGATCACGCAAGCCGAGGGTCTTGCATTGGGTGATTTTCTTCTCAGATTGCCCGCCTTTTGGTTCTTGATGATCACGGTGATCGCCATAGTTCATCCATGGTTGTTGCTGCGCAAGGTGCCGGTACGGGCCGAGGTCCTTTCCACGCACGCCGTGAGGCTACACTTCAACTATCGACCCACCTCGTTCGGCAAAGGTATCTCGCTTTCAAGGCACCCTTTGCGCGACTGGCATGGATTTGCAACGTTTCCCGACCCTACTCCAACGGAAAAGGACCAAGCTACGGGCTTCTCTTGTCTGGTTTCGAAGGCAGGGGACTGGACCACTGACTGCATCCAGAACCCACCAACCCACCTGTGGAAGCGCGGGGTGCGCATCACTGGCTTTGCATATGCCATGCGTGTCTTCCGGCGAATCATCGTCGTGACGACGGGATCTGGCATCGGTCCCTGTTTATCTTTCCTTGGAGATGATAATCGACCAGCTCTGCGTGTGGTTTGGCAGACTCGAGCGCCACTCAGGACATACGGTGAGGAGGTATTGGATCTTGTACGCCGAATGGATCCCAGTCCGATCATCATGGACACGAACGAATGTGGACGCATCGACATGGTCCCCATCGTACAGCGTCAAGTCCAAGAGTTCGACGCCGAAGCGGTGTGCGTGATCAGTAACCCCATGCTGACACGCCGAATTGTCTATGAGCTTGAGGCGCGCGGGGTCCCAGCGTTTGGGCCGATTTTCGATTCATGAAACTTCTTTTGATTTGTTCTCTGGTCAGTTATGATCTGTGTGATTTTCGGTGATTTTGTTTCAGCCAGACATCCTTTGGAATCCAGGGTGTTGGGTGTCGGCGTCTTGAGTTTGGGTAATTTTCGGATTTGGTTTGATTTACTCCGTACCTTGATACCACATGATCTTCGGCGCTAGTTCTTTTTGCTCTCAATAACATTATAAATTCATCTGAGATCCATATTGAAACGTTGGCTTTGTCTTCTCGTGGAGTGGGATGAGTTTTTGTCATAGAAAGTTCAGGGGTCCCAAAGGGCGGGTTGCCTCTCCATAAGAAGTCTCCTCGCTGTGATTTGGAATCACGGACCTTAGGGCAGAGAGGGGCACAATCCACTTATTGGTGCACTGTACATTAGGCAACCCATACGAACAAAGAAGAGAATTTTGTGGCAAGCCCGTGTGATACGTGATATTCGTACTTGAACAATTCCAAATCCGCCGGCTCCACCTAAATGTGGGGGCCCCGCCTAATTGGCCCCTCAAATTCGCCGGAAATCAAGGGTCGGGCTATTTCATGAACGTTGGTGTCAAAATCTACTTATTTCCCAAGGACGGTGAGTTTTGTTTCACCAGTCTCGAGGTTTTCTAGATCATACGGGTCCTTCGTTTCGGCCTTGGGTAGATGGCGTGGCTCATAGATGCGGCGGTAGGACCCCGCTACTGCACCAATTAGAAGCTACTCATGTACGAAAATCAAATCACACTGCCCTATTACAGGCCCCTTTTGCTTAGTGCTGATGTTTCCCACGTTTCTTTTGGGGATCAAGTGCGAACTGTGACGCTGTGCCATCATGATCGAGTTGGCTTGTATCTCAAAGTTGACCAGATTATGCATAGCATTCCTAGGCTTTGGTATGCCGAAATTGCGCTCGGAATGATCGGATACATAGTATGTTGAAAACTTCAGAACTTATTTTACGTTCAAAAGGTTCCTTCAGAAAACTTGAAACACAAATCGTATAATGTCAGCCGCCTTGGTGAAGTTTAGATCTGTGATTCTACGGTTCGATTGAATGTTCACCTCCAAGGCTACACATTGAGACAAATTTATTCCCATTACAGATACTATTATTATTAGTAGTAGTACATATTGAAGTTGTACTGGAAACTTTGGAACTTGAATCCTATCTTGAAAAGATGTCGGATGACCAAACACATCTAGGTATCTGGTACCTACTAGGAATTACTAGTACCTAACAAGGGCCATTCGTGAATCATTGAAGTCTGGGGTAGGCCTCGGGGGTCTTCAATCCAAAAACCCCAGCCCTGAAGTACATAGAGAAAAACTCCGTAAAATATTAGCAGTACCCCCACATGATATTTTCCAGGCCCTGGAGGTTTATGAGAACCTCTAAACATATATTCAATTCTCTGAAGGCCAAGGCCACCTATCTACTTCATCTCAAGGTTCCAAGGTTTCAAGTTGTCTTTAACTAGTACTAGTCCGAGTCCTATAGCCACTTGGTCGCATCCGCAATCGGGGGCTTAGGCATTATATCCCAGTTGACCTCAACACCCTGGATCGAAACAGGGCGTTGAATTGTAGTCATTTTTCCAAAATACTCTTTTCCTTGTCTCCAAATACTCTTCTGGGACGTCTTTGATTCTTGTGAAGTCTGGAGTCTGGAAACCCATATTTCCTTCAAACGACCAAGAGACCGCAGATACTCCATAACACCTGCTAGAGAGACATCAACTTTCCGAGACCCACCTTAAGTCGCTTGTTTACGCGAGCCTGCTGTGAGACCAGCAGCAAAAACGCAGTCTCCGACACTATCTAATACTTGAAAAGGAGTTGTACGCGTCGCTTCCCGAGCACCGAAGGCTCGGCCTCAGAGAATTCAACTTTCAAAATAAAGCTATCTAGTATCATATTGCGTGTACACGGCTGTAACAATTGAGGTCAGACTCGTACGCCATGAAGATGAAGCGCTTACTGAAACTGCTACGAACTGATTATTGATCACACTTTGAATGCTGAAAACAAGTCGAACAACATCGCGTATTAAGGGGAGCACCAAAGTCATTCGGTCTCAAATCAGAGTTCATCTACCTTCAGGTGAACAAATCCAGCTCGGAGGGTCATCGGAAGCTTCCAACTCCAGTTTTATGAATAGGAAAATTGACTGGGATGCCTCTTTAATCTATGACAGATATGTTCTCCCTGGGTGCACCGCCAGTGCAGGCCGCAGCTTATACTTTTCACTGGCTGAACTCATTGTCAAGAAATATTTCAGTTGCTGCTATCAGAAGGTCTGGGGGTCGCAATGGGTACCCATTTACCGCTCAATCTGGGGTGGGCTCATTGGATTATGGATGATTTTAGCAGTGGATTTGTCCCCGATATGGTTAACTGGACTCCCTTTGGACAGCAGTTCTAATGGTTTATCTTGTCTTTAGAAATACTCCCAGTGGCTTTAAATAATCGAGGTAACCCCCTCGAAACTCATAATATGTATCAGGTAGCCAATTTAATAAAGTATTATCTCGATATCTCTCGCCTGTTTCAATTCTTACATCTTACCCACTATCACCGAACTAAAGTATGAGTATAGATCTCAGTAGAAGGCCATTAAGTAATAGTACGCATAAGGATATAACTATGCACCACACGAGTATCTAGCTTGTATAATCTTGCTATGGCTCTGACGAAGTCTGGTAAATTTGAGGGACATTCTTGTCACTTAATCAAGAGACTCAACCACAGGCAAGGATTGAATGTTGCTTCTGGGACTACTTACTATAAGGATTCATCACTACTTGCGGTTAGAATCAAAGCTTCTCTTGCTGTTTAGAAAGTGCCTGTTTACTACTAGTCCCGGTGTTTGCGAAAGGAGTGTACTAGTACTAGATAAGCTATAGATACACATAATAATATCATCCTGCATTGATGAATTGCTGTGGCTTCGGGGGCATCTCCCAACTTCGACGATCTTTTGTTGTTATCCAATAGCTGGTTCCAAATCATTGAGATTCCCAATATACCTATTTCACGAATGACGAGTTAGCTTGGCTGTTTGAGTAGACTAGTGGCATTCTCGTAACTTACTCCTAGTTCTCAGTTGGGGTCAAGACGAATTGCTCATCAGGGCTCTGGTCCCATGCAGCGATTTGTATATTATCACCATCTGCGCGCAAGAAGTATCCGCTCTGCTTTGAAATGAGCTCATAGGTGTTGTCATTGGCTAGCTCAGCTGTGTAAATTTGTGGCTCGCCTCCCAAGATGCAGAGAGAGCGCTCTTGATCTGGACAGTTGAGGTAGCCACCAACAGTACTGTTGATCAAAAATTCACGGTTGTTATCGAAATCAGGGCGAGTGAAGTACCAAGTTTGGCTTCCATCCCCCTTGTTAGGCGAAAAGCTCAATGACTGTCCATCCTCTTCGTTGACACTCAGGATCTTGTTGCTTTGAAGACTCGCGGATCCGATCGTATAGGCCCCTTCGTCAAGTCCGAAAGCGGAGTGACATAAAGCTGCCAGAGCCCCAAGAGCAATGAAGGCCTTCATGTTGAGAAAATATTAATTCGAGTGAGGATGGAATATGGGATATCTTTGGAGTGGTTCGAAATGACGCGTGGTATAAATAAGACATTTAATCTTCGGGGGTTTCCTTCCCATTTATAACTTTGCTATGTATGTCATGTATAGGTTGACTATTTTGGCTGAGGGGCTCGTGACGATCAATGGATCATACATAGACTATTGATCTGCATTCTTTAGTGGCTGCATTCTGGCAATCTAACTTGAGCGTGGGTGTTACACAGACCCACCGCTTCCTGCAGGGGGTGTATCGACAAATTACTAGTATTTCACAACAGCCGAGAGCACGCCAATGACATTCAGCAGTCAGTGGTGCCAGTGGCTGACCGCTTCGATGCTGGAGCTGCTGTCGATCCATGGATGGGGAAAAAGTGGGAGTATTTAAGTCCTAGGTCCAAGGCAAGGTATCTTGAACCAAAATCAAGTTGTAATCAACCTTCCAAGGGTTGTACCTGGTATCTGGGAATCGTTGGTGATCAAACAAAATATCACGGATCGGGATAAAATGTAGCATCGTCAAGCTCTTCAAGGCCCCTTTACCTGTCATGCATTTATATACTCCGTACTCCGTAGTACTAGTAATTTTTCCGACTGAAAGAGAGTGTGTGCGTGCTGCTCCAAATTTCCGATCTCGTGTTATGCAAGTCGCTCTCGAGATGACACAGGATCTACATCAGCTTAGCCACCCAATTCCAATACTATATGCAAAGAGAATCAGCTTGGCGGTCAGCTTAGAAATTGTACACTGTAAGGAGTACATGGTGAACAAAATATCAAAGCACACTTCATTGAATCTTGTTTAATACCAAGTGAATGACTCGGTATTCGCCAACAGATGAGTCAATTAGTGAGTAGTATGCACGTCTTTTAAGACATTTCAGTTCTTGCTTGAGCTTTTCAGAGTTAGAATCACACAATAGGTCGAGTTACGATTTTGAATTTCTGGAAATTAAATTACCATTGGTAGGTACCTCCAGGGCTTTTGCAGCTTAAGCTTACCTTGATGCCTCGTACCACAACGTGAGCGGCTGGGGATGTCGGTTCATTTCCTAAGTAATGTCAAAACATAGGAATAATCGGCCTTCAGATTGGTAGTAGTTATCCGGCAGCAATACTCGCCTCGCCGGCTGTTTTTGCGGCGCGGGCCCCTTGACCGGGGACACGCGCCAGAGCGTTTGACCTGATGTACAGAGGGCGCTCGGCCTGCTGGTGCACAGTCAGAGTGATTATCCCATTGTACAGCCTTACTCAGTCCACACTCCTAGATAACATCGTATTCTGGAATTGATAATCCCTACTCCATACTCCGTACATCCCCACAGAGTGATTCCATTGTATACAGAGCGAATAAAGAAAGAGTATACTAGTGTTCGAATTGCATGATTGAGGATCGATGTGAAAGTACCCCGCATCCCAGAGAGCCTTACCTAGGTATGTATTATGGGTCTTGAAATTCACTGGCCCTTGGACACCTTTTAGACCCATCACCCCTGTTTGCTTGGCCTACACCCCAATTGGCAGAGTTTGAATTCCAGCCCTTTCAACTCACATCTCCATGGAAGCTGGATGAAAGTGATCTGCAGAACCACTCGGAGAACAACCGGAGTCTCAACGCGAATCATCACCTTCACCAATTGCTAGTCATGGAGCAAACTCGTAGTGAACTGGATGCCTTATCTAGTGGCAGGCGAATCTATCTAGGTGCAATTATCTTTCTTGATCAGTCATGAACCCCGCTCTTTTTTGACGAAGCTAAGTCTGAAATCAAGGCAACCTGCCTTACAATGCGAAGCCTTACGATATCGCAACCCTCCTCGGGGAGAATGGATTCAATGAGTTGGAACACATCCATATCTCGGTTGACCCAGTCAGCGCCCGAAACCCGGGATACTGTTTCGTCGACTTTAATGACCGTGAAACTGCTGACCGAGCTCTTTCCGGCTTAAAGGCTTCTATCAATGGGAGGCCCGTCAAAGTTGGTCCATGTCAACCCAAGAAGCAGAACAAGCCCCGCTGGTTCAACGAAGATGATCCGGTCAACAAACGTTGGGGTGATTGGAGCTCTAAGAATGGCAATTACGTAAGTACGGATCAGACACAGAGAGGTCCTAACTGGGCACTGGACCACTTTGAAGATATGGTAGACAATCTCGGGGGACGGAGACTATATGTCGGCGGGTTGGACATGATGGTCAACCAGGCTTTACATAACACAGAGATGACCGAATTGTTTGCCGAATTCTGCCCGTATGTGTCAGAGCCTCACTCTCCTTGCAGCAATAAACTTTGACTGACCGACTTCCCAGAACTGCGATTGGAAAAAGAATCACGCCGCATGAGAGCCAAAGATCTCGAGCAGGCAATCATCATTACTGTTTCGTTGACTTCGCTACCAAGGAACAGGCAACAAGAGCAAAAAACGCACTAGATGGTCAGCCCTTCGGAGAAGACAATTTGAAGGTGTCATTTGCAAAGCGGATCCCGAAAAAGCTGGTGGGAAGGCATACGGTTAACAGAGAGAGCCATTCCGGGCATGACGAAAAAGCATTTTATCGTTCCAGCAATCCTTCTTCTGAAAACAGGGCCCAGGAATCCAACAATTGGCGTAACAAGAGCTAGAATATGAATACCCAACAACCATTCAAAAACGATTCTACTAGTACTACTTTATCATTCTGTCTCAGCGTAGTGCCGGTTTGCACGGGATAACAGTAAACGTGGTCATTTAAATGGTTATTCAGAAAGATGTAATAGTACATTTCGCCCGATTGAATAAAGTCTAAATTACTAGCTACTAGGCTAGATAGTACTAGTACTGGTAGTAATCTCTAGGTGTCTAGTATTGTTCAGGATTGCCACAACTTGAGCAGTAGTTGATGTTCAACGCTTTGCCTTTTGGCCCAGATGCCTGGGGGCTAATCGCCAATATCGATATCAACCCGCTTTCTCCCATGATTCTTCAAAGTAGAATTCAGTAATGAATCGGCACCAGGCTCTATAAATGTAGCATGTTTTGCGAACTTCGCCTCATAAAGTATGACATTCGTCAGACTAAGCCTCAGCCTCAGCTGGCTGACAACGCAGGGGCCATTTTCAAATGTGGTAATCTTTGCGGCGGTCAATCCACTATCTTGGCCTCGTGGCCGAATAATATCTCTAATAAGGACAGTCACAAATACTAAGCCCAGAAAAGGGATTCTAAGTCCTCCTAAGATCTTCATCAACAAAGTGGTTTCCTGCTTGGTCCCTGGGCATACTTTCCTAATAAGGTTAGCGTCCGCGGACCCCCGCGGGGCTGAGAAGAGTATAAATCAATCAACCATTCCACCGTTCAGATCTCGCTCATCCCAGCAAAAAAAAAAAGCATTTGCCTTCGAATCTACTATGGCTCTACAACGAAAAGTATTGCTCGCCCCTTCCACATCCCACATTCCATGATAACTTCCCATATCTAACAAACCACCAGGCAATCATCATCGGCGCCGGCCCGGCCGGTCTTGCAGCCGCATTACGCCTGCACCAACAAACAGACATAAAATGCACAGTATATGAGCTACGCTCTGAGCCCACAACACTAGGCGGTGCAGTTGGAATCCAGCCCAACGGCCTCCGTCTTTTTTCCCGTCTTGGTGTCTACGAAAAGGTCCTTGCCCGAGGCTTCGGTGGCTCCAATGTCACCCTTCACTCTTTACAAGGGCAAACCCTCGGCTCGCAAGACCATGTTGGGTGGGCGCGCGAAAAAAATCGGCTTTGGATACGTGCGTATCAAACGAACTGATCTCGTGGACGTCCTCCTCGAAGCGGCCAATGAGGCTGGAATCGAAATTCGGTTCGATAAGAGGGTTACCCAGATTGATGATCGTGCTGACGGCGTGACTGTTACTTTCAAAGATGGCTCGACTGATACATCAGATGTCCTCCTTGGTTGTGATGGGATTCACTCGTTTGTGAGACGGTCTTGGGTTGATCCTGCTCAGACTTCTGAATATTCGGGCCTTGCGGGTCTAGGATCCGTGATCGCGGGCTCTGATTTGAGTCCTGAAACGAGGGCACAGACATTAGGCCTTGAGGCTACGATGACTGAGGAAGGATTGATTGCTGTCACGAGGTGTACGCAGTCTTCGGGTGACTTGTACTGGTTCTTCACCAAGGAAGTCCCCATCCCTGCATCAGGAGATCGGGATGGATGGGAAGTACAGGGTAAAGACGAGGTGGAGGGATTCAAAGCGCCTCTTCTTAAGATCTTGGAGAAAGCCCAAGGTGAATGGGGGGATTCTTTGAGGGAAATCGTTAGCAAGACCTCTGTTGTCAAGTTTTACCCTATCCATCGCCTTCATCCTGGTGGCACTTGGTCCAAGGGCCGGTGTATCCTTGTCGGTGATGCTGCCCATGCGATGTCACCGCATGCTGGGCAGGGGGTGTCGATGGCTCTGGAAGATGTGTTTCTTCTGTCACGTTTACTGAAAGATAACTCTCGACCTTTAAACCAGGTGCGGGAGAAGTATGATGAGATTCGCCGTCCACGAGTCAATGCGATCTTCGATTTGGCGGCCGAGAATGGGAAATCACGAAAAAAGGCTGGACCTTGGGGCCTGTGGCTCAAGGAGTCGGTTGCTTCGGTTGCTTTGAATCTATCCTGGGCTTTGGGGGTAGAGCGACTTGGCTTTAGACAGAAGCATTTGATCTACGACATTGATGAGGTTGAGCTGTGAGTAGGGTTTGACACTTCAATTTTGGAAGAATGAGTGGAGCATTCACGTCTTGTTTGATTAATATCATATTCTCATAATTTATAGCGGTCGCGGTGGTTTAGGGAATGTATATACAAATGCCAATGTCCAGTCATTCTACAGATCTGGGTTTGGATCATGCTCTTGTAAACTGAAATTTAGCTTCTCTGTGCTGAGCTTAATAGACTTGTACAATCACACGGCTTATGTATGCATTCTTTCGGCCGTTCTTCTAGATATCTAGCTATCTTTGGCCCCGGGGAAGTCACCCAACTCATTGATTCCTATTTTGAAAAACACTTCATGCAAAAAGGTGAACTTCAATGTGATTATACTAATGTCAAGATACCTATCACCCATAAGTAAGAGACCCTAACAAAAGGTCAGAAAACGAGTTCATATTCAACCCAGAGCTATCTAAGTGCCCGAACCCCAGACCCTATTTCAACACTTCAGTAAATTATTCCGACATTGCTGGAACTCGGTGCTCGCATCCACCTTCTGAATTGATTTGGAAACAATTCTGCAGACATCATATGATTCAATCTGGGGGGGGGAATCTGGGGAAAGGGGGATTGCGCAAGCCCAAAGGAACATCAATAAGATCATGTGTTATACGGTGGCCGCGGACACCGATGTCGTCCCTTCTTGTCCACTCATCAAGTATCCCCCTCAACGCTCTAGCAGAATGAAGTAAGACTATGACAAAGACAAAAAGGCAGGCCGCTAGTCAAACTCCGTTCAGGGATGGGCTAGCCCGGGAAGACATGCCGTTTGAACCAGCGTCCACAGGCTCCGAGTTTGTCAAGTAATCCCGGGCAAAATAGGCGGGCACAGACCGTGTCTGTGATCAGACCACCGCCTAATTATCTAGCCGCAGAATATGGCGATCGCCAGGATTCTGTTTACGTAGCATCTGTAGTAGCTTGGTAGTGGGGCTGCCCCTGTTGGCTCGGGGTGTCTGAGGGGCACGTTTAAGGAGATGTGTGTGGGTTTCTTTTTTGGGCGTCGTGGCTAGGACTGTATTTAGGTATTTACGAAAACAGGTGTTCATGCGGGACATATTTGGTCACTGGATTGGATAGATTGAGTAGAGAAGCTCGTCATTATTAGAGTTAAAGATAAAATGAAAACCAATCCACTATGGATGGCAACGTGTCTAACAAAAGAAGAATGTGATGTTTGTGGAAGAAAGGAAACAATTATTATCACTTTGGGTATAATGCAAAAAGGTGGATCGAATAATCGCCCCTCCGAAAGAAGAGGATCATGCAAAGAGCCAGTTGTTTCTTTTTTGCCTAGAGAGGCCATTTTTGTCTTTTCCGTTGAAGGAAATCATCAACGCCGCTGGACCGAGTAACCGATGAAAATGAAAGAGGTTCATGAATCGTCCTCGAAAAGAGGATTATCGTAAATGGGTTGAGACAAGGAGAATAGTAGACTGTATTTGGGGAATCTTTTTTGTGTCGTTGAGATCGTGACGTCGTGACGTAGAAGTGAAGGGGGAAAAATAGAAAAGAGATAAGAAAAAGGCGGTGTTGTAATGGTTTAATGGCGAGTGGAATCGATCGACGGGGCGCGAGAGGCGACCCGAGAGACAGGCTCGGAGGGAGGTGGTGTTTGTTCAGTCAACAGGTCGTCAGCAGTGAAGCCCCTGCGGCCGTGAATAGAAGGAATGGATTGGTTGGAGGAGTGAGTTGAGTCACTATCCAAGCGCAGGGATTCCATGCGCTCCAAATCCTCGTAATCGGGCAGTGGGAGTGGGGAGCCAATATAGTCCTCCATAACGCTGCGAGCGTCGTCGGGCTTGGGGTAAGCAGGAGGGCTGGCGGGAACATCCTCATAAACGGGAGGCATTTCCTCGTCCCAGCTGATACCAAGACCACTGCGCTCAGTGACGTTGAGGTTAAATTGCATACGCAGCACACGAGCTGCGCCAGTTGGGGTGATAAGTCGGGTGTTGCGGTTCAGGCAGAACTCCTCGGCAACGATCAGCTCAATGACCAAGTTGTGCTTGACCTCGAGACCAGCAGGGGCCTCCATATCGCAAACGGGGTTCGTGGTTGGGTTGATGTTGGCATCGAATTGCATGGAGATTTCACCGCCAGCAGTATCGAAATCGGTCTTCCAGCCGCTCTTCTCCTCGTTGTGGCCAATGATGCGGGTCTCTTGGTGGAGGACACCCTTGCCCTCACCACCAATCTTGTGGGAGTGCTTCTGGCAAGCAGTGGAGACAATTTTCTGATGTTCCTCAATGCGCCACATCATCTTGCGCAGACGCCAGCGAGTCTGTGTTTCATCGCCCTTGTCTACGACACCACTCAGGGTCATCTCGACAGGGAAGTTGCCGATAGGGTGAACAACGGAGGGCAGAACGATGCGGCCAGTCAGGTTGGTCGGAGGGAAGATGCGGATCGAGGACTTGTCGTTGCCAGGAAGTAGAGCACGGCGTAGATTTAGAGGCATCTTCAGGGTGAACTCTTCACCCACAATGCTCTGGGCCTGTGCCAGCAGGAAGTACTCCACTTGTCCAAGGGCGCCATTGCAAGTGGCCGGAAGATGACCGGGGAAAAGGTAGCTGAAAGGGAAGTCGTGTTGGCCGTGCTTGAGGTGGAGAGATTCTGTGAGGAAGTTCCAACGGGAGAGTTCTTCGGTGCGGGTCTGGCAGTTGGGGCAATGGCTGGAGACGGGCTTCTTGGTGGTGGTCTTGGAAACTAGACGGACGTCGAAGTGGTTGAGAATGACCTCGCCGGCCAGCTCAGTGACATTCACACGCAGACGGCCAGAGAACAAGGCACCGGTCGAGGTGGAGGGATTGCCGTAGCAAACAAGCGGAGGGGATTCCACGAGGACATCGAGCTTGACTGGGGGCAGGGCGAGCTCCTCACGGTTGAGACGCTCCTTGGATCGCCCAGCGCGAGCGAGATTCTTGCGCTTATCCTTGCTATGATCACGGTGAGGGTGGATGAGGTGGTCCATGGAGAAGGACAGGCGACGTTCAGGAGAGCGAGCACGTTCTGGGGTGCCATGACCGGAGAAAGGCTTCTTAGGGCCGGTGGCATGGGTGATGATTTCATTGACGGAGGTAGTGGAGGAGGCATTGGAGTGAATTGGAGTCGAAGAGACCGAGGAGTGCAGGGAGCCAGAGCCCCGAACAAAGTTGGGGATCAGTCGGCCCGGCATGGTGGTTGATACCTAGGTATTTGGGAGAGATGATTGTAGTATAGAAATAGTGGGGGGGGGGTTGATGTGGAAGTTGAGATGAAAGCGGTTGATATAAGAGTGATTGCCTTAGGAAGCAGTGCGGTGGTGGTCGAGTGGAGGAGCAAAAGTAGAAACCAGCAACATAATATGGAGAAAGTAATTGAATGACAGAAGAACCAAAAAGAGTCACGACATGGCGGAAGGTCTTGCTTTTGAATTCCGAGCAAGATCATGTGCGCTGAGTCTAAAATCCACCGAATCCGTGGAAAAGCTCGAGAAATTTTTGATAAATTTTCTAGTTCCCACTTGGTTCGACCATGCGGCCGGTCAGGTACCGGCGTGTCATTCGCTGCATTGAGGTCTGGCCACCGAAAAAATAGTAATAAAATTATTATTTAAATATTTAAAATATTCAAAGCGGAAAAAAGAATTGAAAAAAATGAATGAAAAGAGACTGGTGGGGCAAAGAACATCGTCATCTGGTGGGTCTGTACCGGACAGGACGCCGTTATGACCGTCTGGTTACCGTATTTTATACTTTAGACGCCTTCTACTGACTTGAATGGCAGTACCTACCCTACAGAGCAGCAGTCTACAGAGTACTCCCCTACTGACAACATGAGCTCTTGCACGACGAAGCACCCAATTTCATCTCACCAGTCCTTGTCATCTCACCTCCTAATTACCGCCCTTCTCGGTGATTCGGTTCGGTGCCGAATCCACTACCACCACCCCATCCCTATCGAAGCATCTCGACTCAATAAGCCGACCAGGGATCACCTGACTACAATTTTGGAGCAACACGGTTGGTCGATACCCCACATCTCAGGATGTGGGCATCATCTTGCGATCAGAAAAAGCTAGCCCTCATCTAGGCAATCTAACGAGGCCAGCTGATGCCATCCCCCGCCCTGGACTGAACTTGGGTTTGGTTGCACCCTATAGTTGCGACCGTGCGCTAGGATTGACAATGACTCACAATCGGCTACGCTCCCCGGTTGTTCGGGGTTGGGATCGTCTGTACTCGGCCCAGCGCATGTGCCTCTCGGCGGGGTATTGGTATTCCTAATCGGCTTTGAGAGGGGAGAGAGAGCTGCGGCTGCTGCAGTGCTGCATCGCAACCCCGGATGATTAGCAAGCCACGGAGCGATGTCCGATCACCTGAGCATAGGGTTCCCCCGTTCCTAATCCCCCTCCCCCCGGATCCCGGTGCCGGTAGGCGATGGCCTGAGTTGTTGACAAAATACAGCTGAACTACCGTCTACGGGTGCCACCTTACACGGCCGTGTTGAGCGGCGACCGGTGCCGAGACAAACAGGCTGAAAATAGGTCGAAAGGCGTTAAAAGAAGGCGCCAGGACACCTAAGCCTCAGGCTACAGGTTAGGCATTAGTTAGATGGGACTTGTACAGCTCCAAGGTATGTGTTGTTCGGTCAGCTGCCTATATCACGTGGCCCATCAGCAAGAACAAGGAGCAGAAGAACCAACTCTATACGGAGTACATAGTGAGGAACTACCTGGTGAAAGAAAAGAGTATTTTACACGAGTACCCTTGAAGCAATGTCCAATACCGACATCTGACAATACATTTCAGCGGCTTTCAGTTAGTGGCAGATCGTTCCCGTTGACCGCTTTTGGGGAAGAAACCGCGAGGCAAAAGAAAGAAAAAATGAAAGAAAAAAAAAAGAACAGACCCTGGACAGACCCACTTCTTCGAATTTTTTTCTTTTTGCGGCTTCGTCCAGCCGATTGCCCAATTCGAGGTTAGCCTCACCGATCTATTCACCCCGCATGGCGCAATTTGCGGGGCGCAGAGTTCTCGCTTGCATGGGATTCACATGGGAAAGCCATGCGCAATCACAAGTGGGAAGCAACAGCGGTGGTGGTACAAGCATCAGAATGTAATAACAGAGGGGTTTAGAAAATGGATCTCAAAAGCTTCAAGATCGAGATCACCATGGCCTAGCCCGCAGCTGTCAATCCGCTTGGCCCCAGGCACCTTGGGCGAATCATCAATTCGCCTGCCCGCACTAATTACCTAACAGTATCCCTCGATGATCCTTGACCTTGATCTTGACACCACATCCTGTCCGCCGCGCATGGGCCAACATGTATGTGTATTAGGTGCCTTTCTGACTTGCAGCAACGCTCACCGTCCATGCTCAAACACATCCCTGCATGATATCCAGCCCTGAAGAAAGCGAGAGTCCGAGCCCGAGAGTCCGAGCTCAGGCGTTAACATGTCTGGTTTCCCCTCGGAAACCCGCGCCATCGGATTCCAGTGTGAAATTCCGGTGATAATGACACGATGCTGTGACTATTGCATGGTTTTTGTGCTGTACAAGCAACTCCGATCACGCCATGGCCACCCCCCAAGCTTGTCTAGAGATGCCCTTCGAGTTAGAATTCCACATCGATTGGCGGCGTCGCCCGCGTGGCCCCCTCCTTGGCCTACGCCTTTCAAGGCCGCTTGTCGATCCCCATCCAATCTAGTCCCCACCACCCACCACCACCGCGTCGAGTAGCCGGTTAAAGGAGGCCGCCAGAGAACCACCAGTATCACATCATCTCATATCCCATCATCTGAGCACGGAGTCTCGAATGCGTCGGGTAGTGTGAATCACCGCAAAGATCCATCGGAGACTCTGACCAATCACATGCCATGGTATGCCGTGACGATCAAAATGGTCGGCGCCTTCCAGCCAACTTCCTCTTTCGGGACGATCTCGGGCCCCATCTCCGAGGAGGAAGGGCAGGAGGAGATGAGGAGCAAGTGCGTGAGGGCCTTGTTGGCTATGATTTTTGTCCAAGGTCCTTCATTCGTACTTTGGCATCACTGGTTGCGCCTTATTGCTTTTCTCATTCCCCGTTTCCATCATCCTTCGAGACGATTACTACACACCGACTCATCCAAACACGCCATTTGTCTCATCCATGCCCCGAATTGCGCTGTTTCTTTGGTCTTTGCCTCAGCCTCAGGTTTGGTTCTAGCCTTGGCCTTAGCCCTCACACTAATACCTAGGTACTACTAAGCGTACTCCATACTCCGTACTCCTTTTTAAATCTGCTTAATGGCCGATGGCACCATTGTTTTGCGACGGAAAACTCCCGCCCCGCTCAAGCGGTCCCGCAGAAATTTTCTGCCCTCCCCACCATCAAAGCCTCTCGATTCGGCCCGGCGCAACGTGATGCTCTGACTCAATGCCAGTGGTTAATCCGCCTTTTCTATGGTCAGGTGGTCAAAGAAAATGGTATCCAAATTCTTTCAATTGCTCCAACTGTACTTCTGTACTCCGTACATCAGCCAGGTGTCTCCATATACTGATATCTAATATATTTCTCTCCTGCAAGTTTATTCCCTTGCCTCCTTGCCCTCTGCCCCCGGCCCTTGATCTTGTAGTTCTATACCCACTATACGCGGGTGGGTGTTGACCGCCCATCCACCTGCCAGTGGGCACCTTGAAGTTGAACCAAGGGAACTCCGTCAGGCGGGTCCCCGGTATGTCGTGCCCGTCGGGAAAGTCGCAAAAGGATCTAGGTACGGAGTACTTGGAGTCAAAGACCGGGCCGAATTGGAGAAGTTACGAGTTACCGGTCGTCGGTGGGGATCCGATGACTAGTGGGCGGAATATTCTTTGCCTTTTAAGGTTTCAGGCTGTTTTATATCCAAGATTCTCTCTTTTTTTTTATTACACTAGATGTAAAATAGTAGATCTCTACTCCATACTGTAGAGTGTTGCTGGTAGTTGCTGCGTTTTAATTCCCTCATGGAGTCTAGACCTGGTGTGTGGGAATTTTGCAGCTGAGATGGATCATCCCGATACATCTAGTGTTTTGGATGCCAGCGGTTACTATTTATGTAAACAAGTACTACTAGTAGTGCTCCCTACTAGGTACTGAGTTTTCCTGGTGGCACTTGGACAGCGATGATTGATAAGATTACAAGATTCAAGGTCCAAGGGGTCAGAGCTTTAAGTCAATTTCTGTTCAAGTTTCTACTTTGGCTATTATCTAGGGATGTAGAGGTATAGAAGCAGACTCGAAGTACCTGTACACCAACCTTCAAGTTGGAGTATGTCCAGTGGAAATGACAGCAGTACTTGGTAGTACTAATATGACCCCAAATCTAGCATCACATCTGTTACTACTAGCAACGACTGACGTTGCATAAGTCAACTCAACTTGAGGTCGACGTTTCTTCGAAACAGTTGCGGTCAAACTGTGCAGATTGATGTGAGCCGCCTGCTCGGCGTGCAGACCTTATCATGGAATCCTATAATCCTATCAGAGTGACCTTCAGGGAAGGTCAGGGACGGCAGCCCCGCTCGTTATCAAAGGGAGTTGCCAAGGTTGGCGGCCACAAGCCAATCTTTAGGAAGAAGGCAACAACGGAGAAGCTCTCGCATGCAGATCCGCTCCTATCGGATATCCAAGTGGAAGCTAAAATCGACCATCGCTTTGATTCCCAGGTTTGCATGAACCCCTGACACGTGACCTATTCCGGGGGATCGCCAGCGTGATGGACGCCAGAGTTGTGTTCCCCCCTATTCCGGACCAGTTCTGCCACCGTGTTCTCTTTCCTGAATGGAGTGATTTGCCGCTAGATCCAGCATCAAGCCATGGGCTCGATGTCGTCTGTCCTACTAACCCTTCAACTGACCTAACCGGCACCTCAGCAATTAGAGCTCTCGCCCCGCTGTCGAGCTTTGTTCAAATCGAGCCCACCGAGGGGGAGGGATGTCCGCTGCGCATTCTCCACTATCAAAGCTCTTGACTTTCTGCAGGTCTTAATCCACACCTCCGCGATCCTCTCCTCCCATATACGGTTGCATTGCCTTTGCCAGGCCTCAACAATCGTCACGTCACCCCCGGACACGAAGTTGAGAGCATAACCTCAATCCAGATCAAGAGACAGAAGGGATCAGCACACTCGACCATCGACCAGTTCCACTCCCCGCTTCTTCACGCCGCAAATCGACATGGCACCCTCCTTCAATTGGCCCGCAATTGTAGTGGCCATTGCCGCAGTCTTCCTTTTCTGGACCCTCTCATCCACAAGCTCCTCCCCATTCATGCGGTCCTTCCCACGACTACAAAACAAGCGGATCTGTCTCCTCATCGCGCATCCCGATGACGAGGCCATGTTTTTTGCGCCGGCGGTGTTGGCCCTCACCAAGCCAGAGCTGGGAAACCACCTGAAGATCCTGTGCTTCAGCACCGGTATGGACCACTCCTCTCCACAAATCCTCAACATCCGCGCACTCAGGGAATAAAGACTGACCTTGAACCTCCTCTCACAGGCGACGCAGACGGCCTCGGCGACATCCGCAAAGAAGAACTCAAGAAATCTGCCCTTCAACTCGGCGTCCGCGATCCCGCAGACGTCTTTGTCGTCGACGACCCGGCCCGATTCCCGGATAGCATGAGCGCAAGCTGGGCCGAAGACGATGTAACCTCCCTCCTCGCCTCAGCATTCTCGCCCGACCTAGCAGCGACACTAAACGGCACAACGAAGAAAAATCCCAAGAAAGCGCCCACAGCCACCATCGACGTCCTCCTCACCTTCGACCGTCACGGCGTCAGCAACCACCCCAACCACCGCTCGCTCTACCACGGCGCGGTGCATTTCATCCAGACCCTGATGAAGGATAAGGAAGGTTTTGCGTCGCCCGTGACGCTTTATACGCTCACTTCGCTTCCGATGATTCGCAAATATGCTGGTGTGCTCGATGCGCCGGTGACGATGGTTCAGGGCGCGCTGAGCAATATTTTCTCTTCCTTTGGGTCGAAGAAGAATGGTTCGGCGGTGGGACCGAAGCGACTGCTCTTTGTGAGTTCTATTCAGGAGTGGATGACGGCGCAGTCGGCTATGGTGAAGGGCCATAAGAGTCAGATGGTTTGGTTCCGCTGGGGCTGGATTACCATCGGTCGATATATGACTGTTAACGACTTGAAGCGTGAGAAGGTCTAGCTTGGATTGCTTGTGGTCCTTTGCTGCGGGCTGTCTGTCGTGACTGTGTTGTGCCTTATACCTGCACATATATTTGACGGGCTTTCTCAGCCACGTGTTTGAATGATGCTCTGGGATCAAGGTTTCAAGGCGCAGTACGAGGACGTCGGCTCTCGCGAGATTGTCCTCTGTTTCCCATCCTCTGCATCCCTTTGATATCAATATTTCCCGATTATTCTTGAACAAGCCTTTGAAGAAGACGGCGACCCTCTTCCACAGGTGGGATCCTGGAAGATTTGTACAAAATGCTTTGTTACTAGTACTTGAGTGACTAGACGTCAAATATAAGTCAAAATTTAATGAATAAAGCCCGCCGCGGAAGACATGAATGGAACTTGGTGTAGATTTTCAGGTGTTATTTTGTGATTTACACTTCGAACCAATCTTCTTTCGTTGGCTGGAACAGACAGGGTATCAACGCTAGTATAACAGAGGCACCAGGCCACGAAAACAGAGGAATGCTCACACCAAGCTCCCTTCACTGCGAAAGTAAATGCCCCGTTTTTCAGTCTTCAGCATACCTAATGCTGCAAGACGACCATAGAAACCGGCGCCAGGCCGGTTCTTCTTTCCCCAGGGCGAGTCATCGGGATACTCAGTCCAAGTAGAGCGAAGCTCCTGGACAGTTTCAATCAACTCGGGAGATAGGGACGCCTGGAACCAGAAGAGCCTCTTGAGACGCTCCGACTGTCTATTGCAAGAGGGATACCGCGCGCGAACAATCCGCCAGATCCTACTCTCCGATAGGCGGGGTGTCTCCGCCTGGGCAAACAGCTTCTTCTTGTTGGCTAGTCGTCGTACCGGTACCTTCCTCGGGTCGAGTAACCAGTTGCGCGATTGTAGATTTGTGCGACCATGTATCAAGAGCACTCCGCTATCTTTGCCCATATAGACATCTTTCATCTCTGGCAGAAAATCGTGCCACTCTTCCATAATCTTAGGTACCTCCTGCGTTCGCCATTCGTAGTCCGAGATGTCATTCCAGCCCTTGGCCTTTAACACTGCCCAGCAGCAACGTTTGAGTTGATAAGCCTTTTGGAATTCTTCTAATTGGAGCAGATCGTAGGCGTGGACGGCGTCGGCGAGTATAGGACACGCGAAAAACTCGTCCTCGTCAACGGGATGACCAATCGCCGCTCGTTCTTCGGCAGCTTCCATCAGTGGTATCAGAAGTCTTAAGACGGCCTTTCGGGCGTCGGCTTGCTTTTTCCTCGTCTCCTGTAGGACCCTGTAGGCGCCTCGAAGGACCATCTTGCTTTCTTCATAGTTTCCGTTGTGCATGCTGATGTTCAACATATATCGACATGCCTGAAGACTCGGAAGGAAGTTGTATGGTGCGGAGGTTAGGACACCGAATATAGACTGAACCAGGTCCATAGGTACGCGCCCAACCGTGCCTGCAAATTTGGCCTTTTCGGAGTCATTGTCTGTCATTCCCGCTCTGCACAAGACATATGCTCGCTGGAGGAGCTCCGTCCACACTCTCTCTGTGATGGGAACATTGTAGGTAGATGAGATATGTTGTATCAGCCGTATCGCACTAGGGATGTCGTTGTTGGTGCCAAAGGCGTGGGCGATCGCAAAAAGAAGATTTTCAGTCGGATGCAGTGCCGACCATGGGTCGTACGGGGTGAGAGGGGGTAGCTTTGACGAGTCTTCTTCGGCTCTCATTGCGGACATGTCGATGTTCCACACCGTTTTGAGAATCTCACGCATCCCTTTGTTGTGACCGACTCGCGCACCTGCAATCAGAATGTTGATATAGGTGCGCTCATCCGGCAAGATTCCTTGTTCTAGCATGGTATTATAGATTTTCAGAACAGCGTGGCGAACGCTCTTGGGATTTCCGGTGGTAAAACCTTGCCAGCCAACTGTCCCCTTGCGACGTTTACGATAAGAGTGCGGAGTGATACGGAGATTGTATGCTTCCTTTCCCGTGTAGCAGTGGTCCCAGACTAGGGCCTCCATGTAGTGGTTGTAGCATGCTGTATCCGGGGCGACTTCCCGCCTCTCCATTGACTCCCAGATCTCGACTGCAAAAGGTGCATTCCCCATTGACCGAGCACAGTCTAAGAGATGGGTGTACTCTGCCAGTTGCAAGGGCTGCACGGCGGCTCGATAGCCGACAATTGTGAGCAAATTGGCGGTAAAGTCATCGAAATGCGATTCTAGTTGCTTGAGGCCTGAGAGCAGGATCGTCCAAGAATGTAAGGGGTGGTGGAGGTCGCGGAAGGGCTCCACAAAATGGGTCGGGGAGAGTCGGTGGAGCGCCTCGAAGAAGGTTGTCTGGGGTAGTGACCCAACCAGCCCCGCCGACCGTGGGTCTGTCATTGCTGTCATCAAACAGTCTGGTTGTCCTTCCTCAACAACGCGATAAAAATTTGCCGCATATTCTGCCTCTTCTTGTGGAGAAGAGCAGACTGGGGATCTATGCCCTCCTTCGTCATCCATTCGGGGTACCGCCAGTGCGCCGTTGGTGGACGCTTGGGGGGTCATAGTCGGCGTGGGCGTGCTATCGACATACCTGACCTCATGGTTATAATGAGGATGTTTTGGTATTGTTGCCGGCCCCCAATGCTGAGCTCTGAAAGCACCTTGCGAGGAAATGTGTCGCGCGTGCCTAGGGTGACGGAGGACCGAGGGTCTTTGAACTGTGTAGAGTATAGCTGACTCTATAGAGCTCCATCGTGGGCGGCTAAGCCAGGCCGAGGACAGGCTCTCACCGCTAGAAACAATTCTTTTCATGGGGGGGGATAAAATCCGAATGGAATGAAAGAGGAGGAGAAGGTCGAGGAGAAGAGGCCAGCAGAAGGGGAAATAAAGAAGAGGGGGCGCGCATCGACGCATCGACGCATCGACCCCGGTCTGCAGACATGGGGGTGAATGGAAAGTACGAGGGGTACTAGGTACTTGCCCTGCTGCATTGTACTACGCGATCAGATGCGGGCGAGACCTGCATGGCTAAGGTAGCAGTGACCTTTGTAGACCCCGGTCTAGTCGTTTAGCTGCGTGGCTGACTTTACTCTCAGACCTCAATGGCCCACCCCACCCAAACAGACCACCAGTGGAGTACCTGGAGTGTCATTAAGGACTTACCATGGGGTAAGGTGTCGAGGTGTCGAGGTGTCGAAAGTTCAAAAGTCTGGGGTAAATGGCCGCTGACTCAGCAGTCACCAGACTAATCCCAATTCAGTAATCTGGTCTTGGCAATAAGCTCGGGATCGAATCTGTCCCGCCCAGCTCTGTACCCCTCGACTCCAACTTTACTCTTCAGCTCGCAATTCCAACATGGCCGACAACGAAGATGCAGGTGCCCCTTCTGAGCCCCTCGATCTCGTTCGTCTTTCTCTCGATGAGATTGTTTTCGTGAAGCTGCGCGGTGACCGCGAGCTCAAGGGCCGCCTCCACGTGAGTTCAAATTGATCCCAGACGAAAACCTGCCAACGTGATGACTGACCGCAATGACTTCCTTAGGCATATGACAGCCACTGCAACTTAGTTCTTGGCGATGTGGAAGAGACCATTTACGTGGTGGAGGAAGACGATAATGAAGAGGAAACCACAAGGGTACGCCGACCTACCTATCTTCTACCTACAATATGCGAAGTACCAGCAACGCTAACTCGAGGTCCGTGGGGATGTACAGACAATCAAGAAGCAAGAAGAAATGTTGTTCGTCCGAGGTGAGTCAGGATCAGCCACCTACTTGGTCCCTTCCCCCTCAATCACTAACCCATTCCCAGGTGATTCCGTCGTTTTGATCTCCCCTCAGGCTTAAACAAGCAAGCCCGTCGACAACGAATTGATAGAGGAAAAGGCGTCTGGCGAGACTATTTGCAGGAACCAAAAACGAGATACCATCCGCATACAATCTAGTCGTATAGATACGTGCCCATGAAATTTCCCTTCTTATTTGACGGTTGGATGTAGAGAGCCCCAAGCACGTAGCAGACCCTCAGCAGAGCCGCAAGGCTGGGCTTTCTGTAGCCCCCCTCCCCACTGTTTATGTGTCACATCTGTGCTTCTCAATTCGATTTGTTTCCAAACTTGAGGATGATCGAGTCATCCGTAGCTAGCGGCACAGCTGACTGTGGAGGCTGGAGTGATGACTCAAACAAGAGCCATCCCAACTGGGGGGAAGCCAAAGGAATTGCGGGCGAGAGGAATGGATGACTCGGCGCGATAAAGCTGGCCCCTACCCCAACTGAATTCCTTTCCTTTCCTTCGTTCTTCTTCTCCAACCAGCTTCCAATCCAACTCAATTTTAATTCACTCTGAATAGATCCGAGCGATGATCCCCCGAATACACGTCTGAATACGCCTGAGCTCTCGGCGATCCACCCCCATCCGACCGCAACGTCACCGATCCCCCCCAATCTCAATCAAACCGATCTACCGTCATTCGACGTTTGAAACACTCACCACCATAACTGTTACCACAAATATGACTACAAAGGGCTCTAGAGCCTTAAACCCAGAGGAACGGAAACGAGGCGAGATTGTACGATCTATGCCTTTTCCAGCATTGTAATACGGGCGACCCTTACTCACATGATTTCACAGGCTCTCAGCGAGTTCGCCGAGTATGCCGAAAAGCAGCAAGCTCACCGTTCCGCGATTGTCGCTCCGAGCGATAGCGGCTATTCTACCGGTACCGCCAGTGTGTCGCGCGACTTCGAAGACCATGCCGAACTGGAGATCTTGGACCAGCTTGGCTTGACCGATACCCCGCGCGCCGTCAAGCTCAAGGAACTCCTCCTTGGAACCGGAGACGCCACCGAAGAAAGTATACAACTTTTGGCTAGTGCGATACAAACTCGCGTCGATGAGGGCCAGGGAGAGACTCTCTTCGACCTCGGCCTTGAAGATGGCGGCGATTCAATGGACTTCGACCTCCCCCAGTGGGAGACTGCACTTCAGCGCCTGCGCGAGGCGGCGGAAACCATCCCCGCGCACTGTCGAATACTTCTTACCTGCAATGTTGGCGGACCCGAAGAATCTCCAGTGAGGAGCGAACGTGTCAAGGGGGCTTGGGGCAAGGTCCTCATCCGCCAGGACGCAACCAATATCGAGGAGATGGGAGAGATTCGTATCGCTGTGGTTGGCAATGTTGACGCCGGTAAGAGTACCATGCTCGGAGTTCTTGTCAAAGGTAGTCTCGATGACGGTCGAGGTCGTGCTCGAGTCAACCTATTTCGCCACAAGCATGAAATCGAGAGCGGCCGGACCAGCTCCGTAGGATTGGAGATTATGGGGTTTGACAGCCGGGGTGAAATTGTTAGCAACTCGCAAGGTCGAAAGCTTTCTTGGGAAGAAATTGGAAAGCGCTCGGCTAAGGTGATCTCTTTCTCCGACTTGGCTGGCCACGAGAGATACCTTCGCACTACCGTCTTCGGTATGCTCAGCAGCAGCCCCAACTACTGTCTACTAATGGTTGCTGCCAACAATGGCTTGATTGGCATGAGTCGTGAACACCTGGGCATTGCGCTGGCTCTCAATGTTCCCGTTATGGTGATTGTCACCAAAATCGACATTTGCCCGCCACAGATTCTACAGGAGACTCTGTCCCAGCTCGCAAAGATTCTCAAGTCGCCTGGCGCGCGGAAGATCCCAATCTTTGTTAAGGACATGGAAGAGACCATTAACACCGCACATCAATTCGTCAGTCAGCGTATATGTCCCATTTTCCAAGTATCGAATGTTACTGGCGAGAATCTGGACCTGGTCCGAACGTTCCTGAACATTCTCCCTCATCGGGGCAATTACAACCCGGATGGTCCATTTGAATTCCTCATTAATGATACTTTCTCCGTACCGCACGTGGGAACAGTCGTCTCTGGTGTCGTCAAATCCGGGGTGATTCATGCGGGTGACCAGGTGGTGGTTGGTCCCGACTCGCTGGGTCAGTTCACCACCACTACGATCAAGACTATTGAGCGCAAGCGAATACAAGTGAACGCTTGCTTTGCGGGGCAGTCTGGATCATTTGCTCTTAAGCGTGTGCGTCGAAAGGAAGTGCGTAAAGGAATGGTTGTTCTAAAGAAATCGGAGGATGCTCCCAAAGTTTACCGTGAATTTACCGCAGAAGGTAAGATTTCCTTTCCATTGCTATGATCTATCCATCCACCATTGTAAACCTGACTAACTCCGGCTATCTATTCAGTGCTAATTTTGTCACACGCCACCACCATTAAACCTAAGTACCAGGCCATGCTGCACGTTGGAGCGGTCAGCCAAACCTGTTCAGTGATTGACATTGACCGCCCCTTCATTCGAACCGGAGACCGGGCCCTTGTTGCATTTCGTTTCATGCAGCGTCCCGAGTTCCTTGCGCCGGGCGACCGAGTGTTATTCCGTGAAGGGAAAACCAAAGGACTTGGCATTGTGAAGAGTATTGGGTATGATCCCGAACAGCCCCTCAGCCCAAGGAACGGTGAAGATAAGAGCACCGCCACCCAGCCGGAGCCAATACAAAAGAGTGAAGTGACTAAATAAAGCAGTAAGCTGCAATGTGCTACTTTATCTCAGAATTATAATCCAGCCACTTATCCATCTTTTAAATTGCACACCCCCACATGAAGTACTACAGTATGTTATATAGTGTACACGTGACATGACATCATATGATGACATGGAGATCAGCAACGATCTTTCGTATTGCGATTTAATCAAAAGACTAGTGGCAGCCCACGCAGATGCGCCTGAGCCAATGCTACACGAGATTGCTGTCGCCAGCTGTCCTCCAGTCTCCACTGACGTAGCTAACAACATGGGTCCCCTTAAGAGCTTGCGATCCATTCACGGCGGAGACAGCTATACCTGACGTATTGACCTGATTAAGTTCCTTGGGTCTGCCTCTTCCCCCGTCTCCCATCCAATCCCTATTTTAACTTCCATCTTCCCCGGAATCGACCTCAATCGATTTCACTACTCTAACATCAATTCCCTCTTCTGTGTAACGCTCCAATTACCGATCCTCCACGCCACGAGCCGTTTATAGCACCGTCATATCACCGTCATATCACCAACACCAACGAGAATGGAAACTGTCACCAAGGTCGTCCACGCGGCCTCGACCGCTATATGGGGCGAGGGTAATGACAGCCAGTCGACCCAGCAGCACGGCGAAGAGCCCATCTCAGGCGTGCAAGGCAAAGGTGCTGCCAATGACCCCTATGACGCGGGAAATCGTGATGGTAAGTGACATCCAACTGGTCCTCTCTTGCTTTGGCCCTCCATATTTCAAGCTATATCTCAATTTCCCAATATCCTGTCCTTGTGGAAATTGCCTAGCGGTACAAATTCGTATCCATTACTCGGCGTTTCCCAACTACCTCCGCTGCCCTTGGATCTATAGAACCGGCTAGCCTGCACACCAAGCATACACACCTGTCAAACAAGGACTTCCAACTAACATTTGCTTCGCCAGAGCAACCCTCAGCTCCCTTCACAGAGATCGACCCAATTGCCCAGGAGCCTACGCTAGACTATAAGTCGCAAACACTGGATGCCAAGACAGACGCCACGGGCACCGCAGCACCAGATCTCAATAGCACCACAGCTGTCACTCTTCCCAAGCCCACCGAAACTCCTACCAGCAATGCACAGACCCAGTCTCTGGCAACAGAGCAGCGCAGTACAGATAATACAGACAAACTCCAACCCACCGAAAACGCCGCGGCAGCAGGAGGCAGTGGCAGCGGCAGTGGTAATTCCAATTCCTCAGGGTCAGCCAAGCAGGGCGTGAGCAAGGAAGCACTGGAGGGACCTCAAGGTCCTGCACCAACCCCGGCCTCGGAATTCGAGGACGAGGCCAAAGGAAAGAAGCCTGCCGCCAAGGAGACCAAGCCCGGTAAGCAAAACATCTTATATGAGCCATTCTTATTGTTGAGCCTGACTGGTTCTAACGTGGTGTGCAGTCGAGTCCGAGTCTCCGGCCAGCTCTAGCTCTGCAAAGAGCGATACGTCCGCCAAGAGCCCGAGTAAAGCCTCCAGTGGTAGTGGCGATGGCAATGGCAATGGCAAGCATAGCACCTTGGCCAAGGTGAAGGAAGGCTTGAAGAAGGTTGCCCACCCGCGACATGGGAGCAAGTCTTCGTCCTCTTCTTGACGAGGTTGAGTAGTATACTCTACTTGATAGCTTTTGACGGCGCTTATCGTGTTGTTGGTTGATAGCCATTTCGTTATTCCCCTCTCGCCTGCTTGTGTCGATATCTTGGATTTGGATTTGGATTCTAAGGATGTATTACTATCGAATGGATTTCATTTGTGCATATCTGTACTTCCAATCCTTTGTTCTGATTACTGGTAAGGTTATGTACTGGATTGTTCTAGTTACCGCTAGTAGACCCAGTAATAATTACTAGTTACTAGTTAGCAGCTACTAGTAGCACCCGAAGAAGGAAGAAAGGAAGAAAAGTCTTGATCTATTTCTTTTGAGGATATAAATTAGAAAGGACAATCAATGCTACTTCAAAATATACATGATAGCAACAGATTGTGCAAGCAAAGACCCGATTTTCTTTTTCCCACATGACGCCAGACCTGGGTATCTCGTCTCAAAAGCCCAACCAATATGGAAAACACCACTTTCAACTCGAGGCATGGTTACTCGAAGAGCAACTTTAGATCGGCGAGTTTGTCTTTCTTTTTATCATCGTCGGCGTCGTCACCGCCAACACGTAAGCCAAGTGTGCCGGCGATATTCATCTTGCGCTCTTGTACACTGAGTATGCGGCCCTCGATAGAATCTTTGACCACAAATCGTGTCACAGCGACATCTCGTGTTTGTCCCATTCGGTGGACACGATCGATGGCTTGCGCTTCGATGGCGAAACTCCACCATGGATCCATCATGAAGACATTACTCGCAACCGTGAGGTTGAGTCCGACACCACCAGCCTTGAGGGAAAGGAGGAGGACGGTCGCCGGCGGTGAGGAGGGTTGAGGTTTGGAAGCTGATGCCTTTTTCTTTCTAGGGCTGTCATCTTCGGTATCGACGATCTCGTCAACATATGTGTCAGTTTTGGTGAACTCTGCCAAGACAGCAGCGCGGGCTTTCTGGGGCATCGAGCCGTCAAGACGAAGGTGTGATACCCCGACACGAGAGAGCTGGTCACCGATAAGATCCAGGAAGGATGTGAACTGGGAAACCACGATGGATTTTGTATTGGGAGGAATTCGGCCAAGGTGGCTGATCAGGGCGTGGATTTTGGCCGACGTGTGCGCGGAGGGAGAGAGCGGGTTGATACGTCGTAGTGATATGCGAGGAGCAAGCTCAGTAATGGCGGGCAGGTCTTCGTCAAAGGGGGAGTTTTTCCATAGGTATGGCTGGATGCTTGACTACTTCGAAGATGTCTTTGGCGTCGACCGGAACACGGCATGAGAAACAACGTGCCTGCTCTCCCTTATTCATTTGGTGCCGGAGAAAGTCTTCAAGACACTTCTTACAAGCACTATGCCAGCAGGCAGTGACGGCCGGCTCTATCATCTCATCCTCACAGCAGATTGGACACTCGCCACTGGAATCGGTCTGTATCTGTCGGAGTGCGTGTGCTGTGAACTTCTTCATGGATCTATCCTCAGCTTCCGCGGTCTCGGATTCGGCGTTTTCAGTCGAGGTCGAGAATTGATTGATTAGCTCTTGAAGGTCCATGTCGTCTTTCAGCTCACTGGTCGCTTCGAGTGCGGCTGCTAGAGTTTCCTCGTCGGCGACAATTTCTTTCTTGCGAGTCAGAATTGGGTGGCAGCAGGTCTGTCGAAGGCGAAGAATCTGGGCAAAGATTGTTGAGTAAGATGACATGAGGGTGCCGGCCGCGACATTCTCGTTGTAGGTGCGCCTGGCACGGGTATAAATACAGTCGTAGATCTCTCGTTCCTGTTGTGAGAGCTCTACTTCCTCGATGTTGATTACACGTCGAGGTAAAGGCACCAACGGCTCACCGTCAGGCGTTTTCATGCTCTTGGTTCGCCGGAGAACAAGAGGTTCTAACACACTCTGTACCACATTCAAGGCACGAACATACTCTTTAGATTCGAATGGTACCGTGATGAAGGTTTTCCAGAAGGAGAAGTTGCTCCACGGCTCGACTTTCAAAAATCGGACCAAACTGAATAAATCCTCCAGGCGATTGACAATGGGGGTGCCAGTAAGGACCCACCGATGGAGTGATTTGAGCTCATAGCATGCTCGAGCAGATTTTGAACGTCGATTTTTAATCAGATGCGCTTCATCCAGAATTACACGGAAAAATTCAACCGAGAATAACCCATTGTGGGCACCGGCAGCCATCGATGATTGTAAACCAAGTTGACGGAATTCAGACAACACAACACCGTAACTGGTGACAATAACGTGAGGAGCAGAGGCATGTTTTGCCTCGCAACAAATGTCTCGAAGATTTACTGCCTTCTCCGATCCGTAGTACATAAGAACACGCATTGTTCCAGGAGTGGAGGCTTTGAGCGCTTCGCTTTCCCACTGAGCGAGCAATGACGTGGGAGCAACCACCAATGTTGTATAAGGTGCAGGGACCACGGCGGTGGATGAATTTGGAACCCTTGCCAGGTCATTGACAGAGGATATTCCATTCGACGTCTCAGTACGAGGTTCGGTCTTATTGGTGTGGACCAAACTGAGCATCTCAATAGTTTTTCCTAGGCCCATTTCATCGGCTAGAACCCCACCGAGACAACGTTGTTCTTGCGCGGGGAAATCCACGCTCAAATCGCCCGAGTAGGGATTCACATAAAAGTGGTCAATGCCTTCAGCCGCTGGGAGGTCTTTGTCATCCACGTCCTTGGTTGGCCAGATATATTCTTCCCATAGGGGGTGCATCGAGCGTTCACGACCTTGTTGCTTGTCCTTTTCCTTGGATAACATCCAATGAAGCGCTTGCTTCTGATACTTGCGAAGGTCGAGAACGAAGTCCGGGCCTGGCTCAGCCTCGGGCATATTAAAGTCAAAAGACTGGGCCTTGCGATAGAGACTGTCCAGTTGATCTTCCTCCAATTCTTGAGTGTCGTCCTCGGAAGAAGATTCATCGTCATCTTTACTGGTCTTCGATTTCTCCTTCTTGACCCCGTCATACTTCTCTGCCATTTCGGCGGCCTGAAGAAGTCCCTCTCTTTTATGCTTTTCGGTTGTCGGGTTGATCGAAGTCGGCTGAAGATTGATCTCGTGGAAAAGCTTAACAAGAGCAACTTGTCGAAGTCGAAGGCTTTTCTCCTCGGTGCTTTCCTTCTCCTCGAACATGCTCACGGCGCGGTTGTCGTCACTGGTGTCAGCAAAAGGACCACGCTGAAAGGCTTCTTTGCGTAAGAAACAACGAAGCTGGAGGTAGACCGTATCATTGACGCGCACTCTGTCCGGCATGTATACACATACAGCCTCGAACTGGCATATTTTTTGATCTAAAAGGGTTGAAACCCACTCCGCAGTCTCATGGGGCAGTCTACCGATTTCTTGCCCTTGAGTATTCGTGAAACGAGTCAGAACGTCGCCCTTTTGATTGACGATCATTTTCCCATTACGAGCCCGCTTTGTCACCGGCTGTGATCTTGCACGTTCGATATTGACCGGATCACCATGCTTCAACAGTGCCAGGCCACTCCTTGTTGCCCATCCACCTACTCCAAAGGCACCAATATATCTTGTCGCGGGTTGTTTGCGCAGAACGGGAGAGGGATCGTAGATATTATTGCCTTTGGCTGAAGAGGACGATCCAGAGGAGTCGCCGGCAGAATTTGGTTGCAGGGGAGGGTTGCTCGGATTGTCGTCGATTTCAAACGACCGTTGGCTGTAGAGGATGATTTCGCGGGTTTCTTCCACGATCCATCGAAGTAGATGTTGACGGCTCGCTCGACATTGCTCGATGCGGCGGTCTGAATGGCTTTTATTGACTCGTAGGGTAGTTGTTCGCCGATAATGCTGGTGAACAAATCGACGTCAAAGCCTTTGATGATGATGGGAGACGGTGCCACCGACTCCGAGGTTGCTTTGATGGTTCGATCCGGTGTTGGGCTGGCCTCGGATGCCTCTATATTGATCGGGGGATCTATGGGTATCGCTGTTTCCTGACCAGAATGATTCAGGCGATCACGAGTCGGTGTTTCGGGGACACGTTGCTGGTCGTTGTGCTCGGGGTCAGAATTCTCGATGCAGGGGCAGTGACGAGGGAAAGACGCGTCGCGGGTCGGGGACGATGAAGCTTGCGGCGCAGACGGATCTTCGGAGAAGAAGCGCTGTTTCTTGAGAGGCGGTTGATCGAGGTCACCGCTCATGGTGATGGTAGAAGGGATGGTGGCATGAACGCCATGGAAAGAAGAACTTGAAGTGAGGCGAAAGTTGGGGAGACGCGCCGCAAGAGCGCGAAACCCGCGGACCGACGTCAGTAATTAAAGGAAAAGAAAAGTCTACCAACTTGAAGATATTCCACAATGAAAACGAGGATTGACTTATTTATTGATTTCTTTAATTTATCCGGAATCAGTTACTAGTATTCCAAGGTTACTACTGGCATTAATAAATAACTTAAGTACTAATGGAGTAGACAAAGGCCTCAGTTCAAAGGCTTAGTCAGTTCACGTATCTATATCTAGTTAGTTAATCAGTTCCTTGATGGACTCAGCTAGCCTTCTATCCTACACAAATCTCATCATTCTGATTATCTCTCTCATGTTTCGTCAGAGCTAGGAATCATATATATTCTACCTTATACTAGTAAAGAGTCCAGAATGGTATCGTCGTTGAAGCTCTTCAAGCTGCCCAGGTGATTGGCCAGGGCGGTCTGGACGACTGGACCAATGCTGGACTGCGCATTACTACTTTATCTTTATCATCCTCCTCAACTTTGCTTCTCTCCCACACCTCCCTCATGTCCTTCTTGAAGCAGGCCACACGGCCATGCCGGGCTTATATACCATGGCAATGCTTATTACGCTCTCAATGTTCTCAAAAGAGGCTATTTAGTCAGTCTCGGGCAGTCGCCTCGCCCATCACCGCTGAAGAAGTCACCGGCGCACACAAGTATTGTGTTGCTCTCCTCTCGTATGCCCACCTACTCGTCTTGGAATTTACGATTCCACTTCACTTCTGAAACTGCGCAATCACAAGAAACCCTTGGAAACAACACTAACACTCCAACCTATCCAGAAAATATGACCGACCCTCCTACACAATGAGCACATTCGTGCCATCCGAAGCCCGAACCTTCTATATCGCCCTGCGCGCATTAAACGTCTCCCTCTCCCTAATCCCAGACACCACCTCCTCAGCAACAATCGGCCTAATGCGCCTACAATTCTGGCGCGACGCCGTATCCAAAATCCTCGCCGGCGCCCCACCAAAAGAACCCGTCGCCATCCTACTCGCATCGGCCATTTCAGACCTAAACCAGCGCACGAACGGCCGCGCAAGAATCACGAAGGGCTGGCTGACCCGTCTCATCAATGCGCGCGAACAGACCCTCACCAACGACCCGTACCCGAATATCGCCGCGCTGGAATCCTACGCCGAAAACACTTACTCGACGCTCATGTATTTGACTCTGGCCGCGATGCCCATGGCCTCCGTCACGGCGGACCATGTCGCCTCGCATATCGGGAAAGCTGTTGGAATTGCGGCCGTGCTGCGCGGATTGCCGCTTGTTGCGTTCCCGCCGCCGCCGAGTCAATCGCCCACCGGGAGTACGGGTGGGGTTGGGTTGAATTCCGGTGGGAAACAAGGAGCCGTTATGTTGCCGTTGGATATCATGGCGCAAGCGGGGGTGAAAGAGGAAGATGTTCTGCGACGAGGTGCGGAGGCGGAGGGTCTGCGCGATGCCGTTTTCGCCGTCGCGACGCGGGCGAGCGATCATTTGATTACGGTGGAGCAGATGCTGAATAACCTTCGGGCCGGAGAGGATGTCGGGCATGACTTTGAGCATGAAGGAGAAGAGGGTCATGAGTATGATTCTGTGGATCTCGCGGGTGGCTCCAAGGAATCGCCGCTTGATGAGGTGAATCGTGCTTTTGGCATCTTCATGCCAGCGGTGTCTACACGGTTGTGGCTTGATCGGTTGCAGCAGCACGATTTCGACGTCTTCCAGCCTGAGCTTCTTCGGTCGGATTGGAGACTTCCTTGGAAGTCTTATATGGCTTTTCGACGCAAGAATATTTGATTGATGAATAGGCAAGCCCTTGTATAATAATATACGTGTACTATACATAGATACAAGGCCTCATGATGGGCCGACAAAGAGGCAAATGTACAAAACAACGAATTATTCCCACTCCCTGAGACAACTTCTGTATACGTCGTAGGAGTTTGGCTACTGCTAGTTCTTCTTCTTTCTCTCTCGTCTCTGTTGCCGAGAGCTGACGATGAGTCGCCTCTGTGCGAGCATGACGGCATAGCGCTGGATTTTGTCACGCCTAAGAAGAGCTTGTTAGCATTTAGGAATAACGAAGCATGCCCATGGTAGGACTTACATCAATAGTAGGGTCGTGACGAAAATGAAAGGGATTGCAATCTTCCAAAAAAAGCTAGGAGGCCAATTAGTCAGCACTTCAAGCAATCGTCTTCACGCTCGAGTCCAAAACTCACGAGTCACTGTTTTTGATGCCCTGAAAGTCATCGAAATTCATTCCAAAATATCCCTAAACGTTAGGTTAGCCAACTGCACCTTGAAAGAGTTCGAGGGTGGGCTTGACATACCGTCAAAAAGGTCATTGGTAAGTACAAACAGGTGACCAGACTCAGTTGCTTCATACTTTCGTTTTGATAGGCACCAATTGTGTTAAAGATAAGATCGATCATGTTGTCAGCGGCGCGCCTCATCTGATCGTATCCTTCAACTATAGTGATACAATGATCCAAGGCATCTCCAAGATATGTATGGCACATGGGACTAATAGTGATAGTCGTGCCTCCAAGACTCTTGAGGTTGGGAGTAATAGTTCCAATATGCGGGGTTCCGATTTGTGGGGGACGCAGACTCGGATCAGAAGGGTCAATTGGAGTGACTGCTCCAGTCGGGCTGAATGGACCGCCGCGCAGTATTCCAAGGCCGGGCGTTGCCACAGGAGCCGATCGGTGGTCACGAAGAGCATTCATAACAGCCATCAATGGCTGCATTGAGTTACGAAGAACAGCAATTTCAGAAGTCAAGATATATAGACTCTTTGACTGGTCAATATTCGGGTCTGTCAAGACCTCCAGCTCCAAGTCTCCAATGGCGTCTTGATAGGCCATGGTGACCGGGATGGCAAGGTCAATCACCGCGTCCAAGATTGCTTGGAGAAGCATGCTAGCGTCACAGGACTGGCGGAGAATCGTTTCGGGTGAGCTAAGACGTCGAACAATCGGGGCTTCAATATCATCGGCACTCGTCTCAAAGAAGGAAGTCACTGTGTTATCTGCGTGAAGGAACACAGAGACTTGCTCTAACGTGACGCACAGTCCTTTGGCAGCAAGTGAAGCATGGCGTTCCATAAATTCGATTCGGTCCTCGTTCGGTCCGCCACGATAACGTTGGAGACTTCGAGCTGTAGCCCTTGATCCATCCGCCACATCGCCGAACTGAGATGCGAATTTAGAATCTCGTACCCCAGGCCAGGGCGGACACTTGACCCAATAGGCGCTTTTTCTTTGCCATGCCGGCTTGAGGGACGTTTGGAGCGGAAAAGATCCTTTAACGCGTCCCATATAAGATGTCTCTTGGTTGGTCGCCTCATTGTGACAGAGCTCTTGTCACTTGAGACAGAGCTCTTCCTCCTCTTGTCCCATCCACTCGGCCCTTCATCTTCCGAGTCCGAGTCGCTACTCTCGTCCTGCAACTTGACAAGTTTTTGTAAAGTCAAGACAACGAAGGCATGGTCCGAGTACCAATCAGCCTTGGTTCGATTGGTCGTATGAACCAGATCTTCAATCGCCAGACGATGCAGCCCCTTGTGATTGCCCAGCATTTGAATTACATCCCAGCTGAGCCCGTTCACATTGATCCAACGGCATTGGACCCAGGATTCCTTTTCGCGTGCGAGGAATGGCCCAAGAGTCTCGTTATCGAGTTCGTACTGTCTCATCTCATTCTGCGAGAAGTCAACGACCGTGATCTCGCACTGCCGCTGCAGGTCTGCAGGTAGATTGGAGTACCATTCCGAGCTGTAAGCGGGGAGTGGTTTTGTCGGGTCAATACCCGGTTCTGTTCCCGGTTGCCAGGTTGGGTCTGATGCGAAGCCTTCGGGATGATATGATCGTGCAGTATTCGCCCTTCGGGCTCGCCTCTTGTTTGTTTCGGAGGTGTTGACCCTGGCCGCCGGAGCGAACGATTCCGCGATAGATCCTTCTCTTCGAGTAGTAGGGGATGTCTGAGGAGAGGGCGATCGATGTCCGGCTTCGATATCTATCGTATGAAGGGGCTCATTACGGGTTGGGGGTTGCTGGGCATAGTCGAAGGCGTGAACGCTCATGGCGATAGGTGCTTAAGCGGGCCTTGGGCGCCCTGTTTCGCTTGTGAAATAGTGTCTCTTCATCGGCCCCAAGGAGTAAGAAATGATGGCGAAAGTGGTCTTCACGGAGACGCAACAATCGTGACAAAGGGGATCATCGGCATGCCTGCGGGGAAATGACGTTGAGAGTTAATCGGCCACGCGCTATGATCAAAGAGCAAACCCTGTATGGCCATCAAAAGAAAATAACCCGTGGACCCAATTGAATTGGTAGAGTTTTCTTTGGAAATAATGGAAGGAAAAGAGATGAGATGAAAGAAATTGGAAATGGCATAACGTTAGGGGAGAACAGAAGGTGCCGAGTCCGACACCGCACAGGGCACCCGCCGCTACGCCCTGTTGGTCCGGACATCCTTCCTAAAGGTTCTCCTTCATCTTGCACAGCCTTCAGGGTGGGACTGCCCTTTCACGGACTGCAACTTCCTCCCCGCTCTTGACAAGATAGACTTTATTTATCTAGATTAAGCAATACACTAGACCTGCAGATGTTTGACGTCTCCACTGTGCATGGACGATAGGGTCTGGCCTCACCGAAGGCAACAGCATTCTCTGTGTCCGCCTCTCTCTGATTTGCCAAGCTATGGGGTACTAACCAAGGTCACCTTGCCTGAAGATCCACCTAACTCGTGTCAAAATGGTAGAAGCTTTTCTCTTCATGCAAGATCAGCCGATCTCTCGAGGTCTATCTTGGACCCCAATGCTTGATCTCGCATTTGGACCAATGCACGGTCAACCAAAGCAATGCCTTTTCCCTGGCACCCATTCGGCATGCTCTTGAAAGTCTCCACACTCTTGGAGCAAAGGTTTATGAAGCTGTTGATTTCCTCCATAGGGCTTTTTAGACCACATTCTACTGTCAACAACGTGGCCGCTAGGACACGGTGGTAATAACAGGACCAATGCTGAACAGCAGGCCCATCAACCATTACCTTACTGGAAAGGAGAATCGTTTCGCGCGCCGCACCCAGACAAACACTCCTGGCCATCAGGGAGGAATAGAAAGGCGTCGAAAAGGTTTGATCGGCGAAAAACGGCCGGTGTAATATCAGCATCACATGGTTGAAGCCTAGTAAAAGGTAAGACTTGGCCCACCGAAAAGAGTCTGGAGACCTTACGTAGTTCAATATCAAAGCATTGCCGTTGTACCCAGGACATGTTGCTCCATGATTGCTCATCTCCACTGGTCGCCGCGTGCTTGGGCGCGAGATGTGACGGGAGTTCCCCACGCCAGGTCATTAGTTCCGCCTGGTGGTTCATCATGCGACCAACGAAAGACTCTAAAGGATGCCGCTTCTCGCTCATGTTTGAAATCTATTATCCACAATATAAGTATTTTCTTCGTGATTCGTATGTCTAGGAACCCACCAAATCAAGAATCTTGCGAACAATGCGGCTAAACTTGGCGTTGGCGACGATAAAGTTGAATCTGCTAATGTCGGAGACAACATCCTGCCACCGGGGTTAGCGGTCAAATAGGCCAACTTGAAGGAGAACAAGGAAATCTCACAGAATTGTGTTGTGGGTAAGGCGCTTTGGAATCAGTTTCGCGTATGCATAGCGGTTTGCCATACTCGAGACACATGTCAGATTCCAAGCTATAAAGTGTCCACCAAGTCCGGAGTGCAGACTGGGAATCTATAACTCCTGTTATCATATGGCAAGGACTGCCATTAATGCCTATAGAATAAGCCATTCGGATAGCGGTGCCCAAGTAGTTATATGCCACTGTGAGCAGATATTAGCGGCGACAGACAAAGTCAGGAGTGAGACCATACAACTGAGCTGTGCTATGTGATGTGCATAAATTGCCTATTCCTTTGTAAGTATTGATACGGGGAACTGCGAGAAGGAATAATCACCATCATCATCGCGGCTTGGACGGTGTCTAAGCTATTCGTACTGAACAAGGTTCCAATTAGACCCTGTGCCTCAGTGAAGTAGTAAGATGCCCATTCGGTATCATCCGATCCTGTATTTGAGTACAAGGATCCCAATGCCAGAACAGAGTATACCAGGCACCGCTTTTGTCGAGATATAGGTGTTTCCGAATCAGATGGCGAGCTTGACCAAAATTGCTCGTAGGCAGCTCTGAGGGTGCTAGGTGCTAGAACTGGTATAGTATCACTGACAGGCCCCAAAAAGCACTCAAAATGAGCATCAGCTATTCTCTCCTGTATTTCAAAGCCATATGCTTTGTTTATATCACCCGTCGTGTATATTTGATCTTCAAGCGTTCTATTCGAAATAGCAGAGGCCGCCTCCAATTCTCGACCGGAGGGTTTTCGTCTTTTGTCTGGCCGCTCGCTGTCGAACTGACGATCATTCAAAATCCCGTCGACTGGGATGAGCAAATTTAGTGTAGAAGTGGTTCCATAAAATGACAGAGAGCTATTATTCTCAGAATATATGGTCATTCCCGGTAGTTTCTGGTTCGATATCTGACCACTGTCTTCCGAAGAGTTAATTTGAAATCCACGCTTAGGAAAGAACTTATACGTACCTGAAATGCTCTCGGTATTTCTAGGCTGCAAAGTCCTTTCGCCGAATACCGCTCGCTCCAGCTCCACTACGCGCGCATTGATAATGTCAAGCCCCCCTGGTTCTTTTATCAGGATCTGAACACGCTGTCATTAGAACAGACATACCCAGCAATTTTATTGGCTCCCGTAGAAGGATCATAGAAACACTCGACTTTGCTTTTCTCACATGACTTGCAGGGAAGTAAGCCGTCGCACTACTAAGTATCAGTGCTGGGCTGGTATGGAATACCTGGAATCTTGAGAACCCACCTTCAGCTTCCGAGATCGGCAAGGGTCGCAAGCCTCTGTCGTCTTTCTTCGGGTGCCGATTGATGTGGCTAATCTGCGGGCTGGTATAGACATTGAATGATATTTCATGTGCATGTGCTTCTTAGCTGGAATAATCGTGAGGATGACCTGGCCCAGGCAGGGTAGAGTATAGTGCCCCCACTATTGATTATGTCACCCAGATTTGGGGAAGCGGGATTCCCCGGGCGTATTATTTGTGTTCAGAACAGCCTTGCCCTGCCCTGATCACAAGATCCGCGTCTTCCACGGGCACTAATGGACCTACGCAAACTGGTTCCCGTAGGTTCTCCAATCTTCAAGAATGTCTTGATAGATTTGTTTCCAGCGTCGATATCGGGGTTGAGTGACGCCGCAATTATGGCGACTATGCTGTTTTTACTTCTGGCGGTCCTGGAACCGAATTGGTTGCTTGAGATGTATATACTGTCAAATCGTGACTTTTACCTGGAGGGACCTCGAGAGTTTCCCATATTTGAAGCAATTTGCTCGCTGAACATGTGGTGTAGCCCTTGGTCGTGACTTTTCGCATTTTTTAGAACTGCTCTACCATTGGTTGAATAAAACTTGATCATTTCGATATACTCCCCTGCAGCAGATTATTCATTCCAAGCATGCACTCGACATGGCAAAAATACAGTACATGGGTGTACAAATGAGTAGACGGTGGCAAACCCGCCGCGGCCTGAACTCTAAGCTCTACCCTCGAATTTAGGGTTGTTGTCAGACCGCAAATTGAAGAGGAATTAGTCTCGATACTATACTATGAGTACCTTTGATACCTGGGCAAATCTTCATATATACTTATAGTACTATAATTCATCAAATTCATAAGTCTTTAATTCATTTTTAAATGTAGTTATGACTCGCTGGAGACAAGCATCTGTCTCTATATAGATACTAAAAATCTATCTCAAGATGCGTAAGAAGGCGACTAGAAAAGGAACGCGAGGCTTTTCTTGTAAACTTTGTTCCATCCAGAAAGGTTTGCGTCCTCGATTGCCTTGAGAGCCTCGAATTCGGCCTCCTCGCGATCAATCTCGGCCTTTCCGGTCCAGATATCGGCGTTGTGGGGCTTGATGAGCTCGGTCTTCTTGAAGAACTTCCAGCCAGTGAATGCCATCACGTAGAGGGGAATTCCGAGATACGAGGTGATGAAGGTCTTGTAATCAAAGTTCCCGTATTTCTCAGGGTTGTGGATGAACACGCCGAAGCTGCGGGTGAAGGCCACCAGAACACAGAAAAATAGGGCGATGGAGGAACCAATAATTCCCAAGGGAGCCTTGTATGCCAGGGTTGACTCGTCGACACCCTGTGCGCGGCGAGCACGAATGAAGAAGATGTGAGTGATAAGAAGGGAGATCCAGGTCAGAACTGTAGTAGCAGGTTAGAACAGGCTTATGCTTTAGGAATATAGACGGATGGAAAAGAACGTACGTCCAAAGATCGACACCATATCAGTGAAATAGCCAAAGACTGCCTTGGAGCCACTGGAAACACTCATAAATGCGAGAAGGCAGAAACATGCCGAGAGGCCCAGGGCATAGATGGGCACACCGGCCGCATTGGTGCGAGAGAAGATCTTGGGGGCCTTCTTCTCACGCGAGAGACCATATAGTGTTCGAGTCGCAATGTAAAGATCGGAGTTTGCGGCGGAGAGCACGAAAACAAGGATACAGGCATTGATGATATGAGGAAGAGCAGCAACTTGCTTCATTGCGACAACGAAGGGGGAGGCAGCGGCAGAGCTCTTGGCCTTGGTGGCGAAGGCCAGATCCTGGGAGTTGTAGGGGGACCAACATGCCGACGAAAAGAACACTGAGGATGTAGAAGACGATGATTCGCCAGAAGGTAAGCTTGATGGCCTTGGGGATGGTCTTGCGGGGGTTCTGGGCCTCTCCGACGGTAACACCAATCAGCTCGGTACCTGGAAAACATTTGAGTTAGACAAGCCAAAAGCAAGAGGCGACCAATTTGGCATGTTTCTGGAATATTCTTACCAAGGAACGCAAATGTGGCTTGGACCATAGTGGACCAGAAAGCAAGAAACTTTCCAAGATTGCCGTCCGTATATTTGGTGGCAAAAGCACCAGGTTCTTGCCAGTACCGAAAGCCTCGTCTATCATGATCGGGGCCACCGCCCATAGCGAAGATGAAAGTGCAAAGAATTATGCCCAGGATGATGATCACTTTGAAGGAGGAAAGCCAAAATTCCAGCTCGCCGAAAAACTTCACACCAAAGTAGTTGATCACAATGATTGTCACCATGAAGATAGCAATCCATACGCCTGGACTGACATTTTCTGCTGAGGTTTTGGGCCAATAGGTGATCACAAGGGCTGCAGCCGTAAGTTGCGTGGGTGGGAGAATGATGTATTTAAGGTAGTAGCTGCCCGGTTGTTCTATATTAGCATTCTTTTTTTATATTTTGCAGCAGCAGTTGGATCAAGTATTTACTCACCACCATCCAAGAGTAAATCCGAGAGCAGGGTCACAGAAACGGCCAGCGTATCCCGTGAAACCAGATGACAGGGGTAACCAGGCAGCCATTTCACCGAGACCACACATGACTGTCCAAACGACGAGACCCATGAAGCAGTACGCAATCAGTAAAGAGCCAGGCTAATTAGGACGGTTAGTCTATATCTCAGCCGTTTATAATAAAATTGGCAAAACTTCACATACCCCAGCTCTAAAATGTCAGGTTAGAAATGATTCAGATACATTTTCGAATGGGGCAATACTCACGTCAAGGCACTACCAGTGCCAACAATCAATCCAGTACCAATAGCACCACCAATTGCAATCATGGAAATATGACGGGCCTTAAGATCTCGGTGAAGCTGAACCGGCTCTTCTTGCTCGCCTTCCTTAGTGTCATTGTAGCTTGGCTGTGCTTCGAGAGCATTGATCTCATCGGGGTGACCCATCTTGCTATAAGCCGAATCCGATCGACTCAAAAAAATAAGCAGCAGATGAGTATGAAAAGAAATGAAAAGAGGCCGAGCAGCAGTGGGGGGGGGGGGGAGCTGAAGATAAATAAAATAGTCCATCGCACAGTTCATACTAAGCGAAACCCGGGGTCAAACTCTACATTACCATTATCATTATCATTATCTTTTCTCTCCTTCGCCCCCTCGAACAGTGGAGACAAATTCCTGGAGAGACCTCGGAACTAAGATTGGACTGGACTAACCACGGACTAACCACGACGTTGTATCTTGTGGTCAGACAGTCTGGGCACTTGGCAATGCTTGGCAGTGGCTGACTGGCCATTCCGTCTCGCCGCCTTTCTCCTCTACTCCGGGTGAGGCGCATCTAAAGTCAACAGTGGGCAAATCATACCATCATCCGAATTGCTTAGATATTCCTGTCGAAGATCATCCCCGAGAAGTCTGCCCGTTATCTTATACCGTATCCAACATCATCTTGAGACAGGAGATGGTTCCTGGAGATATGGATAACCAGATAAGCAAGGCCCACCTCTGGGGACAGGTTTCCGGGGTTATGACAAACAGAAACTGCGGTGATTTGCCCCCTCCGTGAAACCTTCATTGCCCTGGTATGAATCCTGCCATCCTCAACGGGGACTAACGGGGATACCGTGGGACGCCCAGCCTCCGATACGATTGGAAGGCGACCCCGAATGTAGCCCTGACTAGCCGCTCTCGGGAAGGGATTTCTCGCCGTCGGGCCTCCCCTTTACTCGGCACGCTTCGCCCAAACGGGTCACCCTCCAACTGATTGCGGCTCGATGGCTTCTTGGCATCCCCTTGGCTCGGCCTTTTACTCGAGATTTTTCACTTTGCCTGGTCTTGGCAGAATGGCTGGAGGACCCATGGCCAGATAAGCCGATGGGCGCGGGGTACCGTGGTTTGTCAGGGGTGATGATTGGGTATCTCCTTCACGTAACTTTTCCCCGGAAAGTTCCCGGGGTGGAGCCATGTTGACCTAGGTACCCTGCTAACTACCTTGCCGCATTAAACAGCCCATTATACTAATATGTACTCCGTAAACCCGGAATTCTTCGGCTTCTTCGGCCCCATTGACGTACAGGAAGAATTGTATTAGAGTTATGGTTTCTCCAACCTATAAACCCCGCATTATCTTCTCCGCAGAATTGAATGTATGACACCAGAAAATTGAGCCTCGCCTTCCGATGGCATGGCATTGGGCTGTCTTTCTGCCTCCAATTCTCCAAACCTCTGCCGCGCCGTCGTGCTAGCACGGAGTCCCCTAAAGGCTAAAATGAGCTAGCGGGGGCTGATATCAATATATTTCTCTTTTGGAAGAGGATAAAAATCCTGCCATACGCCATGAGGCCTCAAATCATGGTCGGAGGTTTTAAGCCTTGTATCGTTTTGGGATGGCTACACTTGCTCCGAACGGGGACTACTAGTAGGTAATAGTAGTTATCACTAATACCTATTAAAGAAGTAGCCCTGGAGGTGGCCTGCTTTTGCACTTCCCCGCCATATATAGTACTACTACCTAGATAGTACTAGTACTAATAAAGGTCTCAGTGACGTTCAAGTTCAACTTTGAACCTTGGGAATTGCGCTTGTTATTTAGTGATCCACCTGGGCACCCAAAATACAATAAGCAATATGATCCGCGTCTTAGACCTCGGGAATTTCTTTCTCCAGGCCCCCCCAGAATAGTAAATTACCCTGAATAGGATTCAAATTCCTTCAAGAGCTCCTGGGTAGCCCGGGGCCTTACCTGGGCTTGAACACTTCCTACTACAAGGACTTTTTGTGGCTACCTAGGTAACCTTGAGTATTGCACCCGAGTACCTCCGAATCTAAGCGTCCGACTTAGCAATGCGACCGTCCCGTACTACTACTAGGTAATAAGGTTGATTTACGATATGTTCTAACCATAATCATACTAGTTAGTTAGTACCTAGGTAGTACTCTGGAACCTTGGAATGTATATCTCCATGGTTTAGAAATAGTATCTATCAATTCTCTAGAGTCCGGTTGTAGTACTTCTAATAATTTAGTCGTATTTAAAAATTGTTCGTTCTGTACAACTAAACCTTGGAATAAGATACAAAATGTATTGCGAAACTTGGAAGTTCAAGTTGAAGATCACCTTGGTACTGCCTAGGTCCACGAGTTGTAGTAGTAGTAATACTCCTAAAACACAGCATTGAATCTTGAAAGCATCATGGCTAGGTACCTACTAGTATATACTATTCGACTCGGATTAGTAATCATAGTGACTTATACTTAGGCACTAGTAGGCCCCGTATGCCAGCCTGCCAGTGGAGAAAAGTGTCGAACAGCAGCCTGAATCTACTAAAGGAACTTTTAATTCCACCAAAAGCACATCCTGCTATGATTAAGACCAAAATTTGTCTCTCTTACTGCAGCTCGAGGTACTGCATACTGCTCAGTTCTCGCTTTCGAGTTGGGCTTGCGTCACCCATGAAGAACGCGTAGGAGAGAAAAATAATATCGCAAACTTTGCAAGACACCTGGGCAATCACTGAGAAACAACAGTGATTTATACACATATTAGTTTCGGAATTGAGCTCAAGTGATTTATTTCGAGCGGAGCACATCATTTTAAGTGTCAATTGCAGCAACGCTCACAATCGCCATGGAATACGCCAAGCACGCCATGTTGTTCGTGATCTGTTTTCTCACCCTTTTTACCCAAAGCGACAATTTTTGACAGACAAGATTGAGATTGTGGATATAACTAACGATCTCTAAAATCTCGTATCTAGTTAGTTTATTCGGCCGATATATTTTGCAATTAAAATATCTAGGTATAAAAACAAATCCAAAACTGGTCTCAGGTGCTGTTTATACTAGTGACTTGCAAAACTCGAGTTGGAATCCGATTAGTTAGCCATGTCGCAGATTTCCGCCCCACTCTCTCAGGGTGTTGGATATGGAGTTGTCATCGGAATTGGATTGACATTTGCAGCAGGTAGGGCCAATGATGATATTTTGATTTTGGAAACCAAAGCTAATAGCCAGGCATGATACTTATTACTAAAGCGCTGAAAAAGACAGTGGGAGAAGACAATTCGAATGCTGAGACGTCAGTTGCAATGAAATTGTATCAAATACTTCTCACTAATCTTGACTAGTTTTATTGTGGCCAATCGGAATGTCGGTACCGGCCTTGTCGCATCGGCCGTTGTCTCGGTGAGAAATGGCCTAATGCTTTCAAAGCCGGCAATTGCTAACTTGATACTAGTCTTGGTTATGGAGTACCATGCTCTTAAGTACAGTTTTAGTAGCGTATCAATATGGCATCAGTGGCCCCTTCTGGTATGGTGCTGGCTGTTCCCCCATGATTGTTTGTTTCGCCTATCTTGGAACTGTGTGCAAAAGCCGGGTACCAAGCGCGCATACTGTATTAGAAGTCGTGAAGATCCGATATGGTAAGTATCTTCTTAGTTTATCACTATTTACGTTCAAGTTTACTTACCCTTTAAGGCACTGTTGCTCATCTGAGCTTTACATTTTTGGCTGTGGTGAACAATTTATTCAACACAATCAATATGATTCTGGGCGCTTCATCAACTATAACATACCTGTGAGTCTCAGATTAACGCTTCAGATTGGTAATATTTCTCACTATGATAGAACTGGAATGCACATTGCGGCTTCAACATTTCTCCTACCCCTTGGTGTGGTTATTTACACACTTACTGGCGGTATCAAAGCAACGTATGTTGTCGGCTACCTAGTTAGTGATGATATATGCTTAAACTAACGATATGCCACTGGAGATTCTAGTTTTCTGACCGACTACCTGCACACATTCATTATCTTGATTCTTTCTTGCTACCTAACTACTAAAGTGCTTATTTCTGATGAAGTCAAGTCGATTGGTGGATTGTATGACCTCGTGATTCGGGCTCAACCAGACCACTTCATCAATGGGAATTATCAGGGTTCAATTTTAACCATGACTTCCCAACAAGGGATATTTTTCGGAATAATTCTCCTTGTGTCAAATTTCGGGGCGGTAATAGTGAGTATCTCGACGCCTTTGATAGAATACTTGCTAATTTTTTGCACAGATGGACACTGGATATTTCACAAAAGCATTCGCTGCATCACCAGGCAGTGTTTTACCAGGCTACGTTACTGGAGGGGTATTCTACTTCAGCATTCCATGGGCTATTGGGACTGTTATGGGAATGTCCGCTCTAGGACTGGAGAGTTCAAAAGCTTTCCCAACATATCCACGAGTAAGTCTAAGTGACGAGATTATCAGGTGCTCTAGCTGACCGATCAAAGGCCATGACACCCACAGAAGTGACAAATGGACTGGCCCTACCGTATGTAGCGATAGCGGTAGCGGGAAAGGGCGGGGCTGTGGCTATCCTTTTGATGGTCTTCATGGCTGTGACCTCTACCTTATCGGCTCAGGTGATCGCAGTGTCATCGATAGTTGCCTTTGACGGGTATCGAACATATTGGAATGTTAACGCAACAAATAAAGATGTTATTCTATGGAGTCGGGTGGGGGTCATCATATTCGGGCTTGTCGCTGCAGGTCTTACTACTGTTTTCCACTACGTCGGCATTGACATGGGCTGGACTCTATATATGATAGGTAAGAAATTCCGATTGACCTTGAGAGAAAGAGTAAAACTAACAAATTTGAAGGTGTGATTACATGCCCGGGAATTTTCCCGCTGATTCTTACATTCCTCTGGAGGCGGCAAAGTCGCATCGCTGTAATTGCATCGGCCTATCTCGGGTTGGTGTCAGGACTCGCTGTTTGGCTTGGGACGGCGTACCGCTTCTACGGTGAAGTGAATGTCTCTACGACAGGCAAGACTTTACCATGCATGTATGGTACAGTCGTCTCGGCCTTCAGTCCACTTCTGTATTCCGGGTTGATCTCCTTATTTTCCCCTTCTGACTTTGACTGGAAAATTCTGGCAAACAAGAGCTTGGAGGTATGCCCAGAAAATGAGTCTCAGGAGCAGACCCAAGAGGTCACAAAAATCGAAGAGACTTTAGAGTCGACACAAAAACGCTGGGCGCGATACGCTCTTTTATGGGCGGTTGCAACATTCCTAGGTCACTGGGTGCTTTGGCCACTGCCTATGTATGCAGCACGATTTATCTTCAGCCGAGGTGTAAGTAAAAACGGAAAAAGTCATATAGGGACCATAAGCTTACTGATGGTGAACAGTTTTTTATCGCCTGGGTGGCTGTCGCAATTGTCTGGCTATGGCTTACATTGTTGACGGTTGGCCTATACCCGCTGTTGGATGGACGGAAGCGAATCTTCCTGGTTTTCCCAAGAATACTCGCAAACTAGTAACTAATAGACGTATAGATGCGAGAAGTGGAGCTAGGGACCAAAATTTGAAATTGAATCTACAATATGTTATCTAGAATCTTTCAGAACTGCACAAGATCTTTCACTTGCACCACTTGCCCGGTTCGGATAGCCTTATTCGCAGCAATTCCGGTCAAAATTGACATAGCTCCATCAACGTGAGAAGCGGCGCGATTGAAATCATCTGGCGCTGGGGTTCCAAATAGATCGTTGAGGAGCTTCGGATCTCCGCCACCGTGACCCCCCTCTCCCTCGATAATGGGTATTTCAGTTGGCGGGGCAAACATGGGATGTAGCGTGATTTTCGTATGCGCCACAGCCCCCTCTTTACTTTGATCGCCGCCAGCATTGACGTAAGATTGCTCAAGAACGTCCATCTCAAGACGACCTCGAGTTCCATTGAAGGAGACCCGAAAGCCCTCCCATGGACAATATGCGACTAGGCTGTAGGTCAGGATGGCCCCAGACTTGTAGCTCACCAAGACACCCATTGTGTCTTCGATGTTGATCCCGTCGCCGAAGACACTTTGGTCGCGATAATATCCATCTTCATGTTCTGCATCGAGATACATCTCCTTCAGCTGGGGATGATCTTTCATGTGAAGCGCAAAGGGGTCATCAACAGCGCCCGGGCTGCCATGGGTACGAGAATAGAAGTTGGTCTCGCCTCGTAGCTCAGCATTCTCCTTGCCATAGAATTTTAAGTCTCCCTGGGCAAATACTGTTTTAGGCTGACTCCCAAGCCAGAAATTGACCAAGTCAAAGTGGTGAGTTGATTTGTGCACGAGCAACCCTCCGCTATTGCGTCTGTCCCGGTGCCAACGGCGAAAATAGTCGGCGCCATGTCGAGTATTAAGCATCCATTCAAAGTGAACCGAAGTCACTTGACCAATAGAGCCATTCAGCAGCAGCTCACGAATTTTGGTATTGTGGGGTGCGTATCGGTAGTTGAACGTGACACGTAGCTGCTGCTTGGTGGCTTTCACTGCATCAAGAATTTCCTGACATTTGTTTTCGTCCACGGTCATGGGCTTTTCACTAAGAACATTGCAGCCTAGCTCCATTGCCCGGATAATATACCAGTGATGCGTCCGGTCAATAGTTGTCACTATCACCGAATCTGGCTTGGTTTCTTCGATCATGCGGTCAAACTCCGTAGCCTTATAAGTCGGTAGAGCCTGACACCCAAGCTCCTGTACTCGAGCATTGGCAACATTCATTCGAGTCTGGTTGGTATCACAAAATGCCACAAGGGTCGCGGTTTGTTTGAAATCTTTGACAATAGCGTTGTAGAAGAACGCTGCTCGGCCTCCAGTTCCGACCACGGCATACTTAGTTGGAGCCATAATGCACCTCAATGGTAGTGAATATAAGACAAACCTGAAAGTATTAAAAAGAAAATGAAAGTATTATTTCCGAACGCGGCGTATAAGAAAGCATATCCTAGCTTCTCGGTTTTCCGTCATGTTGTTTTCCGAGTCGTACAGCTACCCCTCACAACCAAAGAAGGATAGCCCCGCAAGGACCCCGGATTCATCGAGTTTTTCCATCAATGAAATGTTCAAGTTTGCAAATAGTACCAAGTGATTATAAACCCCACGCGATCCAATAGTTCCCCAGAAAAAAAGCACATCTAGCGCCGTGGGGGCACCGGGTACAAATAAGCCGAGGTGATAGCAAAGAAAAAGAAGTGCCATCTCATCTTGGATACTGGTAATCTCACGCGCGTAGATAGAGCAGAATTGTTCGAAAGGTATGCTATTATCCTGTCAAGCTGAATGAATGTTTTCATCAACGTAGAAGTAATGAAGGAAATCAATTGGTAGGTGCTGCTTTATTTGACATTTTAGCTATGTTTCAAATATTCCCCAATATTCGCCAAGTTCGAGATAGCAGAGACGCCATAGCGCGCCGTCTCATTCGTGCTGACCCAAGGAGCCTCCTCGCCTGCGCTGAAATATTCCGGAGGTGAAGTTTTGAGAACAGTCCAATCTAGATGGTCTGTGTATCCATCTGAATCGAAAAATTGATCCCAGGCCACTTTTGCAAGATAGTCACTGTTTTGTTCCACAGCTGCAAACGCTGTGAGGGTGGAGTGACTTTGCCTCCAAGTCGCATGATCGGGGAATTCAAAGCCGAATTCTTTGCGCTGAACATCAGGTCCCCCATTATATGCTCGACAATATGATAGCCAGACTTCCATGAACTTTTTCATCGAAGATGAGTTTTCTTCTTCGGTAAAATATGATAGCTCTGCAATGACCTCTGGAAAACCAAAAAGCATAGACAGATGGGATATGGTGTGTTCTGGGGTTGGAGGTGGACATTCTCGTACTTCTCCATTTGATGGATCTAGCAAAAGTGAGTTGTTTCCGATACCATGGTTAAGACTAGAAATTCCCTCCAACAATCGAAACACAAGTTCGCGAAATCGAGTCCAACCATCTACTCGTCTTTCCCATGCTGTTAGCCATGTAGCAAGAAGGGGACCACAATCTAGACCAATATTTGTCATCGCAAAGCCATCCGGAATGCCAGCGTGTTTTTGAACTTTCCGATGTGAGTCCAGCACCAACAATGTATTTTGGCTTTCTTGAAGCTCCGAAATCAGATCACCCGTACGTTCATCTCCTGTGAGATAGTAATATATGCGACGATAGAGAACGTTTGATATTCTCAGTTGCTTAGAGCTATCGCTAAAGTGTTGAACCCCGTGTCGAGTGCCGAACCCCTTGAATTTTCCAGAGTGATATACATCAACCTCCCCGGTGTGTCTCGTCATGGCTTCAGCCATTTTGAAAACATCGGCCCTTCCCGTGTGAAGAAAGTACAGCCAGAGCCATAAATCGGTGGATAGCTCCGAGTTGTCCCAAGCAAACCCTCCAACATCGTAACGCCAGGCATGTCGATACGCATCGTAGGTATGCTGGACATCACCATAATCCCAAAAGCCATACCATCTGTTCTGTTCGACTTGTTTATGATAATAGTTGAATAAAAGATCGAGGTTTTCCTCAATCTGAATTTCCTTAGGGGGTGGGACTTTCCCCGATATGCGAAAGTCGGGGGCCCAGCATCCATGGAAAGCATGGGCATCATGCATATGAGTTGCAGTGGCCACTAGGCGAGGCGGGTTGCGCACAAGAGATGAAAATGCACTGAAGGAATGATTTGAAGGTACATCACGGAATGGCTTGAGAATGATTTGATTGGTTCTTGCGATGCCGTTCGCAGTAACAAATCCAGGTTCGAAATCTTCGTAAGTCACATCGAGAGCTTCAAGTTGTTTGTCATAGCTGTCTAATCCAAGTCCATCGTGAAAAGGTGTCGTTTCCAGCGGCCCTGCAAGGGGGAGTAGAGCCAAGCAGTAATGGATGCCTGATGAGACGTCAAGTCATCCAGGTCCAGCTGGGTTGGATAGCGTTCCCAAAAGTCAGACATTCCAATGGCGATACCTCCGCTGTCAGCGGACCCCACAAATACAGTCCCGTCAGACCTTCCACCTGCAGTAACCTTGACCCAAGAACATTCTGGCTTCGTCCTTTTCTTGATAGTGAAACCGTCAGGCGAAAGTTGGCTGAGTGAATACGAATCCCAAGATGGGATATATGACAGACCCCTGGTAAGCTCAGTTCTGGTCCAGTTTGCTTCATTTAGAGAAACATGGTAGCCCGATGTTTGAGCCACCCGATTCTGGATTGTAGGTCCATGTCTTAGACCAGATAGGCCCTTGACCTCTTCTTTCAAAACGCCACCATCAGAGCCTCCGTAACGAATGTGACGATTGTAAAGTTCACTTTCGCCCAATGGCACAAAAAAGCGTAGCCCGAGAGAAGTGAGTGGCTGATCACTGTCTAAGTCATGAATGAAAGAGTGGATTATCTTGACAGATGATGCATTGGAGTGGATATAGAATCGCACATCGAATGGTAGTTGGGCATCGTTGTTTTTGCCCAGGACAGCCCCAGAGACTTTGATTAGAACTCTGCCGAATGAAGAATTTTCAAGTTCGACCGATTTGACAATGGTAGTGTATGGCTTGTCATCGATTGATGCGATCACGGTAGCTCCCGAGCACACTGGTCGCCCATCGATCACAACGTCTTTCAAGATTGCTGAGCCACCTTCTGGGGCAAAATTGACTTGAAGTCCCCGTGGCGTAATCACCGAAAGATAGTTCTCATTCTGAACTATCTGTATTTTCTTTCCCCCCCTCAGCTGACGGTGGCGCGCCTTTGATTGTATACTGCGTGCTGTACCCAACGTCGCCGCTGACGGAGTGGGCGCTCCATTTAAGCGAATCGTCCGGCCAATAAGCAATTTCACGCGAATCAAGCGGCCATTGGTTTCCATTTGCCTCAATAACGAAGTTTTGGCCTGGCGGGTACATACCCTTGGGCCAAGGCATTCCAAACGACACACCATCGTCCAGGACTTGGGGACCGTCCCCGGTGAGCCAGCGAAGATTAGGGGGCGACATGTTAGCGGAGTAAGAGTCGATATTGCGCTCGGACCGTTTGAAAACAAGCGACACAAGCAATGCGGGACAAGAGGCCAAGAAAAGCGTGGCAGGGGTGAAAGGAATTTTAGCACGCTACTGGAAAACGGTGAGTCTTTGATGGCCTCTCCAGCGGGGTTCGTTTGTACACGAGACATCACGCCACCGGTTCAAGGATTGGCTTTGGATCAACCATTTACGAGATTCACTGGCACATAATTTGATCTCAACCTCATTTCCAAATTCCACCAAAGAAAACTCCCATCTTCATACCCCCAAAAAGTATAATCACGTAGGGCTCGGCTGCTCTTTACCCGGTTTATCCAAAAGAGTTCAATCTCGGTCGATCGATAGCCCGCAGATGTTGATCAGAGAACGGAGATTGCCCCATCTGGGGTATTTGGGTTTTCTGGGGCAAGCTATCCCCCACATTTGCCTGTCTGGGGGTGCGGAGTTGTTGCCAGGGATGACGCCGCATTCTGCGATACAAAGAGGGCCGGATGCGCTGGCCACAGGGAGAGGTGCAATTCATCAACACCACTGCGAACCAAGTTACACTACGTTTATCCCTCATTGAGGTCGGCTCTCTGATTCAACATGTCAGAGCATCAAGAGGATGTTCGCGATCGGACTACCACCATGGTTGTTCAAGATAAGGACGAGGAGAATTATGCCTCGGCCATGGAGACCCTAAAAAGCGCCCAGAGAGCTACTGAAGATGAGCACTCCATGGGACTACGCGAAGGTATTCGGAAATACCCCAAAGCAGTCTTCTGGTCAATCTGGTTCTCCTCGGCGTTGATTATGGAAGGGTTCGACCACGCATTCGTCAGCGGATTCTTTGCCTTCCCTGCCTTCCAAGAGCGATATGGCACCTTACAGAGTGATGGATCTTACCAGGTTCCCGCAAACTTGCAGTCGGCTGTCAGCAATGGTGTAAATGCTGGAGAGATTGTTGGTCTGTTGATAAACGGCTTGCTTGCAGATTGGATTGGTTACCGATGGGTCATGATAGGATGTCTCATTCTCATGACAGCTTTCATATTCCTACAGTTCTTTGCAACAAGCATTTATATGTACCTCGGGGCCGAAATTCTACTGGGAGTTCCATGGGGTGTTTTTCAAACCCTCACAACGACATACGCCGCTGAGGTCTGCCCCAATGTCCTGCGGCCCTATCTCACGATGTTGGTGTCTCTTTGTTGGAGCATAGGCTACCTTCTTGGCACTGGTGTTCTCCGCGCATTCCTTTCGTCGCACGGCCAATGGGCCTATCGGATTCCGTTTGCATTGCAGTGGATATTGCCAATTCCTCTGGCCATCGGAATCTTCCTGGCCCCAGAGTCACCTTGGTGGCTCATTCGGAAGGGACGTACCCAAGAGGCAGGCAAGGTACTACATAAATTACGGTCTAAGGATAGCTCCGAAGATGAGATTGCGGACACTCTGGCAATGATGGAGCAAACGGTCAAAATTGAGAACGAAATGAAGACTACAAGCAGCTACTGGGATCTGTTCAAAGGCGTCAATCTACGTCGGACTGAGGTCACAGTTGGGACATACCTCATACAAGAGCTATGTGCACCACTCGTCGCTTACATTGTTTATTTCCTGGAGCAAGCAGGTCTTCCTGCTACATCGTCATTTGACTTTGGCATGGGTGAATATGCTCTAGCCATAGTAGGTGTGTTTATTGCTTGGTATCTAGTCCCAAAAGTGGGTCGACGTACCTTGGTTCTAAGTGGAACCGCTTTCATGGCCGCCACAACCTTTGTGATTGGATTTATGGGAATTCCCAGCATCAAAACTCATCCTAACATAGGGTATGGTATTGGTAGCATATTGTTGATTGAATACTTCGTCTTTTTCATCACCATCGGCCCGATCATCTACACGATTGTGACTGAGATTCCTTCCAATTATCTCCGCAACAAGAGCGTTGTTCTTGCCCGTGCTGTTTACAATGTCGCAGTTTTGGTTTATGGACAGCTTGTACCCCATATGATGCAAAAGGCGTCCTGGAATTGGGGTGCCAAATCCGGCTTCTTCTACGGATCTATCATGGGCCTTGGGTTGATCTGGGCGTATTTCCGACTTCCCGAAACGAAGAACCGAACATTTGCGGAAATGGACATTCTGTTCAAGAATGAAGTGAAGGCACGAGATTTCAGTAAGACGAAAGTGGATATTGCGAGTGAGACAGTGTCGCAAGATTGAAACATCTGGGTTTAATCTACTATATATAACATCGCTTATATTTTGTTCGGTTGCAACTTTATAACTTCAAGTTGAAGTAATAGTAGTGTGGGGGTTCAATTTATAGTAATTTCAGAGTACTAAGCACACTCATAACGTACCTAAATCGGTCAAAGTAGTTTCACACTCGTGTCAACTATACTTAGTCCCCATCCAGCAACTTTGTCTGTAGTGTCCATTGAGATATCACCTCATCTCCGCACGGCAGACTCTTCGGCACCCGGTAAGGGTACAAACGCTGGGCAAGCGGGGGTGGTGGATTCCTCGGGATGGGGTCCCTGAAGGTCCCTGGGGAAGGCTGTGGGGCGCCATCGATTGGCTCGCGGACATCCCGAGGTCGTCTCCTCCCTTCCCTCTCTTCTTCCCCCCCCCCCAAGTTGTTTCGGCTGACAATCCAGCTGGTATATCAACCCCAGTGCCCCCCCAATTGATCCTGGGAAAAGGCCAAAGAAATAGCAAGCTTCAAAATGACTTCCAACAAACGTGCTCGCTATGATGACGATGTGGTTCAGAATGGGGAGTTGACATCGGCCGCGGAAGGCTTCTTTGAAGCTCTTGGTATGACTGATGCCTGCCTCCCTTGGATTCTCTGGACTGACCGAATGCTTGAAAAGCCGAGGCTGGAGTCACCCACTGTTTCGTCAATCTGTACGTCTACTCAATTGGTTTATGAACTGAATATCTGCTGATCTGGCCTATCCACTAGAGGGAGCGATCACCCTGCCATGCTTGAGGCCATGATTAAAGCCAAGCAAGGTGCGGCATTATCAGGATGAATGAAGATTCACGAAACTAATAATCATTCAGAAAAATTGGCCAAATTTCCCAAAATAATCACTTGTCCCTCAGAATTAGTGGCCCTGTCAGCAGCACTTGGATACGCCCAGGTCACAGGCATCCCGGTATGAGCTCCATCATGACTGTTGAAGAGTCTTACTCATTTACTATAAGCAATGCGTGCTTGTTCACGTTGATTGCGGAACCTTAGCCTTAGGGCAGTCGGTCCATAATGCCTCGGTCGGCCGAGTCCCTGTCCTCTGTTTTGCTGGCCTGAGCCCCTTCACCCAACGCGGGGAACTTCTTGGCTCACGAACCGAGTATGAACCATTCGATCCAATTTTCACCCATGTCAATACTAACAATTGAATTCTCAAAGGTTTATCCATTGGTTACAAGATGTACCCGATCAAGCAGCAATCGTTCGGCAATATTGCAGGTACTCGGCAGAAATCAAGTCCGGGCGTAATATCAAAGAGATGGTGAACAGAGCATTGCAATTCACCTTGTCCGATCCCAAGGGCCCCGCCTATCTCATGGCAGCAAGAGAAGTCCTAGAAGAGGTAATAATATTTCTAGTTTTAACCAAACACGGCCGCTAACCCTCTGCAGAAAGTTGATAGAGAATTTCTTGAGGAAGAACTGCTCAGTCCTATCGTTGCCAGTGCATTGCCGGATTCAGGTAATGATCCCGTGATTGATATTCATAACTTCATCTGACTTTTGCTCGCTTATAAGAGGTCGAATTCATCGCAAAAACTCTCATGGATGCAAAGAAGCCTCTTGTGATCACGGGCTATTTGGGGCGAAACCACAACACACCTGCTCTCCTCGAGGCGCTTTGTGACAAGCTACCAATCAGCGTGGTTGAAATGGTTGGTTCTGATGTCTGTATTCGGAGCGACCATGAGGCATATCTTGGCGTGACAGTTACTACACATCCGGCAGTTTTAGAAGCCGATGTCATCTTGATCATGGACTGTGATGTTCCATGGATTCCAACTGCTGGAAAGCCAAAGAAAGGTTGGAATAAACACTTCAAGAAACCCAAAGACGATTCACTAACAGTATAGGAACCAAAATTATTCACCTTGATGTCGACCCCCTGAAGCAGCAGATGCCCTGTATGTATCCACCATGCCTTTTGGTTTCGCAAAGATTGAACTCTTTTAGTATTTTCCATTGGCGCCATCCGGAGACTCAAGGTCAGCGGCGAGCTTGCCCTGAAGCAGTTGAATGGCTTTATAGATAGCCAAATTCTCGACAACAAGCAATACTCCACAGAATTTGAGTCTCGCCGGGCACGCCATACAAAGTGGCGGGCAAACCTCAAATCTCTAGAATCACCGTCATCTGAGGGCATTGTCACAGTACCTTATCTGGCATCACGACTGCGGGAGCAACTCCCGCAAGACACGACTTTCGTCATGGAAGCCGTCACTAACGCAGGCCATTTGATTCACCATTTGAACTTGACCAAGGTAATTCAGTCAGTGCATACCTTGTGAGAATTATATTCTAATATCACCAATCAGCCAGGAAGCCTACTTGGCAGTGGCGCAGGTGGATTAGGCTGGGGAGGTGGCGCCACTCTAGGCGCAAAGATGGCCAAGCCAAATTCTTTTGTCTGTGGAATGTGAGTACTAGTACATTGGCTCAAGGATATACGAGCACTGCTCTAACAGAATGTCAGAGTTGGTGATGGAACCTACCTTTTTTCGCAAATGGAGAGCGTGTATTGGATTGCTAGGCGTTACAATGTGCCATTTTTGCTTATTGTCCTGAACAATGGCGGATGGAATGCGCCGAAGGTCTCCGCTTTGCTAGTCCACGAAGATGGATTATCATCAAAGTCCAATAGGAAAGGTGACTAAAAACAGAGCGTTCATCATTTGAAGAAGAGCCGAAGCTGATAAGAAACAACGAAATAGATTTGAACATATCCTTTGAGCCTTCACCCGACTATCCAGGGATTGCCTCTGCCGCAGGAAATGCATGGGGCGCCACGGTCAAAACCCAGAATGATTTGGACCCTGCCATCCAGCAGGCAACAGAGATCGTGCAATCCGGAAAGTGTGCCGTTATTGAAGTTTCGTGAGTGTCTTATAAGTCTTGAATAAATCACCCAGAGAGTGATAAGCTAACTTTTTCAAGTGTACCATCTATTTGGAAAGAGACTTAGACAAATCGTGGGGGTAGTGGCCGAATATTTCGAAGGAATGATAAGTTTCACGGACATCACGACCCATACACGGCTTCTCGGGGCCTTAACAATCGAGAAGGAATGAACATCGGTGTGCAATATTAACTACTGTGTTTGGGGTGTCCAAAATGCCTATGCGCCAAGAAAAAGATCAACTCTAAGGATTCATGTTAGAAGCCGAGTCATAGAGACCAGGCTTCAAGTGGAACCTTATGCCGACATATCCAGAAAATCATCGGTGTCTAGTTACTATTGTCCATGGATACGACGAGATCTATAAAGTAGGGGCATGAATGTATTAGAATTGGTATTTTTGTACAGTATCACCTTCCATATAAGCATTTCGACGCCATCCCAATGCTACTTCCAATCAAGCCACATGAGCCATACATCCGCGAGGGTATTCAAACAATATAAAAGGGTAATTGGGTACAAGAATAGTAGAGAGAAAGGGAAAAGAGTAGGTGTTAGGAGGGTAGATGGTAAGGAGAGTGAGCTGTGGGGAGTTATGCGCGAGCACTTGGTCGCGGCTTCCATTGAGAACGGTAGAGACCCACTTGGGGTTGCTTGCCAGTGTGGGAAGAAGTGCGAGGGGAGTCGCAGAAATCTGGGTAGAGGCCTGACTCAACATCCATGAGAACAGCACGTTGAGGCTCCGCAGATGCCCAGCCTGACGTTTTAACTCGGCTCTTGATTGGGGAAGAACGTGAGGTGGTAGGTTTGAAATTAGATGCAGAGATTTGGGTTTTTTGTTTGATGATATCACGAAGTTCTGCGTCATCTTCCGTGATCTGAGCTTTGATGAGAGCTAAGTCGTTGGAGGCTTGAAGGGCGGACATGACTGACTCTCGTGGCGTGTATTTATACTGCTCTGGGTTTGGAGCAGACGTAGGGGTAATCGACGGATCGAGGAAAGCAGCTTCATCTTTGGACAGCAGCTGAGAGATATCCAGAGTTTCTCCATGGGGAATCTTGTTTGGATGTGAAGGTGTAATACAATCCATGTCAACCTCTTTCCGAAGCACATGATCAATGTCAACGGCAGAGAAGTAGGCACAGGACTGTGGAAGATCGTCAATACCAACTTGTTGCGAGAAAATGGCGCGCGTCCAGAGATTTGCAATCTGAAGGGCCATAGCTGCACGGTATTTATCCTCCTCCTTGACCATATATCGGATTTCATCGTGGACGGTGATGGCTAGACGCGCATCAATATTGAATCGACGGATCAAAAAGTCCATACCGACGATCAATAGATGCAAGTAATCAACGCCTGATGACTGAATTGCCCAATTGATTCGGGAAGTCATGAAGCTTCCCTTGTTGATGAATCGTCGCATAAGGGCTTCGGTGATACCAGCACCTAAGGCAGGGGTTCGAGGTCGTTCCTGGTCTGCGAATTCTTCGAGCTTGTTGAACACGAAAGATTCGGTGCCACCTCGCCAGAACGGAGTCTCACTTAGAATTCGCCGAGATGTGCGCGTTCCCTTGGTCTCCTTGTAAAGATTGGCCGCAGTTGCTTGCGTTTCCCTTTCGGTCAAAGATGGGTTGAATTGGCGAAGGAGAGTTGCAGCGAACTTCACACCGGCTCCATAGATTCGGCCGTAATTAAAAACTTTAGCGTCGTTTCGAGAAATCCCGAGAATAGATGCACTTCTTGAGTGCAGGTCTGTACCTTCGGCCTTGGAACCTTCCAAAGTCATGAAGCCGATCGCATTTCCACCATGCAGTTGGAAGGATGCATCTCCGACAAGACTAGCAATCCATAGCTCCTGGGAGTCGACGTCTGCGCCGACAAAAACATATCCCGGAGGTGCTTTAATCATCGCCTTCAATTCAGATCCGACCCGGTTGGACTTGGCATTGCTCGCCGTGAGCCATGTGTTTTCCACAGCACGGCGAGTTATGGTACCCATGGGGATGATTTGAGGCAATATGAACCCCACTCTGTGACTGGTATCTCCTCTTGAAGAGCCAGTGTTATGTACTTGGTCCTCGTAGACAACCATTTGACTCATGATGCGATCTCTAGCACTGATCCAGTAAGAGCAGGAAGCGTTCATATCCAAAGCTTCCTTTGCTAGCTCGAATTGAGATGAAAGAATTCCGCGCTCAAAGTACTGCATATACCCTTTACCAAGAGGATTGGTACATCTCGCTTGGGGACCGTCCTTGTGTGGAATTTTGTAATAGACGTTCTTGCGGTCCTCTCGAAGTTGAGCACTCTTATCCTCGGCAGCCATATCGCACCGGACAACTGGTTGATTTTCATATTGCTTCACCTGACTATGGGGAACTCGGAAGGTCCACCCATATTTGTCGGACCAAATGAGAGGATAGCCATCCCATGCCAGTTTCAACAGAACGGGGGCAATGCGAGTTCGAACCGTGAGATTAATATCCGCGTTACTTGAGGGAAAAAGATCTTTGTACCACTTGGGCATTCCCGGTTTTTTCTGGCGCGCGGCAGGGCGAGGAGGATCACCCTTTTTCTTTCCTTTCACCATTTTGATCTCCTGGCCGGACCAGTCCAGCTGGCCGAGCCAAGGGTCGTTATCGTAAACATCTGGTTGATCTTTGACTTTCAGAGCTTCGTTGCACAGTTCATTCAACTTTCGCTGCACATCATCAAGTCGTTTGTGGTAGGTTTCTTCGGCATTTTTTAAATATTCCTGCCAGGTCTGGTTGACAGGAAGAATGACCGAAGACAGATGCCGGAGGGCACCAAAACTGACGGGATGGGGGCATGTCTCTAGGAAGTTGGGGAAGACTTTGCGATAGACACGATGGGTGATAGCGACATCGGCAGCACAGTAATCAAGGAGTTCCTCCAATTTTGCTAGAAGGGATTCTCTATCAAGTTCACCGAAAAAGTCTCTCTGTGCCTTGTCGATGGTCACGTCACAATGGAACTTGGCCACATCCCGCAGGGAGTTGACTGAGCTCCTCCCCACCCACAATTCTTCTTCCTCTTCTCTCAACATGTTGTTTTCAAGCAATGAAGCGAGCTCGGCTGAATTATGCTCGCTTGCAATCTTGTCCCTCAGCGCTTTGTTCTTCTTATGTCGCATCCACGTCGGCCTTTGTTGGGAGCACATTCCGTTCACAGCAACATGGAGGGACATCGTATCTAGGAAGAAATTCTGTGTTTGCTTCATGTCATATTCCTCCAAAACGCGAGCGCGGTCATAGCCAATGTTGTGACCAACCACGATCCGGGGTTGAGATGGATCCCCGAGAGGAATCAGGTGCTCTTTTTTCGTCGATTCGCCAAGCAGCCATGGGGATATCCAAGCATACCATGCTGTAGGACTCGCAGCACAGGCCATGACAGCAAAAGGATGTTCCTTGTACATGACCTCCGTGTCAAATGTAATCATTGACTCATTTGGTGCATCCACCGGCTCCGAAGAGCCATCCGAGTTGTATTTGGTCCATCCGCTTCGGTTCGCCCATTTGCGCGGTTTGTCGGGACAATTCACGGAGACGAAGGATTTGGCGTAAGATAGATAGGGCTCCGACGCATCCATTCCAAGTTTATGAAAGTGTTCGTCCAGTGTCTGACCATGAAGTTTCGGTAAATCGAATGCGATCGGCTCGGCGCCTTTTTGCGATTTTCCCAGGAGGTCGTGTCTTGCGAGATGGTCCTTCGCCAACGCAACCAATTCCGGGTCCGGTATGCGACCTTTGTTGGGGAAAACCTGATGGTGCACATAATCACTCAGTTGTTGCACTCCGATCTCATTGAATCTAGGCGAGGCGGGGACTGGCCTAGGTTAGCATTTGCGATTTCATATCAACCAATGAGTAAAAATTGCAATAGGCCTACCCGATAAAGGTTGATTTCTTCGAGACTCCACATCCGGTAGGGTTGTATAGTGTCTTCCACATCCTGCCGTAGTTGGTTTCCATGGGCATCGAAGAAGGATAAATGCTGTACACAGCCGTGGCCGCGCCGAGTTCACAACACCCCTGGAATGAGGTGTGGCGGCGAATTTCCAAGATAACATCGTATGGGGATCGATATTTCGAGCATGTCAGGTCATAATGTAAGTGACTACAACCTTGGCAAGGTTGAGGTTGTTTTTGGTGATCAAGGACGTTGTCGCGAGATGATGCAGATTGCGACCAGTGGAATTTCCGTATCACTTCCTATCGCGGTATCTGAGGCGTCATGCCGGAACGGAGGAACCTTCCTGCCGATCCCGAGGGGGCTAAACCGATAAGGCTACCGCCTGCCTCTTTGGCTTATCGATAACCATTCATAGGGCTCCCCTCTTCTCAAAGACAGCCCCGGATCGCTATTTCAATGCTCGGGTCGGCGTCGCCTTCGTCTTCTTCCCCAAACCTCACGGCTGTGAGCCTTCTTTTCCATGGTTTTACATCACCTACTGCGTTTAAATCGACTTTTCTATGGTCCAGCACACCGGACTTCTTTTCTCGACCTCAGACGCCTCTCATAACCCAACACGCGCTTTCGTTGCCACAGCCCTCTCGAAAAGAGTGCACCTGATGATAAACAACCGCTCGCCCGTCTGAAGACATATTTTTGAAGGAAATTCCACCATGAGCCGGAGACTATCGGTAGTCGACTTGACATCCGCATCCGCATCCGCATCTACCCAACGCCAACTTTCATCCGATATAAACTCTGTCGACTCCTTCTCTGATCCCTTTGAGGAGCAGCCAGCTCCAAACTTAAATAATCATACGATTTTAAGGGGCACTAAACGAAGACGAAACGAGGAGGATCTCGGACATGCAGGGCCATCGTCTCATCGTCGAATAGATCCTCCACTAGAAGAGCCCATCGAGTCTATTGATCTGACCGAGGTTGAAAGCTCTTCCGAGATCGCTAAGACACTCTCCAGCCTAAGAGAGGACGCAGTCAAAGCCCAACAGCCGCATGGGGATGAAGCCCATAATGCACGTTCCATACTTGGATCATATAAATGCCCGATCTGCATGGATACACCGGAAGATGCAACCAGCACAGCTTGTGGTACGTTCATTGATTACAAGGCCGACAATGCTTTATATCTTGCAGAGCCAAAATACCCTTTCGTTCTATACTAATTATTATAGGCCATCTATTCTGCCATCGATGTATCCTTGAATGCCTGGCGACTGCGGATGCCAGAAATTCCGATTCAAATAAAAGTAAAGGCACATGTCCTGTGTGTCGAAAATCAATCACTAAAAACGATACGGCGGGACCTCGCCGGAGCCTTATCCCTTGCAACTGAAGTTGACAACCAAGAAGCGCAACATGGTACTGCCGACCGAGGCATGAATTGGGCTTTCATTTATTTATCTTTCAAAACATTGCGATATGGAGCATGATAATGGCGTTTAGTTTGTATTTGGAGGCCATTATCCCTAGTATTTTGAGGATCGACCAAGCTTTCTCTGAAAAAGAAATGAATTTATCCTTGTACACGTCTCGGAGCATCTGCAGCTAGTGTTTCGAGGTCCATTTGGAAGCAAGCCCATTTCCATTGTATACTCAAGCTAGGTATATTCTTAACTAGTTAATGAGAGAGCTAGTAAGGGCTGGTACATACTACTCAGTTTCCTACCTGGCTGTGAGAAAGTAGAATCGTGATCTCCTACTGTACCTCGTGGTAATACACATACAGTACCTTTTCTCAATAGGCAGGATAGGGTATTCAGATAGTAGCCAAAGGGGTTGTCTACTTAGTAGAGGCCGGTTTGTTCAGTGCCATCTTACTAGTAGTATTTAGTAATGATACTAGTATGCAATATCAAAGCCACGGGCAGAATAGGCATCCGATGGGGTTGATCCTGCTGACAGAACCCATCATACCAGCTATATCTACTACGTGATATACTTCTGACCAAAAAGTCTGCATTTATGAATTACTACAATATTTTGAATAGGACTGACCCCCTTGGTAATACACATACAGCACCTTTCATACAGTGGCACAGCAAAAGTCTGAGACCCCCCTTTTTACCGCTTTTACTACCGCCCACCAAATTAGGCACTAGCCCCTTATTCCACAACATGCCATAGGCTGGGATAGCGGTTTAGTGGAGCAGGACGATAAGGGGGTCTCAGACTTTTGCGGTGCCACTGTAAGTAGTGCCCGTTCCTACCCTACGTTTTTCTGCGCCGGGCGGTGATCTTTCTTTCTGCCACTCCGCATGACAAGTTGATCAACAAACACCGCGACATCGAATCGGACGACTACAGGATCGCAAAATGGCGGACTGAAGAACCTCTCGTGGTACTGGATATTGTTACCACAGAAATAACCCCCACACCCGCTTGCGATGGGGGAATTGTTGATCGAAAAGGCGCTTGGGCAGCTAACGTCGGACAAGCAGAAGGAGCGCACCGACGGTCTAGCAGGTATGTGATGTGGCTGTTGGAATGCATGGAGTTTACACAAAAGAGCTTATACTGATCGGAACACATATGAAAAAAGACCTCAAATATATATTACAGCAAAACAAGGGAAGCTCGAGACTGTAAGCCCTTCACTAAGACTCGCACTAATGCCCATTTCCCCGACCTGACATGCTGAACTTTCTCTAGCTCCGACCTCAATGACAAAGCCTGTCACAAGATCTTTGAGTCTTTATTTCGATTTATTGCCTCAGAGAGACCCGCTTTCAATCGAGCCCAACAATCAAATTCAAGTTCCAGAAGCCCCGCCGTCTCCCGCCTATCCACATGTGCCTCTGTCATTCGAACGGCTGTGGATGTCTTCCTGCGCAACCTAAGAACCAAAACGGTCCGCGCGATCATTGATCATATCACAGATACCATACCCGTGCCAGGAGAAGGCCTATGGGATGTTCTTAGCGTGGATTATACTAAATGCCTGACCTCATTAGTTCGCTACGCGCCTCACAATGAACACCTGGGCGATGCGGAATGGGAAAAGCTCATCGAATTTTGCCTAGCAGTCATCAACACCCAGGAGGGCGATGAAAGCCAGCTCAGTATCAGAGGTGATAATAGGTCCCCAGAAGACCTACTGGATGCCAACAACAGTCGTTCAACACCAGTCAGACTAACGACTCCCGCGCCTGCTGCTAGGAGAAAGTCTGCAAGCAATATCAATATCAATAGCATAGGTGAAGTGGTGGAATGTGTCCAGCTTCTGACAGTAAGCCCCAGTGCTCCTGTCCAGGCTGCTGCTGAGACTATCTTGCAAGCCCTGGTTGAATTTGTCAAAACTTCCCCCGCGATTGCAGGGAACATGCAACAATTGGCATTTACCAGCATCAATGCAGTGGCCCTGAAAATTTTATTTGACCAATCCGACCTCGTTAGATCATCTACTTTGGAGCTTATACCCGTGGTTCGACGCCTGTGGCCCACAAAACTCCCGAGACTAAGGGATGAGCTGTTGATCACGATGATGGTTTGGACGGTGGTTTTGTTTGATGAGGTTCAAGAAGATCCATCCGAGACAGTCACACGATCAATTGAAGACTTGGTTGATACTTTACATTCCGAGTACCTGAAGCGACCAGAGAAAGATCTGCTCCAGATTGACGATATTACCTTGGACAGTACACCAGTGAAAAGTAACCGTCCTATCTACGGACCGCGCCTCGGGAGTTCCCGATCGGAACACAACTGGACAGTTCTTTGGTCCATCGCAAATCTTTCAAAGCTTTCAGGAAAGTTACATATTCACACTCATGACAACGATGTTGCAGACGACAAGCCAAGCAAAAGACGACGTTTCAATTCTGAAGCCGATGACATTTTTCGGGATGCAGTATCGGCAACAGGCACACGGCGGGTTTGCGCACTGCAACTAGTTCCGCTCCTTGTGAATGAGCGGAGCATTGAGCAAAAAGAAGATCTAATCCAGCGGCTTGTCCCGAATATCCTCGACGACAACAGTGCTGTCTCTTCGTGGACTATGGTGGCGCTGGCCAGGTTAGTATGGCCGATATCCGAGATAGAGTTTCTGTCTAATACATTTTCAAAACAGTCTTGCCATTGGCTCCGACGCTCAACGACCAATATTGAAAAGCACGTGGGTACGCGTTATGGATCTTTCATCTCGTGTGATATCTTCATTTCCCACTTCGAGGGCCGCCTGCAATCTAATGGGCTTGATCCTCGAGGCAGACCTGTTGGAAAACTCTGTTGTTTCGGATTATATACGTTCAATGTTGATGTCTGCGAATTTACATGGGCCCTCTTCAATCTCAGACGCCTCGTTAAGCCTTTGGGTCTCCATAGCGCGGCGAAAAACACAATTGAATTTGGCGTCTGTGCAAAATGCGTCAAAGCAGATATGCAGCTGGCTGAGGGAAGTATGGACAATTGGTAAGATGCACAGTAGTTTCCCCTGATGATAATTCTTCTTTCTTATTTTGCCACTACAGGTACCGTTACAGATCGAGTTCAAACAGCGCAAATCTCAACTTTTGCGCGCCCACTCAACCTGCTCCACCTTTTCATGGCATGTACTGGGAGGCCATGTAACTTACCGCTTGACCCAGTGCTGGCACCAACGGGGCCTATAGCTGGGACGTGGCTCTTGTTCCACGAGAACAGGGAGCTTCTAGAATATCTCTTCAGTGTCGACATGGCTTTCCAGAATTCCAACCCTTGGGGTAGACAAGGTTCATGGGATCTGAGCCCTTCGCCTCGACAAGATGCCGATGACCTCGTAATACTAGAGCTCCTGAAATCAAAAGGCGAATTCTTTGTCCAGGCCTGGCAGACGATCACCGCGGATAAATCCGTTCATCTAACTACAGATATCTTACAAATCCTGACATCGTTTTGCACCACCACATCTCTTTTTCTGGCTTGCGTGCCCGATAGGCTTGAGTTCCAGAGCGAAGAAATTCTTCATAATTGCCAATTTCTCTGGAAATCCATATGCGATTCATGTGCAGTCTCTGGCCCAATGTCTACTATTCCATGTCTCGAAATCTTGTCATCGATTCTTCCGTCATCCCTACCCGCCGCGGACGATATCCGCTGGAAGGCTCTTTATCCACTGATGGTTCCGCTCTCTGACCTGCTTGAGAGCTTCCGTGACAGGAAGAAGATAGACCAATCCTTACCCATTGATTTTATGGATCTGGACGATCCCATGACAAGTCGAGAAAATGGAGCGTCCGCAGATCTAACCTTAATTCCTCAGAACCGACAATATGGCAGATTAATTACGGATACCTCTACATTTCAACGCCTCCTAACTATCCAAGTGTCGGTTCTTAGGAAGTTTCATGACAATAACAGTGGATTGGAGCTGTCGATTTTGGTCGAGTATCTGCTTGGTTTAGATGAGGCAGACCTTCTTTGCGCATCCCAGTTTTTATCTGATCTCTATCATGGTATGTCAGCAGCAAAAAGGGAAGAAATTCTGCAAGTCCTCGAGCATGTTGGAGAAAAATGCCTCCAGTCATATGAAATGGAACGCTGTGAGGCCTCTCATGGTATCTGTGTTCGCATGATGTCAGGCTTTGTATCATCTTGGGCAATCAATCAGAACGACACGCTCAATGAATCGGCCATGGATTTGTACGATTGGTTCATGCAGGTTCTACTGACCAAAAAACGAGCATCGCCAAGAGTTTACATCCTACTGCTGGAGCTTTTGCACGCCGTGCTCAATGCTTGTCCCTCATACGGTTCTGATCAGCTTCTTCCGTCACCGCGCACAAGCCTTTTCGAGATTTTGCAAGAAGGGGATATTGTTGTCAAATTCACCGCCGCAAGACTGACTCCAATCCTCTTCGAGCGATTCTCTTTCAAGGATCACGATGCCATGTTCGATGACGTGCTAGAAAGTTTGCCCAGAGATCCAGACTGGATTGAGGGCATTGCCCTTCGCCTTTTTGTCTTGTCTCGGCTGGCCTCAAAATGGCACACTTTGCTGCGAAGAAGTATATATCACATGTTTGAAACCCCAGCTCAGGTCCCTCTTTCTCTGGGATATGCCCGGAAATGTGTGAAATCCGTTTCGAATGCGCTTGGTCTAGGCAGCCCACAAGAACTATTTCGCCTCTTTGCCTCTCAAATTCTCTACACCTGGACAGAAACGCAAAGTGTCATGTCTATGCCGTTTAGTATGTTCGCATATGTGAGTCTCCAAGAAATGTTGGCAGATGTCAAGGAGGAGATCACTGGACAAATGATGATGCGAGCCAAGGAGTCTGAAACTCATGAGCTCGCGTCTTACCTGAATGAAGACCATCAGGAGCTCATCAGGAGTTCATTCTCCAAAGCAGAAGCTTACAGCATTGCTCGCGACATTAGCATACCCCCAGAACAAGGAAGTCAACCCAAAGGCGTCGAAGTTCTACTCCGAAAATTACTAGGCGCTGATGGGTTTCTGAAAGAGGTCGAGACTCACTTTCCCAATATCATCGTCACCTTCTTTAAATCCCTTGATCGCTATGATCAGATCGAGCGAGCTTTCTCAAAGCGGCCAAGCTTTCGTTATGCACTTGAAATTCAGACGTGCATTCTCCATAAATGTGCAACGGAGAGCACTTTGCCTCCCGGCCAACAACCCTCCTTTCGAGCCCGTTATCTCCTTGATGAACTAGACTTTCTCTGCAAACGCACGGGATTTGAGGTTGAGTCAATCTGGACGCCTACACTTGTTACCTTTGTCTGTCGATCTCTTCTGGAATCAATACACCCTGCCCTTGGCTCTCTTCACATGTGCTCTGTGATTCGAAAAATCAGAATTCTTGTTTCTCTATCGGGGCCAATAGTGCTCCAAGACTATCCTTTCGAAATGCTACTTCACTCCATTCGCCCACTTTTGGCGGAGATCCAGTGTTCCGAAGATGCACTGGGAATATTTTGGTATCTCCTTGAAGCTGGAAAGCCATATTTGACTGCGAACCCCGGCTTTACGGCTGGAATAATCCTTACCACGTTTGTGACCCTGCGAAAATTATTCTCCTTGAAGGTGGGAGATAATACAGAGGAACGCCAGTTCAAGGCGGCCTTAAAGAGCGCTCAAAGATTCCACGAATGGATGTGTGGGTTGGCGAAAGAGTACAGCTCGCCGGAATGGGAGCCCCATGCCCAGGAAACCTTCCCAAGGCTTTTAGCTTTGGCTAAAGACATATCGGCACCGGATGGCTCATCTAGCATGAAGAATGAAAAGAAGTTGGTTCTTGAGGTCCTTACAGATCGTCAGTCAGTACAGCCTCTCATGGGAGAAGCGATTGCGGATGCTGTTCTCTCCCTACTGTGTCCTGAATTCAATTGGTCGTTTAATGTCGGTGACGAACGTGCTGAAGATACATTAAATTCGACCTCTCAAGTTATTTCACTGTGGCATACTCTACACAAGTTTGATGGTGGAGCGGAGTACCGGCTCTGGGCCGCCTCGGTCATCGGACGCTCATTTGCGAAAACGGGGAAAGTTGACGACAACCTTTTACGAGAGCAGGATCTCGATGTTTTCGGAATCGTCGAGCTGAGTGACCAGTCAAATATCTTCTGCTACTCCAAAGCTCGAGTAATTCAAGCCCTGTGTCAGAAGTTACAAATCCAAGACAACAGAGAAGCCGGATTGATCGAACACACATTACAACTTATCTTGAGCAAGATCCCTGAATTCCCAGACCTCCAAGGCTGCGCCGAGGTTATTCCAGAATCGCTGATGAAAGCCCTCATCTGGAATCCTTACACCTGTCCCACAATACCCCTTTCGCCGTCGGAGCTAGAGAGATGCAACCAAACAGATATATCAGCTGCCGGGCTCACAGTCGCCGAGTGGGCCCGTACAGTTTCGCTCTTCCTTTCCAATGCCGCATTAGAAGATCCTGTAATTGGGCCATTGCGCAAGATTCTCAACGTTATTCCCGACCTAGCTGTTCAGATCTTACCATACATCATTCATGACGTGTTGCTGGCGGAAGGGGATGAAAAGGGCCCAATGAGACAAGTCATTTCAGATTCGTTCAAGCAAATCTTGAGCGATGTGCGCGAGGGAAACGTTTTGCATGCCCGACTCGTCATCACGTGTGTCTTGTATCTGCGCAATCAGCCAGTGCCAGACGAAGTCACGATCGTCCAGCGTGATAGATGGCTCGACATAAATTTCGGCGAAGCATCCTCCGCGGCACACTACTGTGGCCTACAGAAAACATCTCTCTTGTTCCTCGAGATCGAGGCATCCAGGGCCATTGGGGCTTCTCGGCGCGCTTCTGTTGCCAAATTCGAACCACCAGTTGGGTTGCTGCACAATGTCTTCAAACATATAGACGATCCAGATCTTTTTTACGGGATCCAGCAGAGCTCTTCACTGGATACAGTTATGGAGCGACTGGAGTACGAGAGCTCGGGTTTCAAGAATCTGCTTTTCCAGAGTGCTCATTATGACAGCGAAATTCAGATGCTGGGCCACGGGAATGCTTACGGAGTCCTTAAAGCCCTCAACTCCACTAATCTTCAGGGTATTGCCAATACGATGGTGACTTCCTCGGGAACTGCGAAGGACATGTCGATCTCTTTTGATAGCACCTTAAAGGCCGCAACGAACCTTCAGCAATGGGACATTCCTATCTCGCCCTTTGAATCATCGCCACAAAGCATGATATTCCGCGCATTTCAGAGCCTGAACACATCTTCTTCCTTGTCAGAGATCAATACTTCTATCGACAGCTCTCTTCTTGTGACTCTTGATGCTGTCATCGAGAATGGGCAATCGGCCATGCAACTACGATCTGCGATGCGTAGCCTGGGAGTTCTGACAGAGATGAGTGATCTCCTCCGGTCGTCATCTTCCAATGACATGCGGAATAAATGGAATGAGATCATCGGTCGGAGCAGCTGGCTAAGTACTGAAAGCTACCATGAAGTTGGAGAGATTTTGAGCTGGCACGAGGGCCTTTGTTCCTCGATAAGAAAGAACGATGCCTTGCAATCGTGTTTGAATTTGACCCTGGGAGACTCGCGTCTTCTTGAGGCCAAAGTCTTTCGCCAGTCGCTCGAAATTACAAGGAGTCATGGAATATCACAGGCCTCACTGAAAGCCGCGATCAGTCTTTCCAAGCTCTCTGAGCCCTGTGCCAAAATGGGAATCAACATTGATGGTGCAGCGCAATTTGATCTTGCAAATGTTTTGTGGGACCAGGGCGAAATGACAGCTTCGATCGGAATGCTACAGCAACTTAAGGGTCACAACGATCTACATAAGCAGGCAATCCCTCTTAGTCGTGCCGAGTTGCTCGTGACTTTGGGTCACCATGTCGCCGAGGCTCGACTGGAGAAACCAGAAGCAATTCTTCAGGATTACTTGTATCCGGCAGTTAAAGAGCTAAAAGACTCATCAGATGGGGAAGCAGCTGGACGAGTATATCACGGGTTCGCTGCATTCTGTGACCAACAGCTCCTCAACCCGGATGGCTTAGAAGACTTCAGGCGAGTGCAACAGCTTCGTGATCGCAAAGAGAAGGAGCTCCAGGGTCTTGAAGAGATGATGAAAACTTCCACGGGCCGCGAAAAGGAGTCTATGAAACACTTCCGAGCCAAAACAAAGCAATGGTTCGATCTCGATGATCGCGAATTTCAGCGTCTGTCACGAAGCCGAGAAGCGTTCTTACAGCAGTGTCTCGAAAACTACCTCCTTGCATTAAGGGAGAGTGATGCATACAACAACGATGCTTTACGATTTTGTGCGCTCTGGTTCGACAAGTCAGACAGCAAGATCGCGAACACTGCAGTCTCTCGCTATCTGAACGATGTCCCAAGCCGGAAATTCGCACCTCTCATGAATCAGTTATCTTCTCGACTGCTCGACGTGCGAGATGACTTCCAGACATTATTGACGGGGTTGGTCTTTCAGATTTGCGCTCAGCATCCATTCCACGGAATGTATCAAATCTTTGCTAGTAGTAAATCTAAGGGAGGCAAAGACCAATCCTCACACTCCCGTTTCCTCGCCGCCAACAAACTTGTGGATCGCTTGAAGAATGACAAGACCATCAGTCCAACCTGGATTGCTGTTCATAATATGAACATCACATACGTACGGTTTGCTGTTGATCGAATGGACAACAAATACAAAAGTGGAGCCAAGATTGCCTTGAAAAAGCTGCCTACAGGTGAGCGTCTTGGCCAAGACGTGACAACTTACAGGCTTCCTCCGCCCACCATGAAAATTAAACTTCGAGAGGACTGTAATTACAGCAATGTTCCTACAACGGCCAAGTTCCAGTCCGAGTTCACACTTGCGTCAGGTGTCAGTGCACCCAAGATTGTTACTGCGATCGCGAGTGATGGTGTCCGCTACAAGCAGCTGGTAAGTCATCCCCTAGACTCATAGGATTCTAAAGAGCCGGTGCACCACAAAATCTGCAACCCGTGCTAATTGATACACAGTACAAAGGAGGAAACGACGACCTTCGTCAGGATACGATCATGGAACAAGTCTTTGAGCAAGTCAGCAGCTTGCTCAAAGACCATCAGCCCACTCGGCAACGCAATCTCGGGATCAGAACCTACAAGGTTCTTCCTCTCACTCTCAATGCAGGAATCATTGAATTTGTTCCCAACACCATTCCTTTGAATGACTTTCTAATGCCTGCGCACCAGCGGTACTTTCCAAAGGATATGAAGCCCAACTCCTGCCGGAAGCATATTGCAGATGTGCAGACCAAATCATTCGAGCAACGCGTTAGAACATACCGTCAGGTTACAGAACACTTTCACCCTGTCATGAAATATTTCTTCATGGAGAGGTTCAATAACCCAGACGATTGGTTCAGCAAGCGAATTGCGTACACGAGGAGCACTGCTGCAATCTCGATTCTCGGTCATGTTCTTGGACTTGGCGACCGACATGGCCACAACATTTTGCTCGACGAGGAGACTGGAGAAGTGATTCATATCGATCTGGGTGTGGCTTTCGAACAAGGCCGTATCTTACCTGTCCCCGAAGTCGTGCCCTTCCGCTTGACTAGAGATTTGGTTGACGGATTCGGTATCACCAAGACCGAAGGAATCTTCAGAAGGTGTTGTGAATTCACGCTAGAGGCCCTCCGACAAGAGTCCTACAGTATTATGACAATTTTGGACGTTCTTCGTTATGATCCGCTCTACAGCTGGACCGTGTCGCCCCTACGAATGAAGAAAATGCAGGACAATCAAGAGGGTGGCGATGAGCCACCAGTACTTACCGGGACCACTGACAGAAGCTCGAGTCTGACAAATGAGCCGAGCGAGGCGGATCGAGCTTTAACCGTCGTTGCTAAGAAACTGAGCAAGACACTGAGTGTGACTGCTACGGTTAATGAGCTTATCCAACAGTCAACAGACGAGAAAAACCTCGCTGTTCTATACTGCGGTATGTTTCAAGTTTCCAAATCTCGAAGCTCAATCTTAACTAACTTGGCTTACAGGATGGGCGGCTTATGCTTAGTACTTTTTTCTAATATTAAATCCATTCTGAGGATCTTTCTTTCTTCTTATTGAATGTATATATGTATTAGCACGAGCCCATTATTCTACTTTCTCACCGCCAGGTAGGTAACTGAGTATATATTATCTTAGTAACCAATGATATGTGACCTTAGAGCCAGAATAGATAGGCATCCAATGGTCCTCCTAGCAGAAGCCATAGTACCAGCTCTATCTACTACTTTATAGACCACCTTCTGGCCAAAAAGTGTGTATGTATGAATTACTACAATACCAGTATTTTGATTGGGACTGACGGTAATACGCATACAGAGCCTTTCCTAAATAGGCAGGATAGGGTGTTCACATAACTAAAGGGGGTGTCCACTTAGTAGCGTAGTAGTAAAAGTTTCCCATTTTTTTTGATCAGGCTGAGATTTATCATATACTTATTCACATTGAACTCATTGGTCTAGTATATCATATCACAGACAGTCATACATTCTCTGTAATAGTCAGCATGAAGTAACTCATTTGAGGAGTGTCATTTGAACCAGTAGAAAGTTGCTTGCTTACTCACCGCCCGGAATTTTGGTAACAACAATTGCTGAGCTCTCCGAGCTGCCTTTTCCACCTCCTTCACCCCGCGCCGCTATGGCAGAGCTTCACGATAACCTGGCAGGTCTGCGTGGCCTTTACCAGGATCTTTCGGCCGTCTCGGAATCCTCCTTGACGAATATCGAGCGGCTGTGTTTTGAATTGGAGACCCATATCGAAGACTTCCGAAAACTCCTAGACAAACCCGCCAAAAACAATGCCAGTCGCCAAAAGGTTCTGACTGGTGAGTACCATCCGCTTCCTGTATCACTCTTATGCTGTAGCAGTCGCGCTAACGGTTTGCTGGGAAATACAGGGAAAATCACCGTTGCCGATGTCGAGTATTCGATCAATGGAGACTTCCAGCAAGGCGCGCTCTTGTTGGCCGATGCCCTGGACTTGGACGAACTGGAGGCTGCAGTACTGTTCCTAGCCGCTCAGGAAGATTCACAGCGCCTCGATCGACCCCCTCTCATTGCTGCAATTATGCGATTCCACGAGCGTCGACACTACATCTTAGAATGTTTACGCCTTGTCCTCCGCGAATCCTTCGAGGTGGAACACGAGTCAACCCACATAATGATGCAAGAAACCGTTTCCTTCGTGCTCGATATCAAAAACGGGGCCCCTATGCACAATGCGTCACTGTTTGCAAGGAAAGCCATGGATTCCTTGGGAAGCATTGAGAAATGGCTGTCACTGCTTGGGGACCAGCTCCAGAAGGCATCGATCGTCGGCCAAGAGGGGGATGCAGACGTAATGGAAGCCATTGAATACCAACGGCGCAGTCTGCAACAACAGCACGAGTCACTGAGCGCAATTCTCTTCTACCTCTTCAAATCCACCTACCTGAGCCCCGAAGATCTTCGCATTCTTGTCAATATTCTGAAGAAGATAGACCGTTTCGACGGACTCCTTATCCATTACATGCCTGTCGCAATCGAGTCATTTGCGCGGTATGGGACACCGGGGAATACTAATGTGTCTCGCGAGCAAGCGCGCAGCTTACATGCGGCCATTACTACGGCCAAAGATGGCCAGGCGTGGAAACTACCGAACTTCCATGCCGCTATCATTTCCCTATGGCTTGCAGTGTATAGTGGGTGGTACTATGACGATGGTCCAACTTCCCAATCAACAGGTGTCGATATCGAAGCGGAATCGAAAGGATGGCAGAAACAATTCATCACCAGTCTTGACGAAGGCGCCCTCGACTTCATGCTCGCGATTTGCTCCAATGTCAACAGTGAAGAATGGGCCGATCCAGCGCGCAGTGAGCTGGTAGCACTGCTTCTTAGGGAAAGCGACATCCCCCTCCCTGAATCTGATCGTTGCAGCGGCTTCATGAAGGAACTTCTGATGGAGAATTTCCAAGGTTTTGTCGAATCATGCATTGCAAACATGCCTGATGCAATCCGCAAACTTAAGACAGAGGAGGATAGCCAGCGCTTAGACCAGCTTACTGCCTTGAGGGATGGTCTGACATCCAGCCTTCATCGTGGGCTGGTAGAAGCTCGAACACATTTGGAGTCTCTGCTGATGATCATCTCTTTCGCTTTCGAAAACCGAGAAGAAGCCGCCCAGGAGTTTTGGAGTGACCCTGATAGTAATCTTTACGGTTTCCTTCAATGGGCGTCCAAGCGCCAGACGGTTCCTCGCGTCAGCGCCTTCTGTGAGATGCTTTGCTCTATCTCCGGCGGTGACGAGAACGCATTAGCTGCACATAGATTTCTTTCCGAAGAAGACAAGTTCATGGGCTCTAAGTTGAAACGGTCATCGAGCATGAACTGGACACAAATGTTCGCCGAACTCAATCTATATGCCACCCGCGTCAACGAAAAGCCTTCTAGTGGTGGCAACACCCAACAGGGCCAGCTTCGCTCTCGCAAGCCAGATCCAGTCGATATGAGCGAGCCTGAAAGCCCGGTTATGCTTACCTGCTACCTTCGCCTCATGGGGCACTTGTGCAAGAACAGTGCAGCTGTCAGAGACTGGATGCTACAGAATCAAACATTCAAGGTCATTGAAACCCTTCTACGTCTCTGTAGTGGCCCGATACCAACCCATTTGAGGGCAACCACTTTTGCCGCACTCACGGCGTTGATGGTTGATAAGACACCCGCTTATGGAGAATCAATGTGGATCTCTATCGACAACTGGTTGTCAGCTGGCTCCTTAGCTGCATCGGCCATTGGAAAAGTGCCCGCTGCCTCCGAAATTTCTGCTTTCAATCAGCAGCAATCCTTGCAGAAGATCGGTGAGAGCTTCGATCAAACTAATACATTTGTTATTCTGCTTAACTCCCTTGTTACGCCCGCCTCTACTATCGAAAAATCTCTAGCAGTGTCCTTCACCGACAATCTCGGATCAACATATCGCATGGCTGGAATCGAACCATATGTCGACTTCGTTCTCGGACATGCTCTGACTCGGAAGCCCCAAGATCTCAATGAGTACCAGTCTCGGCTGCTGAACTATAATTGCTTGGAATTCATTGTGGTGAGCTTGAGATCGTTCAATGAGGAATTCGTCACCGTATTCAGTCAACCGAATTTCACCCCTCCTGGAACAACCACGGTCTCCGACTATGTTCGACTTCACCCATTTTCCCGCGTTATGGAATGGCTTTTTAATGAGGATGTACTCAAAGTCTTGTTCGCTTCCAGCCAGCAGGATGTTTCTGAGATTGCACGTGCATCTTCTGACTCTGTCTTGGCTTTGACTCTCCTCCGCAGTGTTGAAGTCATGAATCTGGTCGTCGATCTTCAATCCACTTATTTCAATATCGTCAGACCTTTACTCCGATCTCATCCTACAGCCAACCGAACCAGTGTTGCAAACTCGTCGCTAGCATCATTCGAGGATAGCGTGCTGAACAATTTGACCCTGGTCCCTGCTCTTTGTCTTTATTGCGGTACTGGGCACCAGCAACTGACGGTCACCTCAATGGCTTTGCTAGAGAAACTCACAAGCTCCCGTAAGCTGAACAAAATGTCCTCCCCGGAACTTGCAAAGTGGCAATCGTCAAACAAAATCGTCGAGGTGCTGGCTAGCGAGGTTGATGTCGATAGCGTATCTCGCTCTCTTGTTTCTATGATGGACCCCGATTCAAGAGAACTGGAGTATGGCACTGAAGCTGCTGGTTATGTCATTCGTGAAAGTTTGCTGGCGCTCCTCAATAGTTGTCTGAGCATGATCACGGACCGACCCACTGTTGCCCATCTCCTTTTGGGTTTCAGTTGCATCAGTAATATCCTGGATGTGTCTGCAGATGGTTTGTTCGCAAATCGGATTTCCCTGCTACATTCCATCATTGGGTTCCTTCAGACTTATCCGGACACGCTCGGGGATAGCATGATCTCATGGACTATCCACCTCAAACGCATGGCCTTTGAGGTCTTGAAACATCTGTGGTCTTCGAAACTTGCAAGCTTTTTTACTCTGGGTGAAATGCGAGCGCATGGGTTCTTGGCCAACATGTTCGCTGGTCAGCCTATCATCGGAATTAACACAGCCTGGAATGGCTACCCGATAGCTTCGGATCAATTTTGGCTCACGGACTCCACCTCAGCATTGGCAGAGTTCTTGCTTTATCGAAGCCATTTATTCGCATATGCTGCGACTGAGATTCGCTCAGCGGCCAAGATTGGATCACCAACACTGCAGACAGAGATCTTATCGACATTGCTAGGATCGTCGGTTCAGGAGGATGGTCAGCCGTTCTCCCATCCTTCGGTCTTTGACCTATTTGACTTTGCCGACTTGGATATCAACTGGAAGAGGGAGCTACCTCCGTTGCCCATGCTTGCCAAGGTTGTTGCCGAAATTTACTCTAAGCAGGAGGAGAACTCGCTGGTTCTCTGCAACGTCGCTGAACTAGAAGAGCTGATTTATGCTCATAAGTTGGACATCTTTGGAAATGGTCCACCTCGTCCTCATGAAGAGGAGCAATTCCAATTGGAGGCAGAGGATCTGAAGTTGTTTGTTCTTGCGACCAACCAAAGTCGTCAGATTCAACGCAACCACTACCTTGCCCTCCGCTCATGGACTGAACTTATCACCACGATCACCACATGTTCGATCATTGATGAAGCAAGCAGGCCGACATTTGTTCTGCATGCCATCCAATTGGTCCTTCCCAAGCTCGAGACCGCTATTGAGGGAGATTCGTCCGAGGCCGTTGAGCTTGCACGGCTAGCTGAGACACTGATCGGCAAGCTGACCTCCGACATTTCTGTTGATCCCGCCTCGCAGAGTGGAGACATCATTGACGAAAAACTACTCCAACTTTTCCAAGTTTCGGGCCGGGGAATCCTGGTGGCATCCGACAATGTGGGTTTGCGAGAGGTCCTGTACAGCATTTCGGCACAGTTTCTATCCCGTATCACATCATCCGATTCAGCCCATGATAACCTGAGGCGTCAT